CTTTCTCTTGCCATAGAGTAAATTAATACAAATATCTTTTTTAATGTCCAGGCATTTAACTTTACAACTCAATATACTTTAAAAGGAGAAAGTAATGATGTGCACTGTGAATTACTTAAATGAAGCAAAATAACAGCTTCATCTGTCTGCACCCTGAATCTAAATCCATTTACTTGTAAGCAATACTCATCAAATTAAGTGGGATTTATTTCCAACAAAGGCTGCAATGATGAATATTCTTACTAGGAATTAAGTCTCATTGAATTTAGTTACCTGATGTACAAGTAAACATACTGGCTAATATTATAGAAGCATATGCTTGCAGTTTAATGATTATTTAGTGGTGATGTATTCTTAAATTGCTATGAAAACAATTCATTGTTGCATGTCTGTGTGTAAATGCATCATTCTAGGATGCTGCTTTAATCATTATGACCTAAAGTACAGGTAGACAATTTGGTGCCTCTGGAACTAATCTGCCCTCAGACACCTTGATATGTGTGGCATAGTTATTAGAATGTTGGACTGGGGACCTGGGAGATCAAAGGTCTAGTCCCCACTCAACCATGAAGATCAATGGATGACTTTGGGCCAGTTACGGTCAGCCTAACCTAGCTGACAGGTTGTTTTGAGGGTAAAAATTGAGCTATGTAAGATGCCTGGGGTTTCTTTCGAGAGGAGAAAGGCGGGATACAAATACGATGTAATAATACAAGCTTGTCAACACATTCTGCTCCCCCAGTTTGTATTTTATATTTTTTATATATTTTCTCGCAGCTGGGATTGCTTCGGAGCAAAATGGCAGCCTCTACCATCTATTGCCCATCCCTGCCCATGACAGAATTTTAATGCTTGTGTTCAGGACAGTTTCTCCAATTTTCAAATTCACCAATGACCGAAAGGCTTGTCTACTTAGAAGTTACTATTCATTTCTATAGAATGCTTATATGTTCTCAGTATGTAATTTTAAAAATCTCATTTGATACATCTTGCCAAATCTAGATATGTCAACTGCATGTCACACTAGTTTGGGTTGAATCCAGATTAAGAGTGTATCCCCTGATCATAATTAATATAAGTACCATTGATTTCATGGGGTCTATGTGAAAAGTGACTACATTTGGATACAACTCTCAGTTTTGACAAAATAATCACATTCAGGGATTGAGTATGTGTCAAGTATAGGTTATCATTGAACCATGGGTGGTCATTCAAACATGAGTTATTGTATTTTCCTAAACCTAGCCAATATAATAAACCATGGTTTGTTAACCATGAACAACCCACAGTTTCCCAATCTAACAACATACCCCGAGATCTCTTCACAGGTTGCTTGTGGTTAACCCATGTTTTAACAACAACCCATAACCCATACTAAACTCTTGAGTGTAGGTTATCATATTGTCTGAATCCAGCCACAGTCTTCATTAATTTGCTAAAATCTTACAAATAGATCACTGTTTTATAGTGAACTAGAATATTCCATGTTGTAAGAACCTACCCTATGGGGTGAAAAATCAGAAGGATACTCTTACTTGAAGAATTCAGTAATATGTGTTGTGTCTGCCTGTACAGGCAAGACTGAATTATTTTATTTGATAAAACTGGAATGTAGTTTCTATTTATTTCAGGTTTTGTATATGTATAAACGTGGTGATACTTAATTTTACAAAGTTGTTCAGGTAAATATAATAGTAAATGTACTATTAATTTATTCAGAAAGCTTATAAGAATGAACTCTGCTTCATCAAAAGTAAAGTTGCTGCTTAAAAATAAATCTTTAGTACAAAATGGCCTCTACACTCTAGAACTATTCTGGTTTCTAATATTGTCCTGTTATCTTTATTTGAGGTTAGATTATGGCCTTGACTTACGCAGCCTTGTAGTATGGAGACAGAAAGAATGAGTTAAGGACACCCTGTCTTCCATTACACTGCAGTTCCAAAGATAAGACTCCCACAATTAAAATAGCACAAAGCTTGTGCATTGAGTTTACAATTCCACTATAGTCCTCTTAGGGATTCTGTCACTCCATCCAGTTTCCACGCTGACTTTGCAATTCAAAGCTACCCTATTTCATACATTTTAAGGTAATCTGCACTTGCTAGCATGTATACTCGACAAGGAGACTTTCCTCTCTGATAAGTAGATCCATCATTAGTATGGTGGTAATTCTTGACCTTCAGGTACTTGTCATCATAGTTCCATAGCCATGTCCAAAAGGTGGGTTCATAAAGGCAGCAGGAAATTTGGAACAGTAGTCAAGGGCAAGGTAGATGTCAGCATCCTTACCAATCAAAAAGTCCTGGCACTATATTCCTGTAAACCCTTACCCTGCTATACCACAGATAACTGCAACCATGTGTTCATTGTATTTATGCTTGACATTTTTAGGTGCACATTAAAAAAAAATGTCTATACATTGCCTATCAGGGTTACCCCCCTTCCAAGGTGTGTCATAATATACTATAACATAGGACAAATCACCATGTAAGTGATGTAGAGAGCAATCTAAAGTGGGGTCGTAAAGAAGCCCTGATGGCTTTGTGCAAGCCAGGAAAAAAAGATGGATTAGGGATAACAGTTCTCCAACTTTTCTATGCAGTTGTGGGTCTCTACTGAACTGGACAAGCTTTCAGAACGTACAGAGTACAAAACTGGAATATCTTCCTTGGCTCCTTGAGAGCAGCTCAAATTTGGTTATTTTGTCACGTACAGAGTACAAAACTGGAATATCTTCCTTGGCTCCTTGAGAGCAGCTCAAATTTGGTTATTTTGTCACTGGATTTGGAAGAGAAATTGGTACATTTGCCATCTAAAAATGTTCAGCCATTTACCATATCAATGGAAAACTGTGAGTTGCTCGTTTTACAACATCTGAATTCAGGCCAGCAAAGATAGTGTGGATCTCATGTTTTATGTATTTTATATGAGTTTCAATTTGGTTTTATCTTGATATTTTAAAATATATGCATTGTAAAGCTACTTTGTTATGGCTATTTAACTGTAAAAGTAGGATATAAATAAATAGGATTTTTAAAACTTTGTTATGGATAAGTATATGCTATGTATATATTAATACTTGTGTACCACTTAATATGCAGGTGGCACACTGGTTTAAACTGCTGTGCTGCTGGGCTGGTAGATCGAAAGGTCGCCGGTTCGAATCTGCACAACGGGGTGAGTTCCCGTTGCTCCGTCCCAGCTCCTGCCAACCTTGCAGTTCGAAAGCATGCAAATGCAGGTAGATAAAAAGGCAGCACTTCGGTGGGCAGGTAACAGCGTTCCGTGCACCTTGGTGTGTAGTCATGCCGGCCACATGAGCATGGAGACTGTCTGCGGACAAACGCTGGCTCCCTCCGCTAGGAAACGGAGATGAGCACCGCCCCCGAGAGTCAGGCATGACTGGACTTAACGTCAAGGGGAAAACTTTACCACTTAATATAATAAAATCTCTAAGTTGTTTATACAAATGGTAAAATTATAACAATTGCAGCTATGATCAAAATTGACTTAATTAAAAAATGCAGAAAACTAAAATGGAGCAGCTGCATGATGGGTAGAGAATGCCTGTATAAATAAAACCAGTAGAGTCATGGATATCCACCTACAACGTTCTGTTTATTTTAATTGCTGAAGAGTTGCAAATGGGTCTCTAATGGTTCAGCATTTAATTCACACAAAACTTTCAATTTCAAAATGAAGGGAAGATAAAAGAGTAACACCATTTTTATATAAAGCAACATAAAGTGTAAGCGACGTGTCCTGTTGCTACTTGGAATGTCTTTTTTCTCAGTTTTGAACCATAGGAGGTGATGGAAGTAGCTGCAGCCATGCACTTCTGCTTTTGCAGAACAAACTGCATCTGAAATAAAATGCTTCTGCTTCTTATGGGTTTCCAACATATGGAAATAACAGCACAGAATCTAGTAGCTCCTTAAGGTGCAGGGGTGGGCATTGCGAGCATGTCCCAAACTCTTGGCTTACAGTTCCCATAGTCAGCATTGGCTGTGTTGGCTTGGGCTGATGAGAGTTGTAGGGCAAAATTTTGGGAGGGTCACAAGTTTCCCACCCCCGCCTTAAAGCCCATACCAGCCTTCCCCAACCTGATACCCTGTTGGACTACAACACCCAGCATTTCTGGCTGGGGCTGAAGGGACATGAAGCCCACAACATCCAGAGGGCACTAGGTTGGAGCAGTCTATTCTAGACTAATTGTTAATGCCTGCCATCATCCAATACAATTTCCAGTGAATAATCCCTATACTGCATGGGGCTGATGGGAACTGATGTCCAAAACTTAAAGGGCACCAGGATGAGGAAGGTTGGAATAAGCTTTTGTGGTATCAGAGCCACCTCTGTTGAAAGCCATCTATACATTTTAACTGAAAGGGAGGCAACTTTAGGAAAACAACCAGTCATCCTGAATCCGCGCCCCCTTTATGCAATCCAGGGTCACTTCGCCCCCCTCCAAACCAGCTTCTGCTGCCCCTCTTCCTCCCCAGAGGAGGTGTTAGGGGTCAGCTCACCGGCTAGAGCCCCGAATTTCTGGGAGGCCACCTGTATATGAGTGCTTGCTGAAATGAAAGCACGGGGCCCATGATAATTTCTGGACTACCAGGCTTTTTGCCCACATGTGCAGCATCCCTTGCTGCCCTCACCTTGAATCCTCCTGCCTGAGTGTGTGGGTGGGTTTTGTGTGGGGTCTTTCTTGTTGAGGCTGACATCAAATACCCTCCCCTCGCCTGCTCATAATCCCCTTTTAGGGTCCTGTTAGACGACACAAAGAGAAAGACTTTGCAGCGTGCATCCCTTAGCACGCGCAAATTTGTGGGTACGCGGGAGCTCGTCTGCGTATTTACTTCTTTGCCGAGCCTCGGAACTTTCCGGCACGAGCACCGCCCAGGCCCCCCGCGCCGCGACCTGCTCCGGCGGCAGCCCAACCCTCGCCGGGGCAGGCCGCCGAGAGGGGAGCTGTCCCCGCCCACCGCGCCGCCTCAGCCCAGTTCCGCCTCGGGAGCGATCGATGGCCGCCTAGGCTGCGGCTTCCCTTCCCCTCGCTTGCCTCAGCGTCGGGACATGTGCCTGCCTCGGCCCGCGAGGAGGAGGAAGAGGCGGCGGCTGCTGCGCGGCGGTGAGTGGCGAGGGCCGCGGCGAGCGGGGCTCTGAGGCGGGTCGCGGCAGGCCTGGCGGCGGCGGCGGCCTCCGCTGCTAGTTCTGGAGGCCGCGAGAGTGGCGGCCGGGTCGGCTGCTGGCGGGGGAGCGCCGCGCGGCTGGGGATTCCGGGCGAGAGGCGGGTCGGGCTCCGCCGCCGGGTGATGCGGGGCCGCCCCGGGCCTGTCAGAAGCGGCGTGTTGGCGACCGGGGGTGTGAGGCGGGCGGCGGGGTGGGCAGCCGTGGCAAGACGAGAGGCCTAGCGAGGAAGGGAAGGGGAAGGCGGAACCCGTGTGGCCCTTTTCCCTGATGCCCAGCCCCGTTCAAATGTGACCTTGGCGTATCCCCAGGAGCTTTTTGCCCACGTTATACATTAAGCGCAGTTTTACCCACTGGCAGCTAAGCCTGTCGTTTAGATGCGGTTTTGCTTGACGTATTAATGCTCGAAGAAAAGGAAGCGTCTTGTGCTTTAAAAAAATGTACTGCTTAAGAAAAAAAGTGTGATAAGGCTCTGGGAAGTTGTCTTCACAGACTTCTTTGAAACTACACGTTATGAAATTCATCCATAGGAATGAATATTCCACATAGGAATCCTGGGTATCACATTCCTTGTGTTTTGTCAGATCTGTATAATGAGAAGCTGCTGCTTTCTTTGGCATGCACATGTGATGTGTACACAAAACCTTAATTTGTGACAGTCTGTGCAAGGATAGTAGTGGAAATTCAGATGTTTAAGTGGTTCAGTCAAGTTGCTGTGTCCATTTATATATTGTGTTTAATGGCGGGCTTGTCTCAGGCTTTCACATACAGGTTGTTGGGATAAGCATAAGTGAACATAGTTGAGGAATTGTGCCATGAGATATTTGAGAAAGCGAGAGACATTGAGAGTGTCCCTTGACTGTTCCTAACTTTCTGCAAGCAGGAACAACACATGAGGCTTTGTTTCCACCCACTAGACTCACAGTTGGTGAAGTTGGAGGAATATGTTGAGCTTTCAATTATATCTAGTGGCAACTAGATAAATAGTGCAAATGAATAAACCAGCTAAGAGATAGGTAGGTGATAGGTTGGCTACATGGATACTTTGTCCCATCTGTTTAAGCACGGACATTTGATTGTATGTGTGGCTGTATTGGTAATGGATTTGCCAGCAGCTTCTCTCAGTCAGAGGGTTCTGGAACCTGCAGTTTGGGGAATAGAGTAATTGTATCCTTGTTGTATCACTTGGTGTTTAGTCACAGTAGATGTGTAAACATAAGAAGTAAATGATAAGAGCATTTTGCTGTCATGCACTATTGTGTCGCATGCATGCTTGTTTCCACTTCAGCTGTTTGTGATGAGACCAATTACCTCCAGGTGCATCACAGCATTCCATCACTGTTACCAGCTCCCATATAATTGTCTAAATATGTGTGTTTTCTAGTTCCCTCCTTACCCCCTTTTTTTCCTTTGTGTTATGTCTTATTGACAGGGTTCAGACAACACAATAACCGGCACTCAAGGAGTATTGGCTGTAACTAAAATGTGAGTTATCATGTTGTCTGGATCAAGCCAAGATAAACCATGGTGAACAGGTCATACTGCTGTCACAAACATGAGTTCTTTTTTTCATGGCTTGTTAGTGAGCTGGGTTTAGACATGATAATGCATATTTCAACACTTTTCAATGGCAATGCTCATTTAACCTATGTCAACCCTTGAGCATGGACTACTGTGTTGTCTGAACCCAGTTATTGATCTGGGTTTGGGAGCCTTTCTTGCCAAAAGGATAAACACATCAAAGAGAGACGTCATAAATAAAATGCATAAAAAGGCCCTAGTAACTCTTCTTCATAGAGAAATGTAATTGCACTGTAAAGTATCCAGAGTGGAACTCTGCCTTTTTGAATGCAGGATAAATCAGGACAGATTACTCTGGTTGTCTATACAGATGGTATACACTCTATGGTACATGAATATGTGGATGAAGAGAACTGTGTGTTTAAAATATTTTATGAACATACTGCGATGATCATGCCACTGAAGGCTTATTTTTACTAGAAAATATTTTGATACATGGGGCATAAATTAGAACTGGAATGAAAAAGAATTGGGTATGGGAGACTGCTTAGAAGGCCTTTGAGCCAATATAATGGAATATGTGTTTAACAAATAAATAAATATGTAAATAAATGGGAGGGAATGACATTCAACTTGGTAAGCTGTAAGTCTGCAAACAGGGACTGTATTTTTAAACTTGTAGCAAAGCTAGTCAGCTTTAAAAACTTTATCAATGAATGAACATAAGTTGTTAGACTCTTTAGTAATTCAGTTTAAAATGGACAGGGTTGCAGAAATGTTTGACAAAGATGTGTTAGAATTGGGTAGTATTAGGACTGCTGATTTTGGGAGGATACATATAATTGTATTCTTCAGTTATCCAGAAATGTTTATTTCTTTTATACCCCTCCTTTCTACCAGGAATATGGCACTTTAGGCAACTTTTGCTCATATCCAATCCTGTCATATTAGGTGAAAATAGCTTTTATCAAGTTAATAAATAAATGCATTCCATTTTCTAACCTCATATCTATACTTCAGAGAGAGTGTTCAGTCAATATCTCATCAAAGGTAATCACAAAATTTCTATTAGTTTTGGATCTAGTTGTTCAGTTGTTTCCTAGTGATAACATTATTCATTATGTGATCTGGGCAGACCTTTTTTCCACGAATAAACATTTTTGTAAGATAGTCCTATTCAAAGGACAGACTTCATATAAGAGAATGGTGTACAGTCTTGCAATATCATTAATGTATTCAAAAATTCTTTTAAATTTTTAAAATCAAGGAAAAATACATTTCTGCAACTGACTCTCATCAAATTGTAGTTTGATATTCTCTATCTTGAATAAATTCCATTATTTCATTGAAATTTCTTGTTCTTTAAGAATGGCATGTACCAATTTATAGAATACTTTGGTAGCTGTTGCAAGAAGCATATGGGTCTTGGTCAAAGGAAGAACACTGTTTCTTCCTTTGAGATGAGCAGAGATACATAAGGGAAAGGTGGGGTGGCAACATGCATGATTTGGATGCCTTTTATTGGGGAATGTTCATATGAACAGGTTTTGGGAAAAAGTGCTTTGGTTTTTGTGAAATGTGTGTAGCAGTCAGAAAGTTATAAAGAAAGTGAATAAAAGATTTCTAGGAAACTCTAGAAATGTTTGAATGTGCTTAGCAGACACTGTGCTTATCATTTCACAATAGAGCTAACACTCTGTAGTAAGATACAAATAGCAAAGAGGCATACTGCTTACTCATATCCTTAGTAAACATGGAAGCTTATTATTGAGAAATGGAAATGATCATTACATTTCCTCTAAAATCTTAACTGGTGCAATGCTAGTCAATTTGTAAAACTCTTATTTTTTTTAGCACTCCTGGGATTTCCAGAAACTAACATCACATGAGTAAACTTGTAGGTGTTCCCTGTGAAATTAAAAAAGCTATAATTATATTTGATTCACAAAAATAATTCCTCATTACTAAATTAATGTATTTTGGAAGAAATGGTGGATGATGAAGTTGAGTATTGTTGTAGTTTAAAGTCAGCTTCCAAGTATGAAGTGTTCACAGATATTGGACTTATATGTTAACTAATTGCTGTGCTTGTTAATTCAGAGAAATATTGGCTGTTAAGTTATGTCATATGACATAACATAACATAACAAGAAAGAGTACAGGGTGACTATAGCTTGTCAATGAACTATATATTGTTGAGTAGCCAACCATGCGAACAAATTGTGGTTTGCTAGCCCAACAACAATTCTGTTGGGCTATTCTGTTCATGGGCTGTTGATTGTTAACATGTCTGGATTCACACAACACAACCACCCACAAGGCTCACTATGTCATCTGAACCCAGCCAGATTGTTTATTTGTCTTTCAGATAGATCCTAGATAGGCAACAATCCATGTATTAACCAAGAGTTAAGGAAATCATGGGTTAATGTGCTTGAACCAGATTACTGAATTAGCCTTTTAAATCGGAAGTTTCCTGTCAAAGAAAAAGACTAGCTGTCATTGCTCAATTAAAGACTTGTTTACAATGGTCAGCTTCAAGAGAATTTAACTGATTTTCTTCCACACTATGGATTACTACTTTAAAAAAAAACCCTTTTAAAAGTTTTTTATAACCTGGAAACTTTAAGTCTTTTCTAAATAAATCTTCAAGTTTCCACGAGTTATGTAATTTTTATTCACCATCTAAGTGGCACCTCATAATTAGTCTTTGCTGACATTAACTACAGAATTACATTAGGCATAATTTGAGAAGAGAAAAGCCATTTTTAAAAGTATTACTTTTATTATTGAGGATTAGCAATATCTGATAAAAACAGAAGTCCTGCATGTATCAATGAGTACATGAGTCCATACAGTCATGCCATTATGGACAGAGAATGCAAGTGCAAAGCAATTCATTACACTCTTGTGACCATAACGAGAGCCAGTGTAGTAATTACAATGTTGAACTGGGATCCAGGAGATCTTGATTCTAGTCCCCACTTGATTCTAGTCCTCACTGGGTGGCTTTCAGTCAGCCTAGTCTACCTGATTGCTGTGATAAGAGAAGGAAGATTATGTAAGCCACTTTAAGTTTCCTGAAGGAAAAATTTGGGCCATAAATATAATAAATAAAGTGGAATGTGTCTCCAAATATAGAAACTGCTATGGAGAGCTTTTTCTGCCAATCCATCTTTTTAATGTTTCAGTGTGTTTTCTGAAAGGCATTTATTACAGCACACAAAAAAATTGATGCTTTGAAATGAAGTCTAATACATCTTTCGGGATATTTTCTAATGGCTGAATTCCCATCTCAGCAATGGCTGTTTCCATGGCATGACAGCCTACCCAGCCATGATGGGTTGGCTGTTTTGAAAAGTACCCGCAACGATCCCCAAAGACGATCCTGGTCATCCTGGATACTTTGCTTTCTGCTTTCCTCTCCTTCCTTCTTGTTCCTCCAGGTAGATTCTACAAGGAGGACTAAGTCTCCTCTTTCTGAAGCTGTGATAGTTAATGGATTTCAGCTCACCATGACTGTAAAAGAGTTGCCGGTGAGCCAAGATAACTTGTACAGTAGGGTCAATTTCCAGTTTGACTGGGACAACATGCAGCAGGGAGTGTCTGCTTGTTGCCCTAGCTGAGGTTGATAGTTGGCCCTGTTGTGCTTAAGAGCACAATCGCAGTTAGTGCATCAGGAACAAACAAGAATCTTTTTTTTCCCCTTTGTCCCTGCTGTGTAAGCAGGGCTGATGCCCTGAAGCACATGCAGACGATGACCAGGCACCCTGCCTGATCTGCTCTTGGTTGCCATCCTGTTTTCCATGGATTACCAGCTCATGCCCAGTCCTGCTTCTGGGCAATTCTTTGAGGAGCTGGTAAGGGTGCCCCATCCTCTCCCTGGCACCAATCACAGGGCAATGCATGAAGTGGATTACCAGCTCCTGCCTCCTACCTAAGAGGTCTACTCTCAGACAGGAAGCAGAGGATCTGGAATTTTTCAGTGTTTCCATTGTAAGCATGAGGCAGTCATGTGAAGCAGACCCTTCACCCCTAGCTCCTAATGGAGAGGAGGCCTCTGTAGCAGCAGGTATGCATGTTTGGGGGGTGGGGGGTTCAGCCAGCTGCACAGGGCAGCTCCACAGAAAATATCTTCATCTGTACTTTGGAGGGGCTGTTATCAGGTCACACACAAGGATGTCAGCCATGGAGGGGGAATGTTCCTTCTCAGCACGGAGGAGAGGATCCCAGCCATCTTTACCAGCAGCTTGAGAGGTCTAGTCTTGAGCTGCCAGCAAGATTATCCATTGTGCTCTGCTGTGGGCAGGGAAGAGCCTCTGACAGCAGTCCTGAAGTGCTGCTTGGGCACTTTGAAGGCTGTTCTCAGAGACCCTTACACAGCAGCAGCTTGTCAAGAGCTGCACGAGGTTTTTGTCGCTCTCGCCAAGTGGCTTGCTGGCTGTTGGGGCTTAGCCACAGTGATTGTGTCATCTGGGCTATGTCACCCTTTGTGCCTAGGCTGTGTTTGCAGAACATGACAACCCACCTATGATCACAAACAATGGTGGGTGGTTGTGTCATTCAAATTAGCTCCCTAAGTTTGTCCTTTGTGCCAGTGTGGCCTAGTGGTTGGAGAGTTGAAGTGGCACTCAGGACCTGAGTTCTACTCCCTGTTCTGCCATGAAACTCAGGCCAGTCACTGATTCTGTCGCTTAATCTACTTCGTAAATGAGGGTTATGTAAATTCCCTTGTGCTGTTTGCAATTATAATTTATAGTAAATGTGCTTCTGTACTAATACTTTCCATCTTTGTGTAAGCAGACATTCAGAAAATGGTTGAAGATTTGTCTATGTGTTGATTATTAAGATCTATTTCAAATCTTTTCAGGAAACAGCCAGTGTTGATAATTTAAAGATATATAGTGTCATTTTGAAAAGACATATCTATAAACATGCCTGCTGTGGCATCAGTACCTAAAGACCTGTACCTCTGCACTTCACTGAAAGATCTTAACAAAAAGACAGAAGTAAAACCTGAGAAAACCAGTACTAAGAGGTATGGATATTTGTGTTGCTGACATACCCACCCGAATTGTATTGTTGTTTCCCAGAATTAATTCCATGAAGGAGAAATATTCTTATAGACACTGTGCTGTGCAGACAGAGTTAAAAGAATTCTCAGGTTTAAAAATGTATTATGTCATAACTTCTCTAGTTAGTATGTTCCAATGCTCTATTGATTATAATGCTGTGCTCAGCAATTACTGTTTCTTAACCCTTTTATAACATTGCTGTGAATTTGTTAGTTTAACTTCACCAGTGAAGTGTGGCTACATCCCAGTTGAAATATGATGCTTGTTAATTTTTTACAAATGGCTTTGAGCTTCATTGAACTGTGGCCAGTGCATGTTGGAAAATACTCCATCATCTATGCAATTTAAAGGTTGGATTTTTAGCGTTCATCGTGCAAAGCAGTTGAGCATCCTTTTTCCCTATGATATGTATAGATGTTGGTAGAAAGCCAGCTATTTGTTGAAAATCTTTATCTTAGGCTGCAGTCCCATTTATCTGAAAGAAAACCCCATAGACCTCAGTGAGGCTTATTTCTGATTAGACATGCATAGAATTGCATAGAACTGCACTGTTAATATTTAAATATGTTTGTGTAGAAGTAGTAGTCAACCTTTTCCCAAGCACTTTTTGCAGCACTTGCAGGAAATAATTTAACCAAAATAACAAAATTAAACTGGGAAAAATACCTTATTTGCATGCTCATCCTTGAAGGCAGGTGCGGGTTTTTTACTTTTTTGTTTTTAGAAGCAGGTTTTGTTCCTATGTTTATGAAGATTAAAACAGTCTTTATTTTTTTTAATTCTTTGCTTCAATTTCAAGTTATGTACAGAGTGCCATTAAGATATTCAAAGCTGCCGAGGAGTCCCGGTTGGACAGAGATGAAGAGAAAGCATATGTGTTTTACATGAAGTATGTGTCTGTGTATAACCTTATTAAAAAGAGGCCTGATTTCAAACAGCAACAAGTATGTATACAATTTGCAGTGTCTTTTATTACTTTTAGGTTATAAGAGATAACTAAATGAAGTAATAAGTAAGTGGATAATACTATTAAGACTTAATTGAAGAAAATCTCTGCTGCTGAGAATTTCCTTCTGTAGTGATACTTCAAAAGTCTTATTTTGATGATATATTTGTCCTATGCATTTGGGCAATGAAGCTATGTATTGATTAATTCCTCACTTTATTATCCAATTTTATGACTCCCTGCCTACCACAGATGCTCTGTGTTAAGGCTGTTCTCACTGCTGAGGGAAAGATGTGAAAAGATTGTCCCAGGCAAGGACTGTGGGTTCTCTCCCCTTTTATTTCAGGTCTGCCTGTCCTGGGGAAGTGAGAAGCTTCAAGGGATATTTGTCATTTTCTTACCTGTTTGTGTTACCAGCCTCTTCATCACAGTCCAGTCTGGCCTCCCTGACTCAGCTGGAAGCTTTCTGCTATGTCAGGAAACCCCACTTGCTCTCCTGACACTGAGCAGCCTAGTTCATGGCAATAACCTATTACTGGTGACGATGGTGGAGGTGCATTTGTCTCACTTCTTCCACTACTGAAAATTTTTAAGGACAAATTCAAAAGAAGGCTCTGATTTCAGAAGTTAGGCAGTCATTCATTTCTTGTAACCTCTGAAATAGGAGCATATGAGAACATGCACTTCAAATTGAGATTGTAGTGATCAGTGATTCTTTTTTGGCATATTTCTAGTTGTAATGACTAATGAGGGTTTTCTGTGTACTTTGGGCAATGGTACACAAAGTGAAATTATCTGATGCTTTTTGTAATTTCAGGATTACTTTCATTCAATGCTTGGGCCTACAAACATCAAAAAAGCTATTGAAGAAGCTGAAAGACTTTCAGACAGTCTTAAACTCAGGTATGCTAATAGTTGGATTGAAAAATTAATATGCAGTTGGTACTTAAAATATCTATAAGAGAGAGGAAGAGTGCTTGGAAACTACATTGATTAATCCATTAAACAGACAAAATTATTTCCCTAATTTTCTTGATCAAAAAGTACTGACTTCCCATTAGTCAGATCAGTTATTGAAATTTTATTTCAGAATTCAATATACTTCTTGACTTTCCATAATCAATTATGTTTGTATTAGAAGTAGGCAATCAGCTGTATTCTGAAACAAGTTTTTAAAAAAAAAATGAATGCCTGAATGGTACTGCTAACACTTCAGTTTTTATTTTGTGATTTCAAGAGATCAAAAGCAAAATTAAACCTGCACCATTCACTTAGGTAGGAAGATTTACTTGTTCGCTTGTTGAAATCATTTATAGCCCACATTTCAGCTGGAAAGGCTTCCAGAACATCTTAAAAGTTAAAAGAAACAAAGCAGTATATAAAATGGAAAAGCATATATTCATGCAGTGCTAATTGTGATAAGCCTGGGAAAGAACATCTTTCCAGGAGATATGTAGTACATGTCATGCCTCTTGTAGTTACAGAGGATCAGAACAACAAACTTTCCTAACTGCTGTAGGTACTAAATTTTACTGTGTTTCTGAAAAACTTCCTATGTACTGATAGGAAGTTTGAACACACCTGAGTGCAGACTGCCATGTATTGAAGTCCACATGCAAGGGGAAAGCATGAGCAGGGTTGGGGAAACCCCAGGGTGTGCAAAAATACAAAATCTTTAGGGAAAGGTACACTGAGTGAGGTGGGAAAGTGGCAAATACAGTCCAGTGAGGATTGAGCATGCTGAGTGGGCACAAAGGGCTGACTGACTCTTAGGGCAATAAGTAAAATGGAAAACAATGTGATATAATAGAGTATCTTGGAAAAGGGCATGAGTGAGCCCTTGAACAGAAGTATTGTATGTTGCAGCGTTATGTAACAGATCCCACTTGAATTTTAAGAGTTCTCCTTTTCTCTTTCCAAATAGAAACTATCTATTTCGATAATCTTTTACTCCAAATACATCACTGTAGATACTGATGCCATGTATCAGTGTTGGTGGATTTCGCCTTTCAGAGGAATATTTAGCACAAATGTTGTTTGTAGCAAATATCTTAATATGTAGATTATATGGTACTGGTATGCTAAGTATCTTAGCAACTGCCTTATAGGGTCTACCCATAGTTTAGATTTTAAAGAAAAATAATGATTTTTGACATCTTAAAAAGATGTTTTTCTAAGTAAACTAAGGGACGCATTCTGTGTGTTGAAGATGCAGTGTGTGCTGTCTAGATAGCAAGATTTCACTTGAATGATAGCATTATATATCAAGATCAGAACTTGTTGAGGAAATACAGTATTGTCTGCTATACTACATTCATGACACCAGCAACAAAGAAGGCTGTCACTTATTCTTACTAGAATGTCCTTTGGGTCTACTGGGCAGAAAAGCAAACAATTACTGGATGGTAAAAACGTAAGAATAGTCTATAAAGTTGAAGTATGTTCTCTTTAGTTGCTGCCAAAATTAGGAAGAATCTTATGCATTCTTCTATGGCCTATTATTAAATATGTATATGACTCTCACAATGACTTCTTTTTTATTTTGAATACTTCTGTTATTAAGCCACCTATATAAATTATGTTCAGTCCTCTTTATAAAATGATGATTAAAATTTGTAATCCTTTTGTCAATTTTGTTATGGTTATTGGCTTTAGAAATAAGATGCATCTTAAGTCTCATTTACAAACTTAAATTGTAAATTCTCACGTACAATTTAAAAGCCACAGTTAAAAAAAACTACAATACTGTTAGTCACTTGCAATAGAAGTGTAAATCAGTTTCTAAAACTGAAATGTCTTGTTTAATTAGATACGAGGAAGCAGAAGTACGGAAGAAACTAGAAGAAAAAGAAAGACTAGAAGAACAGCAGTTGAAAAAGCAGGAATCAAAAGATGATGCAAAACTGTTGGCCAAAACTTCTCCAGAAATTTCATCAGATCTCAAAGGAAAAAAACAAGTGGTAATTGGAGCAGTTTTTACTCACAAAATATATACATTTTATACAATAAAAATATTTGCAGAAGACTACTGTATTGAAAGGAAATTTGATTTACATCTGTTATCCCCTAAAAATAGACCACTGAGCTTTGTGAGAACAAAATGGCACAGTTACTTTCTTTTAAATTAGTTTAATCCCCTTTTTTGGCCAATATAAATGCATGATATGTTACTCTGTCAAACTTGATGTCATAGCCATTTATTTATTTAGTTATTCCATTTTTATACTGCCCTACTTCTCTCTCTCCAAATTGTTGCCACTGATCTAGCATCAATTTTCAAGGAGGAACAATATGAAATTGTGTGAAGGCAAACAATCTGAACTCAGAAAAAAAAATCTATCTGACTTCAAATGTGGTAGCAAGTTAGCTTGTGCTGTGTTAGGTTTGCTTTGCCTAAATCAGAAGTGAGGAACCAGTGACCTCCAAGTTGTTGCAGGCTAGTCCACTTCATCTCCAAACACGGGCCATGCTTGGTGGGAATGGGAGATCAAAAGCATCTGAAGGCCCACAGGCTCCCCACCAGTGGCCTGAATCTTATATGAGCTTGATTCTTTCTTTTAAATGTACTTTCAAATTCTGTTTAAGAAAAGGTTATATGCCAGCAAGCAAAGCAAAGTCAGATCTGTTGTGGAAAGAGATAGCAGCAAGTGCTTTCCTTCTGCAGACAATATTCTGACATCATTGTTTGACTTTGCAGACGATCCTGCTCTAAGTCCACTTTTGTATTTTCTTAACAGTGTTGCTGACTTCAACAATATATTGATTTCCTTTGGCTTCCTGTGACTACATCTCAGTAACTAGTTCTTTTCTTATGCTGACAAGCAGTTGATGGGCAGTCTATAGAGTCATACTTAGGAAAGCAGTGCATACGAGTGTGAATTAAGAATATAAATATAGCTGTTTCTAAGTGCTAAAACATTTTAATCCTAAATATATATAGATCAATGGTGAGAAGAAGAGTTCTTCAGAAAGAAAGGATCCACCTGAAACTGGTAAGTGACAGCTCTTCCTTCATTTGTACTTTCATCCTATTAACACAGACCCCAAGCAGAGAGCTGGAATTCCCAAATGAATTCATAGCCACTACAGGAAAAGGTAACCCTTCCCCACCATTCCTATATCACTGACCAATTGAACCTAGAAGGAAAAAGCCTTCCTATCCCTAACAACAGGACCTAATTTTGGGTTTTGAACAACCTAAGGCATGTTAATGAGACCCAAGAAGGAGAAGCCCTTTCATCTCTCTTGTGCTACACACCGAGCTGGTCTGCACATCACACTAATGCATCTTGCAAATAACCAATGGAAGCTTGATTCTCCACAGACACACAATGTGCCCAACAGATGTTGGGTTGCCCCCTCACTTTTCCAGCAAGATTTGGTGGCTAAATCTGCCATGTGTTTGTATCTGCTGTGATTGGAAGCCTTTTTGCACCTGCCACAGCTATTTCCCTACAAGGACTGGTGAGCCTCTGACAGCCCTTCCATTGTGTGGCCAGGGCACTTCAGAGAGTGCTGTGAATGAGGTTTCCTTCCTTTGCACTTTCAAAGCCACAAACCTTTCTTGCAAAACCATCTTTATTGACTGAAGGATTTTTCAGAAACACAATCACCCAGGGTGAATTTTTGAGTGTGCACAGAGCAGTATGTTGAACCCGATCTAGTACCATATTTTTCACTCTATAAGACGCACCTGACCATAAGACGCACCTAGTTTTTAGAGGAGGGATCCATGGAAAGCTTCCTGATAATCACAGGCACATTCCCCATCACTTCCCCATGGGCTTCATTAAAAGACGGGTTGCCATTTGAAAACACACACTGGCCTGTGATTAACAGCTCTCACCTGCGCCAGAGGAGCGGGGTGGAGCAGGGCGCGCCGAGCGCGTGCCGGCCAGGTATGGTGCAGCCGGGCCGGCAGGGTGCCGGCAGTGGTCTTCCGGGTGGTGCAACAGTGGCAGCAGGTCTTCCCGGGCAGTGGGGGTGAGCAGTCCGTCTCTCCGTGCGGCCGGCGGGTTAAAGCCCGCGGCTCCTCCTCCTCCACGGCAGGTCTTCCCGGGCAGTGGGGGTGAGCAGTCCGTCTCTCTGTGCGGCCGGCGGGTTAAAGCCCGCGGCTCCTCCTCCTCCGCTCCGCTCCCCCTGAGTGGCACAGCTCTCACCTGCGCCGGGGGGGGGGGCGTGGAGCAGCGTGCGCCAAGCGCGTGCCAGCCATGTGGTGCCACGTGGTGCAGGCGGGCCGGCAGTGTCCCGGGCGTTGGGCGCACACACTTTCGCTCTATAAGATGCACAGACATTTCCCCTTACTTTTGAGGGGGAAAAAAGTGTGTCTTAGAGAGCGAAAAATATGATATTTACCTCTAAGAATTCTCCTTATGAGTATGATGGGGCCCCTTTCTTTTGGGAGAGGCCTTTTGGAAATGAGCATGCCTTCTCTCTGCTCACCAATCCTGTTATTGGGTGACCCTCCTCTGCCAGTGTTATGTCAGGGGGTTCACATCATGCTGACGTCATCTGTCTCTGAGACACTCCCCTGTCTCACGCCTCCTCCCGATAGCGGCATGTCTTGGTTATTCTCAGAGGCTGAGGAGTCTGGCCTTGAGATAAGTCCTCCTCTTCTCTCATCTTAATGTCTGGAATTGGCCCACATTCCAAGCTCTTCCCCGTTCCTCCTCCTGGAAATGCATGCCCAAAGCAGCTACCCTTCTCACTCCCAACAGAAGGGCCTGTCACTGAGAGTCAACTTGCAAAAAGTGATCTTTGGAAAAAAAGGTGGGGGAAATAGCTGTAGGGAGCACAAAAGGGCTCAGAATTGCAGCAAGGAACATGGTGGCAGTGATGGTCACTCCACCATGCTAGTTGGGCATCTGTGGCTGGTCACTGGCAGTGACCTGAGCAATTCAGCAAAAGCAGCAAACAAGTTTTATTTCTCCTGCTGAGCAACTCACTCATGGTCTCTTGCAAGTCATGAAGAGGTTGAACACACGGATATGGATGATTTAGCAGCGCATCAAGAACAAACCATGGGATCAGTAATCCCAAGAACAAGCCATGTTTGTCAGGGTGGCTTGTTGCCCTCAAACAAACCACTTGTTTGTATGACACAATGCCCACCAAAGGCATTGAGAGGTAGTTCACATGTGTATTCTTTGGGAGCTGCTTTACCATTAGCAGTGGCGACCTTCTGTGCTTTCCTAATTTAAATTTAGCAGTGCTGAATTGTGCGCCTGAATGCTCCTCAGCATGCTATTCAGCATGTCCAATTTTCATGACCTACATAAAAGTTCTAGATACACGGTGGAGTTTTCTATTCACCTTGTAATTTTTGTCTAAGATGGCAGTGATTAAAAAAAAGAATTCATTAGAAATTGAAAATGGGGATATAATGCCCGATTAGTTTTGAGCAACCAGCATGTACATTGTAAAATAGCTCTCAGAAATGTATTTACATCGTGCTGAAGTACTTTAAGGAACAGCAAACTTCCTCCTCCACTTAAGCACTACTTATTTTCTTCTGTTTGAAGTCAGAGACTGCACCAAAATAATGTTGCATTATACTTTTTTGATAAGCTTATTTCATGGAGACAGCCAAAAATGCAATGTAATCCCTTTGATCTAGTCACTGTCAAAAAACGTTTTCTGTAAACTTGGGTTCTACTTTATTGCCTTTATAATTTCTGTCTCTCAAGGAACAATCACAGCAGAGAAATTGTTTACAATGATGATGGACAAAAACATCAAATTGATGATAATGGATGCCCGGTGCTTGAAGGATTACCAGGAGTCCTGCATTGTAAACTCTGTCTGCGTTCCAGAAGAAGCTATCAGTCCCGGGTATGATATAAACTTTCTTGGTAGAATCCTAATGCTGGATCCTGATGAGCTGCTTACCATTTACCAGAGAAGAATGAGGAAAATATGAATGTGGAATACCTGTTCGTTCAGTCACCATAAAAGTTTGAGTATACCATCGAGACTGTAATCTTAAGAAGAGTGTTTAATTGACCTGTGGAACTTTGGGGTAATGCAGAATGGTGATTGGCAATAGTAATATTAATGGGTTTTTAAAGGGTTAAGCAAACTCACAGACAAGTTATTCATACGAATAATTGCAATGTGGCATTCAGGTCTTGAAACCCTGGCATTTATTTGTGAATAAAAAATAAGGAATGCCTGAGTAGGGGGCAGCCAGATGACCCTATCAGTAGTGAAAGGATAATCTGACCACAGGAACAGCGTGCCGTTGCGATCATTATGCAATTGAGGGATATGGTCAGGCCTAGAGACTTAGCCATGCTTTGTGTTCTGTTACATGCTCACCACAGCAGTCCAGATTTCAGGCTGGAACACAGTTGACTGATTCACTTACCCCTAGTGAGTAGCACAGTGCACCCTTTGAGCAGAAAATGTTTTAGTTACTGCTGTTGTGTGACTGCTTCACTTTTCAGAGTCACCGCTAACTGGATTGAAGCAAGACTCCCAGATGCTTCTAAACAGCCATGGAAAGAGAGGGGGCTGGCCAACTATGTTGTTCTGCTTGATTGGTTTAGTTCGGAAAAAGACTTGCAGCTAGGAACACACCTGCGGAGCCTCAAAGATGCGCTTTTCAAGGTGAGCAAGTTCATGGTTATGCTTGTTTAGTCATTTTGATAAATGAGAATTCCAGTGGTTATAAACTTGTAGTTCAGGAGGTATTGTTCTGATAGCCCTGTCTGTAATGTCCATGTTTGGCTATTGCAGATGTAGCATTTATTGATGTTACGTTTGTCTTAATTCTAGGTAAGTGTTACCCACGCATATCTATTCCTTTACTAAGGATTGACCACAAATTAAAATAGAAATCCTTGGCTTGAAGTGATTTGCATTAACAATGGCTTGATAGAGATATAATGTCTTATTGTTAAGGTAGTTTCCTTGCCTTTCTGCTTAGTATTCCAGAAATGGAACTTTGTTCAATGTTTATTATTTGGTAGTTTTGCATGGTTATAAATCATCCTGGGCACGGTAAATGTAGTGGAAGATTAGGGTGTAGTTTTTGTTAAATAAGCAAGGTAAAACATGATCCTATTCATGTAGGATCTTCTTGCCTCCCACTGGGCTATAGAATGGATAGTCTGTGACACTGTGTAGCATCATGATAAGCTAACCTGTAAGTTGGTTGGTATAATTTTAAAGGCTAGTAAGGGAGAGAGAGAGAGAGGAGTCATGTTTTTAGCCTTTCTCATAAAGAAAACAAAAAAACGAAACAAAATTTGTTTTTAACAAATGGATAAAAACAAGCAGGCACTTCAAGATTTTTGAGATGTTAAACCAACATTTCTAAACATTTAGAATAAACTTGATAATAAGCAAATTGCTAAATACAGGCATTATTTTGTACTATCTACCATCTTTGTACAAGCTCTGTTACACACACATTTGTGATCGGAAGTTAAATTAGGAAGCACAATCTTTTTTCATTCACATGCAGTTCTTCGTATAACCTCAGGATCTGTTTGAGCATTATGGTTTGTGATTTAGAAGCCCTGTTTCTTGTAATATCCTTTTTATCTTTTACTTCCAGTGGGAAAGTAAAGCTGTACTGCAGACTGAACCCTTGATCTTAGATGGGGGTTATGAGAACTGGCTTCTTTGTTATCCCCAATATACAACAAATGCAAAAGTAACTCCACCCCAGCGCAACAAGAATGAAGCCGTTTCTGTCTCTTGTATGTATTCAGTACCTTCTAATTGAAAGTAAAAAACTTTGGTAACACTGCAGTCCTGTGCAGAATGTTCTTGGGACTTTCAAGTAGGTATCTGTAGCATGATGCATTCCTAAACAGGCTGCATTCCCAGACATACATATATATTTATAGACTTAACGACTGCCTTCCTTTTTGCAAGAGAAGCCCACCATGATCCACAGTATTCAAAATAATTACAGAATTACAGTAATTGATCAAGCAACAATTACCACCTTCATGTTTCAGAGCAGCCCATCCAAAGTCTGCAGGCTCGGAACACATCTTAAACATCAGGCCAAATATCTTCTCTTCCCCATAAGCCACTTTTCCATCTTCAAATTGACATGTTCCAGAACTGGATGTGAGCTTTGCTGGGCTTTGTTACCTGCTATGCAAAGAACTTAGGGTTACCATAATCTGAACATCATTAATTTGATTTAAAGAGTTGCTACTTCTTGGAAGCTCATCTTGCTCTTGTGGTATAGATTCTGTTCAGGTGATCACTTGGTGAATTTTGCAAGTTGCAACATTGGCCACACTATCTGATTTGGGATCTTTTCTATCTGTCCTTAAGTCTTTTTGCTCTGAGGCTTTGGACAGAATCAAAGCTGAGATAAATAGACCAAATATCCCTGTTGTTTATCTGATGCTTTAGCTTTTAATATTTGATTCTATAGATGGTTTGATTGTATAATGAACTTCTGTTTATAATCAAAATATTCTGTGTCATCCCCTTCCAAAGTTAAAAACAGTAAAACAGAACACATAACAGAGCACACAGAAGACATAGAGCCAAACAGCAGCTTGCTAGCACTGAAACAGTATTTTTGAAAGCCAAACCGAAGCTACAAGCATGGAAATTAAATGACATTTTGAATAAACGAAAAGCACTATGGCTCTCCATGAGCACAGTAGTTAAAAACATCCATGCCACCACTGCAAAGGCCTTGTTCATCTAATCTCATGTAAAGGTAGGACTATGAGATCAGACCTTTTGATGCTGACCTTTGCCAGATATAATTGGCAGGCAGCTTCATGTGGGTAATAATTAATTAAAACATATATAGTATCACTTTCTTATAAATGTCTGCTGTTTTTAAGCATAATCTTTGTATTTTCAGTGGACTTTACTTACCCATCTTTGGAAGAGCCAACTCCACCTCCAGTGCCTGTTGTCCATGTAAAACCTTCTGTGGTGGAAGTAGCTGAAGTGACTGCAAGTGATCAGGAAAAGGGAGTAGAGATTCTTAAACCGTCTCCTAGTGGATCAGTTGCTGCTATTCCTAAGAGTGATGGTTTATCTGCCATAGTCCAACCCACGTCTGCAGTGAAGTTTATACCACATGTGAGCAAGTAGTTTTCTACCTAGACTACAATGTAACGATGCTGGTTTTTCACATATATGTGATCCCACAGACTGGACTGGCCTCCTGCTTTTGAAATTGTAGAGGGGATGGGTAAAGGGCTGTATTGTAATACAGTAAATGCAAGATGATATATTGATCTTGTGTATATATTTCCAGCATTCTTTCTAAAGAAAGGGAGGGAAAAACCCTTGCTCTATACTGACAAAGTTATTCAGAATTGGCTCCAGTTTTATTTACTGGCACAGTTTGCACTTAATGAAAAATCCTAAGTTAATTAATGCATAAGTGGAGGTGAGCAACACGGATTAACCGCTGGGCTCTTTAACTCAGGGTTCATACATCATGCTAACAACCTGCAACCAACCAATTGTAGGTTGATGAAAAATGGAAGTGAAGATCAAACTGGAGGCAGCATGTTCACTCAGTCAAGTTACAAGTGTCTCTTCGAGTGCAGTGAGAGGTGATCTGAGCAGGAAAAAACATGCTGGCAAAGGTGATACTTGAATGGGTTTTCGGATGTACTTGCAAAAATGGCAAGTCTGCTCCTCTGAACTGGCAACACAGCCTTTCCACCTGTAGGGATACAGCTTCTCACCTCTTTGAGTTCAGAGATGGGACCTTGAGGCATGAGCTCTTAGTATAGGTCTTACCGCAGCTGAAATGACTGAAGATTTGGCATGCATGCTGCTTGCATGGCCCGGACTTGTGTCCCTTCTTCAGCTTTGCTGGTGTTCCTGTCAGGAGCCCCAAAAGGACCAATGTCACTCACACTTTTGACTCCCCTTGAAACTGTAGCAGGAACTCCAGGGTCCACCTGGACAAGGAACTGTTGCACTTTTAGAGCCGTATGGTTTCTTGGAGCCTCTTTCTAGTTTCTTTCTCAGTGGTTACCATCTGGCATACAGACAGCAAGGGCTGTTTCTTCAGGTTTTATCCATTTCCTTGCTTGACTTGCTGAACCACCTCAGCTTGGGCCACATCTGGGAACCTCAAAGAAGATAGGTATGGAGAATATGGGTTTTCCATTAGGTGCAGTTTCAAATTGTACAATCTAAGCAGTTTAACCCATCCAGTATTCCAACATTCTGCAGAAATGCCATAGCTTACACATAGCAAAACCACTGAAACAAAAGCACAAAGGCAGAAGCTAGTGACAGGATAGTACCCAAGGCTATTTAAATTGGTAATCTGGTTTTTCTTCAGATTGTGTAAATCTTTTGCATGCAGCCCTTAAGCATCACTGCTTCTAGAGCAGCTAAGAAGGGTAAATAATGAAAACAATAAAATAAATAACACATTAAACCATAACAAATTAATAGTAGCACTATGCCCAACTAATATTTTAGAAGGTGTGAGAAAAGGTACTTGCCTGTCACTGAAAAGATGTAGGAGTGGCTGCCAAGTGAGCAACTTCGAGATGAGAACTTCAAAGTCAAGGCTGACTTGGGGAGAGCTGCTTTCTTTTGAAATGCGAAAGGGCTAAGAGCTGCTGTGCACATTTCAGATCCATACCCCACACTAGGGTCTCCCTGAAAAGAGAGTTGAGAGCAGGCATTTGGTTCTTGTCTTCTTTCACTTTTTGTACTGCACAGCGCATCTCCAAGGTTTGGGAGAACTTCTCTGTTCAAATAAACAGGAGCTGGAAGATGCAACACTCTCCTCCAAGGAAAACTGGGGGCACAAGAGAATTATATCATCTTTGGATGTAATGAGAACAGGCCCTGAATGTGTGCAGTTCGTTTCACGTGGCCAAATGTGTTTATATCATGACTATAGCATATTCTTTACCCCAACTGAAACTTGTTGATTAAACTAAGAAATGCAGGTAGAGAACATCAACAGCAAGTGATCTTTGAGACTGCACAGCCAGCAAATCTATCAAAATAATTTAATCTCTTTATTTTTCTATTGGTCCAGATTGATCGTACAAAAAAGCCTTTTGCAAAAATTCCAGACAGTGACAATAAACGAAGAGCTGAAAGCCCAACCATAGGCAAGAAGCTTATTTCAAATGGCAGAATGGTTCCAGATCGTTCCACAAAACCAGCAGTGGATGCAAAAGCTAGCCTGACAGAGGATGAAAAAAGCAACATACCTGCAGAAAAGGTTTTTCAGTTGGAAGAAAGCAACCAAGAAACAGAACTGCAGGAAAAGCAACAGGAAGAACAGAGAGAGAGGCTGAGTCAGGAGAAGCAAGTACAGGAGCAGAGAGGAAGAGAGGAACATAAAGAAAGGGAAAGCAGGGAAAATCTTCAAAAAATAAACACTGATAAGGAGAAGAGAGACAAAGAACAGGCCAACAGAGGGATGGATGAACAGCAAGAAATGGAGAAAGCATCCAGAGAGTTAATAGACATTAGAAAAACAGGTCAAATTACAAATGAAATTCCTGAAGCAAGAAAACTGGATGCTGACAAAATTGTTGCCAGTGAAAAAGAAAAAGTTACTTGGACACCAGAAACACAAAGGCACAAATTTACAGAAGAGTCCCATGCACCTGTGAGGGGAGAGTCTGTCTCCAGCAAGGTGAGCAGTTAAGTTTGCCAACAGGCAAGCAGTCTACCCTGCAGTTTGTTCAGGCATGCTCCTGAAAAGGAGCAAGCTAGCAAATCCACAAAAATACATATATTGGGTTTTTTCATTTGTTATAGATATACAAACAGACCAAACATCTCACTCACTATATAAAGTTATAATTACAAATAAAATCTACTCACTCCGAACAGTCACCAAGCATAGTAATCCTAATTTTCCAATAGTTCCTATGTTATGGAGACAGGACTAGAGGATCCTATCTGTATGCTGTAGCTGGAGTAAGCCCCACTGAGTATCTTGCAGCGTACTTCTGAATAAACACATGAAGATCATTAGAGCTGCAACATGGCAGGCTGGCTTGATAGGAAACTCATTGACTACAGTGGAACTTGCTACAATTTGTTGGAAAAAGAAAGAGATTTAATTGTGTTTCTCTCCCAGCTCTATTGTGAGGAAGGATGAGACTGCAACTTGCTGGAATTCTCACTGGGGCAGTTTCTCTTTGCCTTGGGGCAGTTTTGGCTAAGTGCAGGCAAGAGGCACTATAAAACTCACTTCTTGCACTATAAAACTCATATATCAGCAGTGTTCTCTTAAACTGTATTCATAAACACAACAAAAAATGAAGTAGACCAAGACGCGATTTTACAGTATCTTGTTGCGTATTTTTAATCATGTTATGGCAACATGAGATGGTTGAACTTGGTGAATTAATATATGAAAATTCAAAGTTTTTTTTTCAAAATCTTTTGCAGCAAACTGGGGTCAAAGGACAACCAGAAGTAGAATCTCAAATGCCAGAAGCCTTTAGAGAGGAAACTGAACAACAGTCTGAAAAAAATAAAGTAAATGCACTTTGAGGTGTTTGTGTGTAGCTTCTGAAACCTAGAGCAGATGTCATAACATTTGCTGTTTTGGTATTTGTTGTCATTTAACTGCATTTAGGGAACATGTAACTATTTGTGCTGGCAAGTTCAGTAGATGCATCAGTGTCATTTCATGTTCATTCCACAGTTCCTGTGTTTGATAAAATTTTATTTTATCTATGAGCTGAAAAAGTATGTACTTTTCCCTTTGTAAAGTTAAAAAGTTGCAAAAATAAAGCCAGTGCATTCAGCAGAATTGCTTTAAAAATATTTGCAGAAGTAGAAGAATATTTAATTGTAAAGGTTCTCTCACTGAGTATCTTGAAATCAAATATGTACTAAAGAAATAACACACTGTGCAATGTGTCTACCTCCTCCATGCTGGGGGATAATAATAACTTCCCACCCTTTTGTTCTAAAGTGCAATACATCCAAATTCCCAGTAGTCTCAGCATGTGGATTCTTTTGTACGATTTTGAACATCCATACCTAATGCTAACAAAGATTAGTTGGCAGCAAAAAAAGGTGTGATCGCTTTCTTAAACTGTGGCTTACCTGCTGCATTCACACCTACGCTTGCAAGTTGAGTGTCAAAATTAACAAGATAAGGTCTGTGGAAAGTTGTCTCCAGATAAAACTAGATCACTTCATTCAGCATGCCCAGCTTCACATTTCTCTCCATTTCCACAACTGAGGTGGACTTCTCACCCTGGACTTCATCTTCCAGATACCTTTTTGCACTGCTGCCCGTGCCCTGATTAGGAAAAGCTTTCTGGATGGAGTTTTGTACTAATACATAACATTGTTTACAACTGGGTAACCTGAACTCCTTGTATCTTTCTAAGTTTATATTCTTTCATGTGTGGAAGACTTTTGACATCTTAGCCAAAGTAGGTATGCTGTATTGTAACTTTTTGTGTCTTTCATTTAATCTCTGCTGTCGTTTTTATTCCCAGCGGGAGCCATTAACAAGAGCACGGAGTGAGGAGATGGGGAGGATTATACCAGGATTGCCTCCTGGATGGGTCAAGGTAAGTATAATTTCTAATTTTCTGAATGCTTAGCACTTAGAAACACACTTACTGTGCCTATGCTATCTTACTTGTTCATAGTGAGTAAAAGCATTACAGTGTGAACATGAAATAAAAACCCAAGTTAAAACAGCAGAGGGATAATGTGAGCAACAAAGAGAATTGTAATTCCCAAGGTATTAACACTTAATTTTAAAATTAGATCTTTACCTGGTGGCTAAAAGACCACAACATAAATTTCGGCTAAGCCTCTCTGCAGTGGTGATTCACCATTGCTAAAAATTCTCCTTAGTCCACTTCCTTTGGCAAAAGCAGCTAGAGAAGGCAGTCCAGAAGGGCATATGCTGGTGGAACTGGTCTTTCTGGTATTGTGCTCCAAGACATTTAGGGCTTTTAATTATAATTCTGGCACTTTGAATTGGGTCTGGAAACAAATTGGAAGCTAGTGTAGATGACAAAACACTTGTATATTATGAAACAGTTCCTGTTAATGAGCTTGGTGGCCTGTTTTGGGCCAGTTAATATTTTTGGATTTTTTTCAGAATCAACCACATGTGCACTGCATAGCAGTAATCTGAACAAGAGATCTTTTAAAGCCTCACTTGACTCTTCTTTTTTTTTCTTTGTGCATATGTCACTTGAAGTTCCTTGATCCAGTCACTGGGACGTTTCGTTACTACCATTCACCGACCAATGCCGTTCACATGTATCCACCAGAAATGACTCATTCAGCCACTCCACCTTCTACCCCACCAACTCATAAGTCAAAACCTCAGACAGTTGATCAGCGGGACAGGGAACCCTCCAAACTGAAGCGTTCTTACTCCTCACCAGACATAACACAGGCCATTCAAGAAGATGAGAAAAAGAAAATCACTGTTGCTCCTACTGTTAATCGTGAGAATAAGTACGTGGTGTTTTGTTGTTGTTGTTGTTGTTGTTGTTTTTACAATACTTCTACAAATTCACAGAGTCTTATGGGACATAGTTTTCTATCTAGCAATTGAAAATTCTCTTTTGTAATTAGCACAATGTGAAGCAAAAAATGTTTTTCTAAGACTCCTGGGACTTAATATGAACTCTGTGCCACTGCCAGGATATTCTAAACAGACTAAAGAGGCCTTAGCACAGAAGGCCTTTTACAAGCTTATTGTCCAACAGTAATCTTTTTGTTTTTGTTTTTGTTTTTTTACCAACTATCCATCTTCTTCTGTATTATCTTTCGCTACACAATCACTTCTGGTGCATGTTTTTTTCTATGATAACATGTGCGAACAAACTGAATACTGTCCTTTTAAGTTCTCTCTCTCTCTCTTTGCACACTATCCATAGTGTTTCATTTTCAAAATTTTAAATCCTATAATTTTAGCATTAAGATAAACTTCTATTTTAAAGCTTATAGCTTGCCAGTGCTTCATTACGTGGAAGCAGAAAAGGTACCACAAAGTCTTGGAGCATCTTCCTTCTTTGTGGACATGATTCTACCAAAGTTAAGCATTTCTGGCTTTTTAATTGGAAAGAAAGTAAAACAGGCAAAGTATACATTAACACTGTCTGAATTGCATGCATATTTTGTGTTTTTATGGATTTGTTTGATATTTTAATTAGAATTTTGTTTTTAACTTGTATTTTATTATTGTTAGCCAACTTGAGCACAATTTTTGGAACAAAGGCAGAATATAAAATAATTAATAATCTTCCATCTTTCAGATTAAAATTTTATAGAGTCGGTTATTTTAAAATAAAGTTGCACTCACATTTTTGAACTGGTCAGTACTACTTCATTAAAAAAAAAAAAGAGCACAGTTGTCCTATACTTACTGAATTCTGTAAGCTTGTTTCTTTTACTACAGTGATTTCTGGGGAAACAGACTATCCTAGAAAACTGAACACAGGGGCAGAACAAAAGGCTTTCAAAAATAACTATAAAACAACATTTCACTCTTAATATTACTATTCTTCTTACAGACCAGTATGTTATCCTAAAACTGAAATCTCAAGGCTTTCAGCATCTCAGATTCGTAATCTCAACCCTGTATTTGGAGGAATGGGACCAGCTCTCACAGGCCTTCGTAATTTAGGAAATACTTGTTATATGAACTCTATATTGCAATGCCTGTGTAATGCACCACATCTGGCAGATTATTTCAACAGAAATGGCTATCAAGATGATATCAACAGGTAACAAGCATTTATTTTATTTATCAGACTGCTTTCATTAACCCACATCAGAGTGTTATAGCAACATTTCTAAGTATTATCTGCAAGAGAATAGTGATGTTTTTCTTATTTAGTACAAATCTTTCAGTTTAGGATTTACACATACTGTTTCCAAGGAGACTTCCATCCAGGGACTGACCAAATACAACCTGTGCAGCTTCAGCAAAGTATATTGATTTTAGATAGTTATACTGTGCCTTTCTACTTAGAGGCAATCTTATGCAGTGTCCCTTAGTGCCCAGTCTTATAGTGCCCAGCATTCCCCAGCTAGCCATGCTGGCTAGATTTCTTTTTCATTCTGACTATGCATAGGATTGTACCCTGATCACAGAAGAAAACTATAAATTGTAATAGTTAAAAAACAACAAACATCAGAACAATAAAACATCAGTTTATAGTTTTGTTCTGTGATAAGATATCCCTTAGTTAAAACAATTAAATCAGTGTTGATAAAAAAAATCCCTGTGCTCCAGCTATCACTGTTTTAAGTGTTCTTTAGTGGCCACATGGACAACTTACCTTACCCTGAAAGTGGATCAGGAGCAGATTTCAGGTCTTAAATTGGGGATACTCACAGCCAGTCAAATGTATATCTATATTCTTTGATTTACCATCCTGCTTTAGGAGTGCCTAGGCTAAGTGGGAAGCTGGGGCTATTAACATGAGCTTTAAACATGCACATGGTTGTGTGCTTAGACCATGTCTAGGACCCTGCTTTCGCAAAAAGAAAATGGTTGCTTTTAATTTGAATGTTACTTGGTTCGGTTACTCAGTTATGTCTCTAGTAATTGAAACATATAGGCTGTTTTTTATGCACCCAGCAAGCAAAGAAAACATTACAGTCCTCATATTAGCAAATTTAGCGAGGTAAGGAGTTCATTCCTTATAAAATCAGTGGAAGATAAATTGAGAAGTGTAATTTTCATGGTAGTTGGAGGGCACATTGACTCAGCAGCAGACAGAGATCACGAAGAGGTCAAAGATAATCTTCTTCCAGATCTAGTATCCCTCTGGACACCTAAATCAGAATTTTCCAGCATAGACAAAATACATTCATATAATCAGCATGTATTACTATGTAAAATTTCACCTGTGTAGACATGTTTTAAGGATGAACATGCAAGTGGCAGCAGTCTTTTGTTTAAGTCCTTTCATTTAGATTATCATTTTCTGCTTTGCTTATTAAATATCAGTGATTAAACTCTTATGTAAATTGCAGGTCTAATTTCTTGGGGCACAAAGGTGAAGTGGCTGAGGAATTTGGCATAATCATGAAAGCTCTGTGGACAGGACAATACAGATATATCAGTCCGAAAGACTTCAAAATTACCATTGGAAAGATCAATGACCAGTTTGCAGGGTACAGTCAACAGGATTCTCAAGAATTGCTTCTGTTTTTAATGGACGGTCTCCATGAGGACTTAAATAAAGTAAGTTTTGGGTTTTTTTAATAACCTTTTCATTTAGAGAAGTAGAAGAGAGATGTAAAATCACAGAAGAAAGATGCAAAGTTTCTCACTTTGTTCCTCCTCTTCCCTTCCATAAAAAAGAACTTTTATTTGCATAATTTATACTTTTACCTGCAAAAAGAATTTTAATGGGTAAAACTTGGCTCCCTTGGCTCCCAGACATTTGACAGCATATAATTTAGCAGGTTGTGGTAACTATTTGTTAAAGGTTTCAAATTGTTTTATTTGTGTATGTAACTGGTTTTTATTATATTTTTATAATATATTTCAGAATTTTAATCTTTCTAAATCACCTAAAATAAATTGTTTATTGGGCAATATAGAAATGCAATGAATGAATGAAGCTTTAATGTCAAGGTGCAACAGGCAGAGTCAATAAGGAGCAATGCAGAAAATTTGCTTTTTCGAAACTGTAAAGCAGGCGTTTCTTACTGTTTTGGCAGACAAAAGGAAGTATTGCTTGCACACGTTGAGTCAGATCCCTGCCATGTGATTTGAAATGTCCTTTAGCATAAACAAATGGGGCCTTCAACAGAATGCTGTCATTTAGAGTGTTCCTGTTCAGAATGCCTATTAACCAGACTAACCATCTTCCAGAATGTGCTATTTCATTTTACCCTCCCAAGACATTCAGCAGTCCGTGGTCACCGGGAATGCTCAGTCTTCGTGGGGTGCTTTTGGGGTTGCCCTGTAAGTTTTTCCCCTGAATATGTTATATGTAAGACAACAAACTGGTAATTCACCTAGCTATGCCGATACCTGTGTTCCTCAGTGACAGCTATGCGTGTGTACACAGGGAAAAGTGGCCAGAAGGGCTGCAGTCTGTTGATAGATTTGATGGGAATTAGAGTTCAGGCAGTGAAGATGAAGCCGCTTTGGAATGTCAGCAAATGACAGTATCAGAACAAGGTCAGGGAATGTCTACAGTTCAAGAACTGTTGCCCCAGGTGGGTGCCCCAGCCACCCCATGGGAATGGAGAGATAGCCCAGCAAGGGGAACTGAGAATGGAAGTTGATGAGAGCTCTGATCTGCCAATGGGAGAATGGGAGGGCGGGTTCAGGGTCTTCCCCGGTGCATGTACCGGGGTTAGGGTTAGTCATCTGCCAGATATTGAGGTGCCTTTCCCCGAGGAGGTGTTGCCAGTTGCTAGGAGGCAGCACAGACGGGAGATTTGGTTGTTGGAGCCATGGGGGGTGGGGGTAGGAGTGTCAGCACCCACCTCCGAGCCGGCAACAAAGAAAGTGCATAAACGGGACGAAGACTCAAAGAGGGTTCAACACTTCACCCTGGCTGAACTCAGAGATGTTTGACAGAAAAGACATGTAACAATAAAGCATTGAGAAAAGGAACTCTGAAGCAGCATGTTTGCTCAGGAGAAGGACTGCGCCGCATAACAGTGACCTTGTGCCGGTTGTACACCTCTTGGCAGTCACCAGCTGAGCTTGCTATTACGAGTGATGGCTTCTGAAAATTCACAAAGAAACTGAAGTGGGCTGTAATCCATGAGAGCTTATGTTTATAAGCTTTGTTTGTCTTTAAGGTACCATAAAATTTTACAATATGTGCATTTTAAAAAAAAGACTAGGTATCTAAAGGACTGTTATTCGTGTTAGAGATAAAATCCCCATATAGCTGTTTATAATTATAATTAGATGCAGTGAATAAACACTGGAGGGTGCCTTGCTTCTGAGCTTCCCATGGGTTTCTAGCTGGCAAGGGTTGGCTATGGCATGTTGGATCAGGTGGACCTTTTGATCTGTACCAGCAGAATAGCCTGTATTCATTAAACATTTGAAATAAGAGTTGAAACCTGCCACAAAACCAGCAGATCGTGCATGACAGAAGATTCTTAAAACCTTACTAACCCTCTGCATGGAGTAGGAATTGTGGCAAAGTGAAGGTAATAAAATAAGGATTTCTTACATACAAACGTAACTCTAGAGCTGAAATGGAGTTGGAGGATGCTTACAAGAAAGATTGTTTTTCTTCTTTTCCACACATATGCTCATGCTGGGTCTCTTAATTAGATCAAAGGGAAAAAGTCTCATCAACAGACTCACTTTGTCTTTCTCTGAGTTTTGGCTACCATCTGGCTCATCTCTGGGTCAGCTGGTCTTGGCTCCTCAGTTGCAGTTGCCAGGATGGCTTCCCATTGCCAGTATCTGTTCCCATATCCCTTGAGGGCTCCTTTGCAAGAGAAATAGGCCAGACCCCTTTGTGCTGACGAAGGCATTGGACATAATTCGTGCTACTATACTATGCTACTTCCCTTTTGAACTTAAATGTGTTCTATTCTTATTTACTGAGCTCATTATGTAAATTAACTTGTATATCATGTAGAACTGCTTCTTCAGTCTTTTTTTCCCTCTTATTTTTACAAATACTATGATGTCCTCTTAGCGAGTAAGTAAACCAATGCTTGATTATTCATCTTGTGTCTGATGCATATCAATATTTGTTCGGCCATGTCATGAGTATGAGAAAAAAACCCAGTTCTTCATTTCATTCTCAAATGAATGTCAGTGTATAACAGTTCTGTGTTCTGTGGCTAAAAAAGCGAAATGTGGCAGGAAGTTTACAATTACGACCTCATTTGAGTGTGCCGTTGGTCTCCCAGATCCATTGCAGCTGCCCTAATTTAGCCAGGTTACACTACTAGTAGAATTAGGTTGTAGAAGTACTGTTGTTTCACACTAATATTAGTCCTGAATGCATGTCTATAAAACAAAGATTTTCTGCAAATGGAACATGAGCCTATCAAAGAGAGGTTTTTGCCCAGCAGTTTGCTTCTGTGTCATTTTCAGTTTGAAAGTTGTTAAACTAAGGCAGCATACTGTGATAGGCTCCCCCCTGCAATTAGGTGGTAATCCATTCTGCTGCATTCTGCTGTATGTGCAGGCACTTCTCAGTCTTTTGAATTGGGCCTCCCTGAGCAGGCAGACAAGCAGAGACATTGCTAGCTAAACAAGCATTCCAGAAAGCCCAAGGTCTGTTAATGGTGTTAATGTCAAGAAAGGCAAAATGTTGACTGAGCTCGCTCCCTCAGACTCTGGACTGGTTTGCATGTCATGATAAGCCACAGTGGACTGGTTATTCATCCACCAATTCCCATTGCTCCAGGCAGATGACAGGCAGTCGGTATCACGCCATGGTTGCTTCCCTTCTAATCCACCACGCTGCTTCTGCCATGTATCCCATAGGTTTTGGTGACCTGTGAATGTACCATTAGAAGCTGCAACAGCAGCTTTTGCTTGCCTACAGGGGCCTTATTTCATCTGCAAGTTTACTGGGAGGGACAGTTTGGCCCAACTTGCACAAGAATTAAAGCATTCTCTGCAGCACCCCTGAAGTCTGTCTCCTCCAGACCTTCACCACACTGGGGCTGACCTGCTCATACCAGTTCCCTGTCCCTAGCCCTGCACAGTACTGGACCCTGCCCTTGTGAAGTAACAAGACAAATTTAAGAGACTTGAAAACACTACCTGTAAGGGAAAAAAAAAAACCCTGACCATGTAGCCAGAATGCTCAAAAAATAAGTTTCATGTGTCTTTAGAGATGTGCGCATGTGAGGCATTATCACTTCCCTTCTGTATTTCCATAGCTGCACATGATGATGTTGTACATACAGCCTTTCTGCACATGTTCAGATATGTTGTAAAGCTTTTTAATTTCCCACCTTTTCAGGCTGACAATAGAAAGCGTTATAAAGAAGAAAATAATGATCATCTGGATGACTTGAAAGCAGCTGAGCTTGCCTGGCACAAACACAAGCAGCTCAACGAGTCGATTATTGTTGCACTGTTTCAAGGCCAGTTCAAGTCCACAGTGCAGTGTCTTACGTGTCACAAAAAGTCTCGGACTTTTGAAGCATTTATGTATTTGTCCTTGCCACTTGCATCTACTGGTAAATGCACACTACAGGTTAGTGTCATGAATGGTTTTTGCTTGGTAATTTAAAAAAAGCTTAATTTTTTGCTTCAAAATAATAATATTTCCCTGATTGCTTTGTCATGGAAGGAAATATTGTTCAGATACTATTCTTGCTCAAGAACTATTTCTGAAAAGGGACTGAGAATAGCCTTTAGATTATCCGTATCCTTCTACCAGTGATGGGAAAAAATAGTGCCCAAACCAAAAGATCCTACAGTCATGTAAATAAGGATTCTCCTTTCACCCTGGAAACTTTTCTTTTCCGTACAAGTAGATAATATTCCATTCTTCTTATGGCAATGGTGGCGAACCTATGGCACACGTGCCACAGCGGGCATGCAGAGCCCTCCCTTTTGGCATGCGAGCCAAGTTGCCCCAACATCGCCCCAGCAGCCAAGCATCAGATAACAGTGCACATAGGGGCCATGCGCATGCTCGGAAAGGAGTAGCGGTGCCAGGGGATGACATCATGAGCCACGACTCATTAGCCACAACTTGTCCGAGCTTTTGTGTGCCAGTCAGTGCGCTGCCAAGGATTTGCTTGGACTGGCTGTGTGTTGTTTTTTCTAAACTAAAACTTCAATTTTCAGGTTTTATTGTTGACACTTTGTGATAAATAAGTGGGTTTTGGGTTGCAGTTTGGGCACTTGGTCTCTCAAAGATTCGCCATCACTGTCCTATGGCATCAGGTGTGCCCCCTCCCACCCACAAGGTAAGGTCTAAGCAGTGTCTTAGGGCAAGCAGGAAGTAAACATGTTTCGTATTCCTCATTTTTGTAGTATGTAGCTTTCCCTAAAGGTTAAGCAAGATAATCTCTCACCTATATTCACAGTCCAGTGGAAGCACAACACAGTTGATCCAGCTATGTATATGACTGTGTGTACCACCCAACAGCAAAAGCTCTCTGGGCCGTTCTTTATTTGTAAAATAAAAACATGAAGGAATTCTTCCTTATGAAGAAAACTAAATTGAGCCACGTATCTAGATCATCACATACTTTGTTTCTACCACTGCTACTCATTGTGCCCTAGGGAAGGGCAAAAATTTGGAGCTATATTCTCCAAGTTATGTTCAGTTTCTGTTCTGGCTTTGGAGAGTCCACCAGTCCTTTATTTTCACAGCTTTACGGTTTAGAAATGTGCCTTTTTAAAATGGGGATACAAAGAGACAGCATTCACAGAATGTTGTATTCTGTACACTGACTTCTTTTCTGTCCTGAAGAACAGCTCATTTATTTTCAAACTTAACTTCGAAGTCATAATACCTGGAAGCTATTTTTTATTTAATAAAAATGTTGAGTTTCCCCTTTTCCATGGAACCTTGATTCCGACCATGGCTAGTAGGAGGCAGCCTTCCTTCCTGAAAATCTCAGCGGAAGTATTCAGGTTCCACTAACACTCACCCCTACTCTGGATCTTTGCATTCAGTTTGTATTATTTTTCTTTTTCTGTAGGAATGCCTTAGATTATTCTCCAAAGAAGAAAAATTGACAGATAATAATCGATTTTATTGTAGTCATTGCAAAACAAGAAGAGATTCATTGAAAAAAATAGAAATATGGAAGTTGCCCCCTGTACTTTTAGTGCACTTGAAAAGGTAAGGCTCAAAAATTGCAGTGTTCCAGACAGTAGATAATTGGACCTTCAGGAAAGCATTGAGGTGTTAAAAGCAATCTGCTGTTTTACAGCAGGTCAAATGAGTGGGCTGGCAAGAGCTCTCCTGGGTTTCTGGCGAATGCTTCCCACGATCCCCTCTGGAGATGCCTGGGACAGCCCAGGCCTCCTTTCCTCCGGAGTATGTGCTCTGCAAATGAGCTACAGCCTTTCCCAGTGTCACTTTCAAAAATGTAGTCTCTGTCTTCAGTCCTTAAAAAAGCTACATGTGAATAGACGTGGAAGTTGCACTGCAGCATTTTGAGTAACGTGACTTTAAGCTTGCTGCTGATGGGATCAGAAACAATTTGTGACCCTTTGCCTGTGTATGGCAAGCCTTGACAGCACAGTTCTCAAACCCAGGGAACCCTTGAAAATGGCGGATTTTTCTGGATGCAGCATGTGCATCCTGGGCCCTGTTGCTTTCTATTCATGCGAGTAACACTTCAAGAGCACAAAACACTTCAAAAGCACTAGGCCACTTTAGTGTCATAACTACTGCATGGAGCTACAGTCTTCACATTCACTTTTGCCAAATAGTTCATTTTCCAAGTAATTATCACTTTCCTAAGATTCATGTGTCATTGTCGTAGCATTTTCGGGATACCCAGAAGTATCTAACTTTTATTGCCTGTCACTCATGCCTAGGTTTTCCTATGATGGACGGTGGAAGCAAAAGCTTCAGTCATCAGTTGATTTTCCTCTGGAAAGCCTTGATTTGTCACAATACGTTATTGGTCCAAAGAGTAGCTCAAAAAGATACAATCTGTTTGCAGTATCTGTAAGTAACCATATCAAGTTTTGAACTTCCATTTGCCCATTCATTCATATTTGATGACATTAGCTAGGGAATTATTTGCAAAAGTGTCTTTGGGGTTAGCGTCTCTGACTGCCAGTTTCTTCTTTTCGGAACGTGGAGCACTTGATGCTTCCTTTGAAAACTAGAAAACTAGGCCAAAGGAGAATTCACTGTGGTTTTCTAACCCTGTTCTTGTTCTCTGTAGAATCATTATGGAGGGCTGGATGGAGGACACTACACAGCCTATTGCAAAAATGCTGCCAAACAGCGGTGGTATAAATTTGACGATCACGAAGTCTCTGAGATCTCCGCACCCTCTGTAAAATCCTCAGCTGCTTATATCCTCTTTTACACTTCATTTGAACAGCGAGCCCCTGATATAGCCACATAAAGAAATGTTGGAAGAGTATTGGCTTCTTTTTATAAATGCACCATTATAAGCTGAGCTTTGATGACTGTGAGATAACTTGCTGAGTAAGGGGAAGGTGACAGCCATTTCTTATCTGTCTATTACCGCTATTGCTTAAACGTAAAAACCAAATGGTTAACTCCGCTGCTTAATACTGAACAATTTGTTCCAAAACAATTATTTTTTAGTGATGCTCCAAAATTATAAATCTAGCTTAGCCATTTTAAAGCCATTAACCTATGGGTTTAAGATGATCTAGAACTCAAAAGCATATCTTTATTTTCTCCCACATTTATGGCCCTTTCACACTAACCCTTAAGCTTGAGTCTACTGTGAATATCTTAGACTGATGTAAACAGGTAGGAATGTATGTGTACATATTGATTGCAGACTTGCACATCCAAACTATGTATATAATAAAGATATGTGGTCCTTTGGTGAAAATTGCTAGAATGAAGAAGGTTGCTTTTCTAAATGCTTTCATTCTTCTAGGTAGGGGAAAGCAGAGCTGTATTTTTCTGTTGGACTATTGTCTATCTGTACACCTTAAAATGTATTCTACAGGACTGAGACTTCCCTTTTTAGTTTTTTAATATAAGAGTTTCATGTACTCATGTATTTAAAAAAGTCTTACTGAAACAAGTATTTGGAAATACAATGGCCTGTTAAACATTTTTATGTCTGTCTTGGATTCTGATAGGTTTGGCTCTGGGATTATTTTAGTGGGGAGGAGAAAATGAGAGAACAAATGAAGATCCTAGACTTACTTGAACAAGTTCCAAAGAGTTTGGCAGTCGGAAAGATGTGAAGCATTCTTAGGCCTACCCTTCACACTGGGTGCAACTTGAGATGACAGAACAAGCTACTGTCCTGGCTCTGGCAGTTCCTGTGATAAAGCGGTCAGTGGTCCAGCCATGAATAAGGCTGCTGAAGTGTCCCCCAAGCCATTTGTCCCCTTTGGAGCTGTTTCCTAAATGCTGTTGCAGCGCTGCTGTGCATCTCAGACCAGGCCTGGAACTTCTAAGTGCCTTGCCTCTGCTGCTGTCAGCAGCGTTTGCAGCAAGTTAGACAGAGTGAGATCCAGGATGCTGAGGGCCATCCATCTGCCTAAATAGCCAGTCAGGCCCTGTGGAGTCCATGCCTCAGAGCCCCCAGCTCCGTCTCCTGCAGGAGGATGCTGCCTCTGTGAACGCTCCCAGGCCCTCCCCTCCGTGGCTGCTCTTGAATTCAGACTCTGCTCTGCTGCGGCCGCTCCCCTGGGGCTTGCCCCTTGCCGGCCACCGGGATTGAAAAAGCCAGTGAACTCATCCCAGAAACAGAACTTGCCAGTTCGTTAGTCACATACGCTGACTTCTCGTTTGCCCTGCCCTGGAGTTCCCCCCTTCCCATGTGCAGTAGTCTGTGTTACACACTTAATGAGCCCTTCGGGGACTATTCAGCAGCCTATTAATTTGAAAATAAAGAAATAGAGTAGTAGAAATAAAGAGCTGCAGCATCTCTAATTCTATAACAACAGCAACAAAACACTAACTTTGAATGCCCTGGAAGAATTTATTTATCTAGGGGTGTGCTACATTCTGTGAAAGCCTATTCAAAATGTGTTGATGATCAACATCTAACTTTTCAGTGAAGAAGTTGAGCAGAGATCAGTTTCTAAGTCACTGAGTACCATCCAAAATATGCACTGAAAGAAATGCAGCTCTTCTTGAATGTTGAACCAAAACTCAGGTCAATGCAAAGTAGCCAGTGATGTCACTGGACCCTACTTAATATTCCGTGGTGTTTCCTGGGCACTTTGGTTTTTTACAGGTGCAGAGAAAGTTTGACTGCTGTAAAACAGGAGGTAAGCTGCAGATGTTTGTACAGAAGAATCTGGAATTTCAGTGATCTGAGCGTCGTCAAAGTTGTACCAGCTCTGTGTGAGTGTGTGTTTGCAGACCGCCGTGTAGTGGCCACCATCTAAGTCTCCAAAATGGTTCTGTAACAACAGTAGCTACTTATTAATGTGCAGCAGGGGAGAGAGCTGTTCATATCATTCATTCAATTTTTATCCCAACATTCCTTCAAGTTGCTTTGGGTAATATAGATAGCCCCCCTGTACTTTGGAATTTTATCCCCCACAGTAACCCTGAGACATCCTCCTAAAGCATTTGGAAACTAAATGTAGAGGGCAGGCCAGCTAAGCATGTTGGACTCCCTCTCCGTCCCTTGAGCTCTCTAGTGTTGATGGGGAAGCTGCAATTCGTTCAAACTGAACATGATTGCAGCCTGAAGCCTGATTTGTGCAGGGTGCCTGATCTTGTGGGAGGACTGCAACCATGTTCAGTCAAACACTCGCTGATTTTAAGGTTCTCCGGACTGCCTTGGTGAAACCCACAAAGGTTTTTTAAAAATCTGAAACCAATTAAATGTAAAACAAAAGCATCGGTGAGCATGATAAGCCTAACCTTCACAGTCAAGTTAATAATGCATCTTGACCCCACGCCTTCCTGAACACGCAGGAGGCGAGGACTCAGCCATTCCAAAGAGAATGCATCCCACAGTATTGGAGAGGCACAGAAGAAGGTCCCGACTGGGGCCTTTTATTGATCTGACCCATATGCTTGGAAGTTGCCACTGCAGTTCTGTGGAAAAGGGTGGCTGTGTTCATAGCATCACTCCACTTTTCTCATTCTCATTGCTTAGAAGTAAAACTTCCATTTTTGATGCACAAGACAATTATTTAAGCAACTTCAAAGTGACCACTTGTGTTCTAAAATATGAAAAAGTTAGAGCCTTAACATTTGGATTACAGGACCAATTGGTGTTCTTTATTATTAATATGCCTGCTAAATTCTGGAAATGTGATAATGAAGAGAAGCTATAACTAAGGGGCTGGGCAAGATCCATTTTCCATCCCCACCAAGCTTTATCCCCAAATTTACTCCATATTTATAAATCCCTGCTTCTTCCTTCTCTCTGTATGATTTCATCTCTGGTCTTCCCTGAGGTCTCTGCCACCTCCTTTTTTTCCATCCGCCTTGTTCAGCTGTCTCATTTCTGTGGGCATTGGCACTGTAACTGACGCAATTTCTTGTTCTTTTCTGGCCTTGTGTCACCTTTCTTGTATCTTACACTCACTTTCTCTAGGCCTTTCATCTTTGGGCGAATTTCTTCCAGCTATTCCATGCTTTTTTAAAGTTTCCTGTCACAAGAACTATAATCTCTGCTGCTTTTTCTTGGAAGGTAAGACATTTTTCATTGCCGTGAGTAGGCAGGAGGAGCCGTTTTAATCCTCTGGTGGTAAAGCTCACCAAAACCAATCACAGTCTATGCACTGTGAGCTTTCCCCCCTGATGTTTGCAGTGAGATGGAGCATTTAGAGCATTCTCCTGCAGTCAAATACAATTGCTTTTCCATCAACTTTTTTTACAGTATACCTAGCTATCCCTGTGAAGCAAGTCATAAGTAAATTGCAGAGGTAGGCTTGTACGAGACGGCTGGAGATTTGTTTTAGAACTGGCTTCCTCAACTCCCAGGCTGCCTGAGAGTTACGATCCAGCCCACCTGGAGGGTGCCAGCTTAAGGACGCCTGTTCTGGAAGATTAACACGGGAATAATTTTCTGTGTTACTTACCACCACAGCAAATAAGTTGTATTTTGGATTTTTCCGAAAGAGTGGATATATATATGGAGACAAGTCCAGGTTATTTAGTGGATAGTAGATGTCAGTTTTCAATTTCTTTTTGTAACTGCCTTGACAGTCAAATCTGAAAATAAATGAAAAACTTTGTAAATGGACAAAGTACAAAAGATATTTAGAGTTACCTTGTTGTGTTTTGAGCTTCCAAATAGGAAGACAGTGGTGAAAAAACTTATCCCAGAGTTTTGAAAGACAGAAAAAATGTTGGAACAGTAGTGAGCATTTTATGGAAAACTGTTGCCAACTAAATTCGTTTTCTTGTTTTTGCCTAATATACTTCATTTAAGCCTCTGTGTGCCAACCCTGTCCCCCAGCAGCATGTGATATATTCTCTAGGAGAATGAAGAAAAGATTGCTTACTGTGTGAATATGTTGCCATTGTCTTGTTTACGAAATACCGCGAGTTAGAAGTTGCTGTGAAGACATCCTTAAAGCAAAATGCAGTGGGAAGCAACTCTACCAAGAGGCAGTAAAGTATAGATGCTTGTAATCAAATATTGCAACTGGAATATATCTTTCCCTTTCAGCAGTATTGCTGAGGGTCAAAATTAGCACAGAGTTACTGCTTGATGACATAATCATTGCATTTAGTTAGAAATTATTTGCAAATAGTTTGCCTAATTTATTTTGCAGGTCATTAACGCTGCCTTAAATAACAATTTCTTTAGGCAGCTGCTGTCACTTCCTCTTCCCGGTAAGCACAGAGAGCTTGTAAATCAGGGGTGGGCAACTTGTGGCTCACCACAATTCCCATCAGCCTTGGCTGGCAAAGCAAATGATGAAGTGTCATGGGAACTGTAGGCCAAAACATCTGGTTTACAAGTTGCTCTCCCCTGTTGTAAATAATAGCTAAGAAGACCTGTACCTCTTTAGATGGAAGATAATTGTCTTTGGAGCCTTTGCTATGCTGGCTTTCACTGCAGCATCCGTCTTCGTTCCACAGTAGGAGCAATTTATCTGGTTGTTCCAAGTCAGCATGTCTTGCTGAAAGAAGCATTCAAGGCATTCCTGGGGAACAAGGATGTGTCAGCATGAGAAGCAGGCAAGACAGGCTAAGACTAGATGGTTGCAAAGGGCTATATGCCTGCAGGGGGACAGCCACCAAAACCCCTTTAAGCATTTCCAGAGCCCACCAGCCACTTTCATCTCCTTGTCCTTGTGATGGAAACAGCTACTTCCCATCAAGATTGCAGCCTTCTTGCAAGACTGTTGTGACTTGTGATGTTCCAGTCTGCTATTCCAGAGTCACCAGTAAAAGTTGCAGATTTACTCCAGCCTTTCCCCAATCTATCCCCTGCCCGATATTGTGGGTCTTTCTGGATGGAGCTAGTTGGATTTGAAATCCAAAACATCCAGAAGCAAATGTTCTGAGAGTTCGATTATTGAAAGGCAGTTTCTTAAAGCATCCTATCGAGCAATTGTAAAGCCAAAGTATTTCCAGGGGTAACGTGCAGAACTGAAGCCCCCTGGACCAAGAACTCTGTGCCCAAAGAGGGCTTGAACATAGTTCCTGCTGCTGGGTTTCCACATCTGTTCGCAAAGGGAACCATGTGGGCAGCATCCACAGTGTTAGGCATTGCCACCAGTTTGAACGTAGGGAGAAGACAAACACACCTACAGGCAGATGATAATAGTGTGTGGCGGTGGTGAAGAGCACGGGACTGGGACTCGGGCGACCAGGCTTCCAGTCCCCGCTCAGCCATGGAGCCAACTGGGTGAGTTTGGGCAGTCATAGACTCTCAGCCCAAGCTACCTCACAGGGTTGTTGACGTGGGCATAAAATAGAGAGCAGGAGGAGGAGAATGGTGTAAGCCACTTTTGAGTTCTTTAAAAAAGAAAAAGGCAGGATATAAATTTAATAATTAATGGTATCAGCAGTGATAGATGGATCCAGGCAACCGGCCAAGGGACCTGCACATACGGCAGTGAAGCCTGCCTTGTGCTTGGCACGCCTTCCTTGATCAGCCTCCCGTGGCAGCCACCCTTTTTACCCGATAAAGATTTTTTGTGGGAGTACATGCCCGGGGGTTGGGAACTAACCATTTGCCGTAATCTGAATATCTTGGAGAATTTCTGCAGGGTGCAGGCACTCAGGTCTTACTGCGTAGGACTAACAAAGGAGAAATGCTCACTGTTCCTGAAGCTACTGGCATCAGGGCTGCATGGGCGCTTTTGGCCATCTGGAGTGGTTTGAACAAACTTCCAAGGGAAGGTGCTCTCTTGAGGAGTGCCTTCCACTGGCCTGCAGCTTCCCCCTCTGCATCTGACTTCCAGCAATAGTGCCCCCCAAGAGCAGCCATTCTTGGCCCTTCGTAACGTTTGGAACTGGGATTTCTCAGCACCAAGATTTCTGAGAATTGTGGCGCTTCTGTAGCAGGGCTTCTGTACCCTTTACAAATGGCACACGTCCCCAGATGTGTCCCTGGTCTAAAAGGTTGGGGGTGCCTGTCCTTCTCACAGCTGCCCCTGAAGGAAGACGGGCAGCTTGGACGGGTCCTCCCTTGTTTATGAACCTGTCTGAAAGTTCAAGGGACTTGAGCTCAAGTCAAAAGCAGCTCATTTCAGAATTAAATTGGATCGTTCACAAATGATTTGTTAAATCAGAATCAGCATTGCATAGAAGAATCAGCTTGGAGTAACAATTACTCTAGGCTATAGATAAAAGGGGAGCCAAACCAAGGCGGCTTCAGCAGTAAGAAGACAATACCTCTAGTGAGCATTCAGTTTCATAAGGGATGGGCAGAGATAACACAGTGAAGATCTCATTTTTGTAAGTGGTGGTTTGGCATTCCAAACACACGATGTCGTAACTGAGATGACCCTCAAGAAGCCGGGTGATAATGGAGGACTCGCCGGTGCAGCCCCTGGACTCCCAAGCAGCAGAAGTGGTCCCCTGGCTTTTTCTCTTGCTTGTCTGCAAAGGCAAGAATTGCCCTATTACAGGTAACAAGGACATCCTTTCATTTGCTGCTGTAACTTCTGAATTATGTTTTGTAAATCCCCAGTTAATCAGTACCAGATTTTGATTTTGCAATGTAATTATCCAATTTATATTCCCTTTCAAAATTTCAGCACTGATTGATTAAATTGACAGCCTCAGAGTTGATATTTTGGAACAAACATGCATTCAACCATCATTGTGGGCATCGCTGTGTGAGGCTTTTAACCCACAACTTTAGCAAGACATCCATTTCCACATTCTCTGAGTGATTAAGTCTGGCTTCTTTCCATGTGCATTTTTTCCTGTGGGTCTTTCTCTGCTTTCTATCTGTTATATGGTACAGCCACTAGGTGGCACTGTAATGTAGTGGAATTGGGTAAATACACAAGTGGTGGAATGGTGTGTTGCTACCCCACATTGATGCTTGGATCACAAGTGGCTCCGACTGCAGATCTTTGTATTGTTTTTCCTTTTCCCACTATTGTGAGACGTAATGCAAAACATGACTTGCCATTACATGATTGAGCCCTGAGCAGTCTCGGACTGCGTGCTTCCTCTCCCTGTGTGCTGCAGGTCCTACCTTTTGCTTCCTCTGTCTTGTTGAACCTCAGTTTATTTATTTATTATTATTATTATTATTATTATTATTATTATTATTATTATTATAACATTTCTATGCCGCCCCTTGCCGAAACCTCGGGGCGGCTTACAACATGATAAAATACAGTTTACTCTTTCGTCCGAAGTGGGCAAGTTATGGCTTGCTCTGCCCACATACCAGAACTTCCAAGCCAAAGCTCAAACACCACCTTGCAGTTCTCGTGTCCAGGCAAACCATAGTTTGGCAATGAAACAGCAAAGTATGACATGCTGAGAGTCAAGAGGTGAACATAGGGCCTGTGGTACATGAAGCACACAACCCTCAGGTCTTGTTCACGACATCAGAAGGCACCTTCTGTCTCGCTGCACTGGAGCCAATCCAGTGAAAATGGTCGACCCCTTGGCTAAGAGGCCTTCAGGGCCTTGCAGTGGACTGTGTGGAGCAGCGCACTTAACACTGGAGACAACGACAGCGCGCACAGGCTCACGTGCATGTGCTCCCCAGCCTTAAGAAAAGCAGAGCACAGCGTAGGTACAGGGGAATGTTCCCACCCCACTTGTTCACGCAGCCCATTGCCACCATAACTGCCATTCAAATGCAGAGCAGGCGACACTGACCTTCTTGAGAGCTTCATGCAGTTCATTCAGCACATATATCAAAAACTCCTGAGCATCTTGCTGCGTCTTCTTGATGAATGCAGGATATCGCTCGCCAAAGACCAATCTAAACACCTCTGGCGATACACAGTCAAAGTCTCCAAGCCACATATCATTCATCAGGTAAGCAAAGGCTGTTGCGATCTCTCCATTCTCCCTTAGAGATTAAAAAAGGGAGTGTGGGATGATTTCAAGCAAGCAGGTACTCCAAAGGGCAAGTTGAAGCATGCGAAGAGTACAGCCCCGCTGCCACCCCCGTATTAGCTCAGCTATTCAGAGCGGCTGAATATTGGCTGAACTCACCCATCTTCTTTCTCTTCCTCGTCCTTGTCCTGCCCTGCATCACATCTGAAGTTGTTCTGTGCAGCAATTAGTCTTCATCAAGAAGCCAAGCAACTTTCCTATCATTGTACTACATTGCCCTAACCCTAACCTTGTCACTGTTTCATTTTAGCTGTATCAATTCGTGGATGTTTAAGGCATTATCTAAAATCAACTTTTACAGACTGTGAACAATAGTAAATTTCTCTGATGCTGATACTGGTGGAAGTGTTTTTTCATGTTTGGTCTAGGTGGCAAAGTATCTGGCTCAGTCTCTCTGAACTGTCTAACCTTAAATCATCTAACCCCGATGGGGTGGTGATGGAAGAGGGTGCAGTGGGGGACAGAAATCTGACAGTAGTCCCCTACCACCTGCCGTCTTACTGGGGCAGCCAGTAACACCAACTGCCTTCACTAAGTGTCTGGCTTAGCCTTGGAAGGAGGATGGTCCCACTGCGTAGCTTGAGACCACTTCTCGAGGTTGGCCTTAGGTAACGGCTCAGAAACAACACTGAATGTACTAGAATGTGCAAAACAGCAAGCCAACAGAAAGCCAAGGGTGCTTTTGGGTTGTCAGTGGACAAATGCTCCTACAGCCAATGGTCCATCCAATTTTATGTGCTTTTGCAGTACCAAGCCTGTAGTTGTCACTAAATTACACACCAGAAAGCTGTAGCCAACCCTGGCTCCTAAGTAGCAGCTATGATCCAAGTGCTTGCTAACTCAGGCTTCCGTCCCCATATAAATGCTTATATTGTAAGGCTTTGCTAACATCCTAGTAGAAAAAAGAAAAAGGTTTCATTTCACTCCATTCAGTAACAGGAGCACTGTTAGTCAAAAACGTGAAGTGCAGAGAGAGAAAATCCGATGAACTTACTTGTCTAGTGATGCTGTATACTTTCCGGAGAGGAAATACTCCACCAGCGGGGAGACACTGCAAAGGCACTGCATCACGGCGTTCATATAGCAGGTGTTGCCTAGGTTACGCAGGCCAGTCAGTCCTTGGTACTGTGGATTCATTTCATCCCTGGATTCGTCCATAGGCTCCTCTGAGCTCTCCAAGGGAACGACACCCTTGCTGTGTTCCCAAAGCCAAACAATTACCAAGTCTCATCTGGGGCACAGCACAAACAGCTTGCATTATACATACATACATTACATACCTACATGTGTATGTAATGCATGCATTATGCATTATACATTTATCATACATAATGCAATATTGGTTTTTCCCAATGTGAGCTTTCACATCTCTTTCTCGGCACCTCTGGGAGAGAACCTTGGCACTTTGCTGAGGACTGTGAATAACACTAGGATGCAGTTGAAACAATTACACCTGTGTAAGCCAAGAGTGCATCGCAGAGCATCTAGCACTTCCCCATTGCTTCCACATGGCAGGTAAATTACCTGGAGAGGTATCTTCCTAGGAAACACATACATGGTTATTGATCTTCAAACTGAACAGCTCCCCACCTGCAGCTAGGTAACTTTAGACCCTGGCCTTGCTTGCCTGATGGAGTGGCCCTTCGAACAGCCTTGGGTATTCCTCCAGTTTTATAAAGAACACAACTAATGTTCCTGTCGCCTCTCTGCAGCCAGTTACGCCATGCATTTTAATTGTTTCTATGTTTCCTACACTTTAGAATGCTTTACAACATAACTGGTTTTTTAAACCCTCAGCATGTGCAGCTTTGCATTTCAGTCTCATGGAAGGAATGCGTTTGCTTTGGCTGCTTTCACTGCTTGCTGTCCTCTTGCTGGTCATTCCCAGGGAGGGGCTAGGCAGGGGTCCTTCAGTGTTGGCCCCAGGGTCCTGGCCGAGCTACGCTGCTGGTGAAGCTTCCGGGTAGCTCCAGAAAGCCTTCTGAGAACAGGGCATCCTAGCATTGCCCTGATACGGCTCTGAAAAAGATCACAACCATTGTGCAAGGCTGCAGATGGCTTCTTCCCAGAGTGCCTGTGGCCAGTTCATGCACCCATTCCTAATGGAGTAATAAGCCACTGATGACATACGGGCTTAATGTGGGGCCGCCATCACATGCCTGCCCTGTGCGAGCGCCAGACCAGTCAGCAGAAGCTGAATGATTGCTTGCTCATGACTATTGCAATGGATAAAGCGAACTGGTTCTGTGTGTGCACCTTTATGCAAACAATCTACCATGCTAGACAAAATCAGGGCTGCTGCGCACAGCATCGCTTTGGTAAAAGGATGTACACTGGTACGGGAAATCTATTCTGCATATTGATGCTGTCTTTCCATCACTGCACTTGAAGTCTTAGGCTTGTAAGGGCATCATTTTGAGAGAAGAGGTGCCAGGGAGAAGGTATGTTAAGAACCAATGGCCTCTGATCTGGAAGTTCATCCCAATCCCCAGCTTGTGAAAACTTGCTAGGGTTTTACAGGAGCAAGGCAAATGCACTCTTCAGCTGCTCAGAAGCACGTCTGATCTTCCATATCCTATCTGCCACAGCTGACACTGAAACACTGGAAGGAGCCCGGTACCTATATGGCAAATCACATACCCTTTGGAAGAGTGTTGTTTATCAGGAAATTGCTGCATTTACACCCAACAACACACACATGCACAAACACAGTTTAGATGGAGCATGTGCCTAAAATCTGTGCAAATCTACTTGAAAGTAACTCCCACTGAAATCAGTATGACTTACTTCTGAGAAGACTTTCACAGGGTTAAGTAACTGTCTGTCTGTATAAGGGGTTTCCTGGAATCCTGCATAGAGAGCATAAAACATGGCGGACTTTTCATTACGCTCCAGTATATCTCAAGCAAAATAATAATTCCATATTCCAAACCCATGAGACTTAAGGATAATCTTTTGTCAGCCTCTTAGCAACCAGTAGCCTTCTTTTGAGAAAACAGATTAGCGCTTTCCTGTTGTGCTTTGTAAGATGCCCAAGTACCAAAGACATGTGCTGGCATGCAGACAAACACAGGCATGATTCAATAGCCAGGCTTGCCCACAACAAACAGCAGTCAGGAAATTATGGGCACCTTCACCAAGTACCATGCTTTTATCCTCGAGCCATGTGAACCCAACTCATCAAACAAGCCAGATGATGCCCACAACACATTAATTGATGTAACTGGAGATTTAACCTTCAGGATGCTTAGTTACCAATTCACAGTGCACCACAGGTACGTCTTTCCAGTAGCCATCATCTTTCCATTAACCAGGCTGGACCAGTTAGACCAGCTCTCCTGGAAGGCTCTGCCTGGTACTGAAGTGATTGCTTCTTCAGTGCCATCACTGTCAGGAGCAATTGTGCCTGAATTTCCAGCCACTTATGTTCAAAGGCATGCCTACAGCTCAGCCTTCCCCAGCCTGGCCCCCTTCAGAAATTGGAGTGACAACTTTCTGCATTCCTAATATGTAGTCACACTGGCAGGGGCTGATGGGAGTTTAAGTCCTAAACACCTGGAAGGCAGCAGCTTGAGTGCATGGGGTTTTCACAGGAACATCAGCTGCACCAGCAGGAAACTCCTTGAAGGCTCTCCAGATCTTCTCAGTCTTCCAATCTGCCTACCTCCTTTGCAAGAGGGAAGAAATGCTGCAAATCTTAATGCTAAGCTTGCTTCTGAAATGGTCTGCTGCTAATCAGAAGCTGCTTTAATTATTTCTAGCAAGCTGTTTTTATGTTGCAGCAGGGACTTTTCGAACTGATGCTTTAGTTCAGTTTTAACATCATAAGCTGTCGCATGCAAAGGAAAGCTTCGGAACAGGTGCTTCTGCAGTCAGGGCATGGCAAAAGCCAGGAGAGTTGGGTTCCCAAAAGGATCGGGCACTTCACGGACACCATGGAGGAACCAGCTCACAAAACCCACCTCTGTGTTCCCACTCTGGCTTTTGTGGGGGTGAAACACCTAATGGCAAACAGGCCAAGATTGTTTCGCCACCTGCATTCGCAGCAGGAACAGTTAGTGTGGACTAGTGTGTTTATAATAAGAGTTGTCAGTCTTAGACTGGCTCTACCTTTGAGAAAAATCATCCTGCTTCCCACACCACTCCAGTCACAGCATCATGATTTAATCGTACATCTACTTACTGAAACCCAGTATGCCTGCTTGGAATTTAACAGGAATTTGCTGGCCAACTATTCAGAGACTAAAACATTGGGTAGGAAAATGGTGATAAATATACAATCCCAACCTGAACATCAATTCCAGAGTATTTTCATCTCTATCAGTAGGAATTGATGTCCAAGCAAACAGTGTATTTAAAAAGATCAGGGATTTTTTATGTTCTTTCACCTGCCAATTCCACAGTTCCTAGTTCTCCAAGGAACCAAACAGATGCAGGAAACTCTCCACTAGTGAGAGACTAAGGCCCTCAAGTCAAGTGACTAAACAGTAATTAATTTAAAACAGATACTCACAGAAGATAATATATATTGAAGTCATCGGGCATCTTTGTTGACCTGGAAGCCATCAGTTGGCTGGCAAGGAGACAAACGGTGCTCTCACTGGGGTATGCAGGGAAGCCAAGTTACCACCTCCTCTTCATGTTGAAGCTTGCCTTTTCTCTTTTCTTGTGCAATCACATTGTTTCATCTTACTTGTATTCAGAGGACCCAAAATAGGCAGATTTGTTCCCGATGGTTCTTTGCACTTCTTGTAGGTGTTCCAATATATGTTCTTTTGGCATCATAAATGTACTCTACCTCGTTGCTAGGTGACAGGTGGCATTGGGCTTGTTCTAACAGGGCAAGCAGTTCTAGAACCCTAGAACCTTTGGAGACTATTCCAGTCAGTTGCTTTCCAAGGATGGGTCATCTCTTATAGAGGACATCTGGACTAGCAACAGAAAGATTTCTTGGACCCAAACAACTGCTGATACCATTTCCTCACGATCTTTTGGATCAACAGCACAAGCAGCTCTCATAGCAGAGCTCCCTGCTTTGGTGCAGACTGCATTCTAAGCCATCTTGTTACTTACTTGGATTTATGTCTATACACACAAACTGAAACTAAAGCAGGGACCACATCATCCTGCATTCTTTGATGCGCAGATAGTAAATGCCTAGGAATGAAAGCCAGTCGCATCCTACACCTTTAAGAATGGCTTGATTCTTAGCAATCAGGTGGTGAGGCTTTTCATAGGGCATGACTGTAATTACCAGCTGTTAGTGTCTGCAAATCAAGCTGCTGTTTAGATTTAAGAGCAGGTCAAAAAGCTGACAACAAGAATTGAACATCTTTTAAAATGCCATTATCATCATGATTAAAACAAACTTTTAAATGGATGATTGTTACAGATCATACAGTCCTTTTGGTTTAACATGTTCTACCCAAGCTCAGTATATTTACTTGCTTTCTGATGCAATAGGTTTCAATATAGTCTCTTTATTGTGAAACTGTTAAAAAGTGGCAGGTATTGGTAGAGAAACTAACCTTGAACAAGATTAAATAATCCCACTTTGAGATTGTTTTGTAATGAAAGTGGGCTGTACATGCTATAAAATAAAGCCAGCAGATTATTTAACATCCAGGTCCAACCCGGCTTCTTTAGGAGTGGTGTTATCACAGCCACCTTTAAAGGGGCTGGCATCACTCCCTTTCTCAAGGAGAAAGGTGGACCCCTTCCCTAGATCTCCCCATAGGCCATGAAGGACAAGGGTCAAGCAGGCAAGTGGTGGGCCACCCTTGTCCAAGCACCACTCCGCATCATCGGGCTGCAATAACTGAAATTGCTACAAACAAAATCATACGGTGTACTAGTCACTTCTGCCAATGGAACTGGGACAACTGTGGGGTCCAATTTGGTGTGGATCTGATTTTGCCCTCAAAATGATGTGCAGATTTGTCTCAGTAGGGTACCAAGAATTCAATCCTATTTCTTTTGGGGCCAGAGTGTAGAAGGCATGAACCACCCAGAACTCCATTGGACAGCACCCTGAGGACACGATGCAGGTGGAATAAAAGTGTCTCTTAGTCACCTCCACCATCATGGAATAGGCTTGATAGTGAGCACAAAGCCATGTTTGGTCGTATTCAGCCCAAGTTTTCTTCCACCTGAGCTCTATCCATCTTCTCTCCTGCTTCATTGCCCTCAGCTCAGATGTATACCAAGGAGCAGGTCGGGCTCTGTGAAGGGGGAGAGGGCACTTGGGGGCAATCATGTGAACTGCCCATGTCATCTCCATATTCCACAGAGACCTGGGCTTTGACAGGAGCACCTACCATACCAGCCAGAAAAACCCTCCAAAGGCTTCTGGAAACCAGTAAGAACCATTAGACTTTGGGTGTGGACCAACTTAATGGGTCCTCCACCCATGCAGAGGATATTTCAAACCTCAAGAGGAAGTGATCTGACCCTGACAAAGGGGTAACTGTCAAACCCCCAACCATCAGACCACCATTATCCTGCCCAGTTGAGAAAACCAGATCCAGAGTGTGTCCCTTCTCATGTGTCACATCAATGACATGCTGAGACAGCCCCATGGTTTGCAATGCTGCCATGTCCTGAGCCTCCCTTGATAAGGCAGCCTCAGCATGGAAGTTGAGATCACCCAAGACCAAGTTCCTGGGGCTCCTCAACACCAGGTCTGAGATAACCTGTGTCAGCTCAGGCAGGGAGTCAGCTGGGTAGTGGACTGGACATTAAGCCAGCAGAATCCCTGTCTCCACCACCCAATGCCAGGTAGACACTTAAGGCCTGGCCCCGAGTGGACAGGAAGCCTGCAGAGGGGGATAGAATCCCTGTGAACCACTGTAACCCCTTTCCCCAGCCTTCCAGGCGATGCTGGTGCTGTCCCAAGTACCCAGGCAGACATAGCTGGGAGAGTAACCCTCCGTTGCAACTCTCTCACCCAGGTCTTGCTGATACAGTGAGATTTCATTATGTGCCGACCTAGCACTGAGTAACAGCACCACCAGGCCCAAGGGCTAACTGGCATGGTTACCAGAGACCATCTGGGTGGGGGAACGACCAGAAAAGAGAACAGCAATAAGACATCTGTCCCCTCTTCTCTTTCTTTGGCCAGTCCACCTTCCTCACCTTTGCCAATTCTTCTGTGTTCCAATCAATGTTCTCCTCTGGGTATCTTCCATGTCCTGTATAATACCAAGCCCCCTTATCAACATTCAATTTCATCTGGGTTCTTGCACTGGCATAGATCGATCAACATTAACAACCATATGCTGAACTTTGGATCTTTGAACTGAAGATCACTGGGTAGCAACAGAACTAACACAGAAATATTTGAAGAGACTTTATGGCACCTAAACACACTTCTTGAACAGTCTCTTCTCTTACAGGTGGATACATTTCTCAGATCTTTTGCACACCCTAATTACTAAAGATAAAGGTTGCCCCGCACATGTGTGTTAGTCGTGTCCAACTCTGGGGCTGATGCTCATCTCTGTTTGTAAGGCTAAGAGCCAGCATTTTCTGAAGACACTTCTGTGCTCATGTGACCGGCATAAACGCTGAGATGCAAGGAATGCTGTTACCTTTCCACTGAAGTGGTACCCATTTATCTACTGACATTTGCATGCTTTCAAACTGCTAGGTAGGCAGGAGCTGCGACAAAGCAGCAGGGGCTCGCCCTGTCATGCAGATTCGAACTGCCAACCTTCCGATTAACAGCCAAACAGCTCAATGGTTTAACTTAATTACTATTCCCTAATTACTATTCTCAAAGAATAGGTGGGAAAAACATGGAATAGGTTGTATAGGAAGGTAACTGCGTTGATTAAGGATGAACTTGCTGGAGGTTGACATTGAAGGAGATGTGATGCTCAGCCAGGTGCACTGTTTGCTTTGGCCAGGGCTATGCATGGTTGTAGGTGCTTTCACCAATTCAGCTAACATCTGGTGGAAACCAGCATGCGTGTCCCTGTGAGAAGTCCACTGTTAAGACCTAGTATTGCATCCAAATGATAATATTAATCCTTATTTGTCCCCTCCAACTCCTTATCAACTAAAATCAAATAAAATAAGGAAGGAGCTCAACCATCTAAACAAGAATAAATTTATTTGGGATTGTTTAAAGATTTATTGATATACAAAATGTATACAGTTTGATATTTTTAATGCACTATACCTTTTCTTCTCCCAGTGACATAAACCACCATTTAAACAGCTATTGTGTTCGTGCCTTAATGTCTGTATCTATAAGATACACTACAGAATTAAAAAATAATAATTACTGGGCGTTTATGATGCCTTTCAATTAAAAATAACAATTAGTACCTACATAACAAAAAAAGTTGCAGCATGAAACTTCAGTTGGACAACAGGTTCTTCTTGTTGAATATTCAACAAATTGGGGACAGGTAAATTACATTTTATTGGCATAAAGTTGCATTGCAATCTCCCGCACATTACATAATGTAAATCCAACTCTATTTTCTTTTCTTTTAAATAAGTTCTGTATATAGCATAACATTAAAGGTGTTTTCACACAATTTTAAATACAACGGAGGGGCCCTTGTGATGCTGTTCTGGGTGGTGTGGAAGCCACGGCAGCGGCACAGCTACTTACGGCACTGGAGAGGCAGATGCCGGCACTACAGCCCCTTCCCATACCGCCGTTGCTCCCACTGGACACACCAGCAGCAGCAGCATAGCCGGGGTGGGGGGGTGGGGCTGGGGTGCCACTGGGCTCGTGTTGTCACCTGACCGCTTGGGAAGGCGCCATGTTGTGACAGCTCTTGCAGGGCAGCGGTAACATCAGAAGGGACCCTAAAATGTTCACATGTACATTCAACATTCATAGACTGGTTTTAGGTGATCTTTGGAAGGCAACACTTCTGAAGCAGCCACTACGTAAAAAGAAACAGCACTTCCCAAACACCTGTTCATTGTACAAGGCAACATATCCAAGACCAACTTCTGTGCTAGTTCGTTACATCAAATACCTGTGTGATTAGACACCTCCCTATCCTGCCGTCTTCTTTTGTGGCTCTACTAGTATCTGACAGTGACTTGATAAAACTGAAATGTATCTTTTCGTTTTTTTAAAAAAAGAGGATTTCATTACATACAGTCCATCCCATGAGAACTGGCTCCACACTTCTGAGGATGAATCCTGATACAGGAAACATGCCATCACTTCTTGTCTGGAAACAGCTGTTCCTGCTCTATGGGGCTCAGCTTACTGGCACTGAACACGGACAGGTCCTTCGGAGCAGCTTCATTCCAGTGGGCCACATAAAACATACATGGCTCTGAGCAGAGACAGTATTATATAAGACACCCTGAGAAGGGTCAAAGAATCCTTCGGTATCTGTAAGCAGAAGGTATGTGCAGGGATGGGGGCTGGGAGGACTCTCCCATTTCTCTAGCCAGATGACAGAAACCAGCTGCCAAAAAGCCCAAACACAATCTGCCTTAAAACCATCAAAACCAAAAACGTCATTTGGTCAAGGGCATATTGCACTATAGGATGAGGAGGGGGAAATCTCCTGCACAGACCTAGGTAAAATGTGAAGTTCTCCTTCTGCTAAAATGCCTCTTTAAAAAGCTATTTCATAAATACTTAATCTCATTCAATCCTATCCCTCCCCTCGCCCTCCCTCCAAAAAAAAAAAAACCCCCCAAGGAATCACCAGCTGCCAGGTGCTCCTCCATGGGTGATTCCCACATTTTTCTAGGCCCCTCTACAATGGGCCCGTTTACTGTACCAGAGCCATCAAAACATTCCGGTCCTATTTGTGTAGCCTTTTGTTTTGATGAAGGATTCTATCCAATTACAGCACAGGGAGAGAAGGGCCAGGGGACTCCGTGACTTGAGCAAATGTTTGGGTGCAACCAGAGTGCTGTGCCCGTCATCACAGCATCACGTGACTGGAACCGGCTGAGTCAGATTCTTTGGTGCAGCTCCCAGGCTGAATGGTCAGCTCTGGAGAATCATCTTGCGGCAGCAGGATTTTATCGGGTGTGTAGTCATTCCGTTTCAAATCTACAAGCAAACAACAGGCGCCCTCAGAAGAATGTGGGAGAGGAGAATGGACACACATTTGCAGCATGACAGCTCTGAATTCCAGCTAAAGCGGTGGCCAGGAAAGGGGGACAGGGAGTGTGAGGGCAGCCAGGTCTGCACACGAACTTCTTGGCGCAGGAACTCTAAGCTTTTCTGCCTGAGCCACAGCTGCCTGATGAGCATTACTGGGAGTGAATTTGTTGGTGGGGGGGGCATCTGAACTAAGGATGGAAGCCAAGTGTCTGAACCAAGACAACGGGGTTTAAGCTGACTATTTTATGCCTGACTTCATCAATAGGCAAAGTATGTGTCTAGAGAGAGTTTTAAGAGGTTCAACATCCTAATTTATAATAATATAGTGGCCTTTATGATGGACAGTTTTTGTTTCTCAATTTGTGCAAAATGTATGTCCCCAAGATGACAGGACTGCTCTCTTAACATATACTGACTTTTAGATGGCAGGGTAGAGGGGATTTCCCCTATGTTTGTCATAATTAAGGGAATTAATTTATCCTGCTTGCAACAGTGTATTTATAGAGAAAATACTTCCTGCCCAACCTGTTACAGCTCTTAATTCTAGGAGCTCAGGTCAAGAAAAAGGTGGAAGAACCAGTCCTCCTTTCAGCATGTATGGGAGGGAAAGGGAAAGAGTCATTTCATGTGGTTTCAGGGACAACTTGGTTAGGTTATCGTGAGCACAGAAGTGAGCAACTCCATGTCCTAAGTAACCAACAGGGAACTGTGGAACTGAAGTATGAAACCCTTGAGAAATAAAAAGTAATAGTTAAAGGCAGCAGAGAGAGAGAAGTTTTTTTAATACACAGAAGTTGTATTTTTAAATCCAGAAGGAATTTATTTCTTCTCCCTTAAACAGGTGTGTCTGTTTACCTGGAAGCTTAAGTTTCCTGCAGCATGAGTTGCAGTGGTGCTTAGCTCTGAAATTTTTGATGGCATCTTCTCCTAGATTTGCAGGACCAAATACCATATCGTTTGACCTTTAAAATAAAGCATAAAACGTAAAGTTTCTGTAGCCAAACATGCAAAGTTTGTGTGGAAAGTTTATAGGTCGGTCTGTCTGGTGTGGTCTTGTTAAGAGTTTCTCTTTTCATCTTACCAATGGGAAAGAAACTAGTCTTTTTATCAGGTAATGAAGGAAGCTCTCTCAGGTGACCTCTCAAGTTTGCTGATCCACATTTACCACTGCTTTAAAATTAAGGCAGTCTAGAGATCTAATCACAGATCTGTCTTCTGATGAATGGGTTGGGCAAAAACTGAGTTCAAGCTTCTATATACAAAGTAACCTACAAGGGCTGTAGAAATGGATTCTGTTTCAGATAATCAATCTGCACCTGAAAGGCCAACACCAGAGCACCCAGAGATAAGCCAGGGAAGTTACTGAGAATCGGAGATTTTAGAGATCATGCTAATACAGAGGGGGCAGACATGGCATCATTAAACCCAGGATCCAGGTGATGAGACTGTGACTGGACATTCCAAGTGACTGACCCTGGAGCAAGAGGATCTGCTTGAAAGTGTGGTTTGCTCATTTCAATTTGGAAGGAAAGAGAGGTAATTTGGAATCAGCTTCTTTTCTTTAAGGATCAATATACTAACTTTGCTTGTTTCTTTTGTTTCTGCCTTCTTCAATACTGCTCTTTTGCACTACAAAGCCAGCATAACTGGTCAGATTTAATGTAAATAAAGTCTTTAAAGCTAGAAAAGCCCTTTTCCTGGTCTGCTAGGAAGGAAAGGGGAGCAGAATGACCACTGCACATGCACATATCTCCCTCCTTCCTTCACCGTACTAAAAAGGAAGTTTGTCCTGCCTATTTTAATTACCTTTTTTCTTCAGATTTTATCACAGAGGGATCTGTCAAATTTTCTCCAACACCTTTACAAGAAACAGAGGAAGTTATAAACTTGAAAAACTCCCCAGTTAATAGTCAACCACAGATATGTGAACACAACCTTTTTCTTTTCCATACAAGTGGTTCTAACATGAAAAGACTAGTGAAAGAACACATGTCACTTAAACTTCCCTTCAATCTGATGCAGAACAATATATTTTATGGGGGCGGGGTGCAAAATAGAAATGTTGAATTAGGCCACCTCCATCCACACTCTGTTGTGCACAGAGTATTGAACACAGCAAATATAACAATCTATTTGTTATAAGAGGGCAATTCACTACCTTGTGCATTTATGCAGCTTGCTCTGAAAAGGATTGTGAAGTCACCACCAAGAACATATGATACTGTGACTTATACTGTGTCAGACCTTTGATCCATCTAGCCCAGTAATCTTGACACTGGTTGGCAGTAATACCTCTCCTGATTTTCAGGCTGGCATTTTTCCCAACCTACCTAGAGATGCCAGGAATTGAAGTTGGGACCTTCTGCATGCAAGCTAGCACTCCACCACTGAGTTATGGACTGCTCTGCACCGTACTGCAGGAATATTAATGACCTATATTCCACTGACGTATTTTCTATATACACACTTGAGAGATATTATTTTCTTTTAATATACAGGAATAGGAGGAATAAATGTAATAAAAGGCATTAAAATATTCTCCTGCAGCATGTAATATAGCGAGAACTCAACTCAATGGCATTTGTTGAAGATCCATATTGTGCAACTTACAGCCTTCTAGTGCAATGTTATGACATTCCTGTGCACTCAGAGTTGCCACAACCCAATGTCCCTCTGTTTCACATCCCTGCTTGTCAGGATGTCCATTTACCTTGCAGATCTAAGACCAACAGCTCTCCTCGAGTATATTCATATGTCCAGTGGCTGAAGGCTAACATGACTTCCTCCAGCATGTTAGTTGGAATTATTTCATCTCCATTGTTGTTATTGTACTTTCTGAACTCTCCAGTCATGCATTCCTCAACTGCAAACCACTGCCCAGCTGAGTGGCAATATAAAAGGAATACTTCCAAGAACCTTATGAAGAAACATATCAAAACAAGATTAAGGTATGAGCAATTGCAGCATTAAGAGGTTTTGCGCCAGGACTCATGCAAATTCCTCTGTCCTTTTTTTAAGGGTCTGTTCCCTTATTGACCAGGTAAGCATAGCAGTTGTTTATTTATTGTTTTATATTGCCCATCATCAAAAGGGCAAATGATCCAGTGCCCAATACCTCTTTTCTCCCCACAGGGTCTAGGTCAAGGTGACCTACTAAATTTCATGGCTGACAGGCTCGCCCTAGACACAGTGCACTGCCCTTGCACACCCGCGCGCCACTTCCCAGTGAATGCACAATTAGCCAACTCTAATTCTTCTTTGGTCCACACTAATTCCTTATTCTTGAAAAAATAACTAGTGAGTGTATGTCCAAGAGCTTGTTTTTTGTTAATCTAGGACAGTGATGGCGAACCTTTTAGAGATCAAGTGCCCAAACTGCAACGCAAAACCCACTTATTTATCTCAAAGTGCCAAAACTACAATAAACCTGAAAACGGAGGTTTTAGTTTAGAAAAAACAACTCACAGCTAGCGAGAGAGAGAGAGAGAGAGAGAGAGAGAGAGCGCGCGCGCGCGCGCGCGAGCGAGCGAGCGAGCGTGCGCGAGCGCGTTGGCAGCACACTGATGGGCCATGTGAAAGCTTGGATGAGTCACGGCTAATGAGTCATGGCTCGTGACGTCATCGCCTGGCGCTGCTATTCCATGTGCATGGCCCCTATGTACACTGTTGTCCGATGCTCGGCTGCTGGGGTGATGCTGGGGCGACTTAGCTTGCATGCCGACAGAGAGGGCTCTGCGTGCCCACTGTGGCACGCGTGCCACAGGTTCGCCACCACTGATCTGGGATCACACCACTGGGGATTTTAAGGAATGCTACAAAGCAAATGGGCTCAATTTCCCCTTTATAATTAACCCTCTCTAGTCACCTAGTTCGGGGGGGGGCGGTGTTGCCAACCCAGCAGTATTTTTGCCAAAGCAAAATTTGGTTTTTGGCTCTGACATACTTGAGATTTTAAAAATCCAAAAAATCTTATACTTCAGCCCTCTGGAATACTGTCTGACATTATAACGGTTTGAGATATTTTAAAAGTGTCTTTGCTGGGAAGCCTCCTCTATATATATGCATGAGTTTTTTTCTGTGTGTACAGTACACAAAAACAATCTACACAACATATGGAAATTGTATGTAGACCAATGCTGTGTGCACATCACAATAAAGAAAAACTTTATTTTCTATCTAGGTAATCCAAATGCTGTATCAATCTAAGAATAATGAAATAAGATGCATATTATTTTTTACATGATCAATTCTGCAGTTTTGTTGGTTTATACAGTTTCATTTTAATTTAATCTAGTCTGGCCTTTGTTCCAATATTCTACTAATTCACACTGCAAAGGACTGATCAGTATTAATAACTGTCAAAGGCCTCTTCCCTAGAACTTCTGGCCTCATGAGAATTGCCTCCATTTAAAGCTACAAGAATCCCCCAGTTGACTCACTGCCCATACCAGTTCAGTATTCTAACACACAGTATTTTTGTCAAATAGAAAAACAGCACTGAGAAGCACCTCCATGAGGCAAGGTGGGAGACAGAGAACGACTGGGGGCTGCAGAAGTATCCATATCTGGATATTTACAATGCTGTGCTTGGGCGAACCATTGTTTTGGCCCAGCATGGCTGTCCCTGCATTGTGAAGATGTTATAATACATACCTGGGAGAATATGGAATAGATTTGGGCTTCATCTGATTGAAAGCAAATGTGAGCTTCTGTGCTGCCCTTTGCTGCTGAATTTCCTATGAAGAAGAAAGCCAAATTTCTTTGTGGTTAAGACAGGCACCTGACAAAGGCAAGAGCACTGGTAACTATATTTGTATTTTCCCAGTACCATCCATCCACACAGTCTTTTACAAAGAAAGGGAAGATGGTTCCTTTACAAGTCAACAGAGGAAGGAAAAGGAAATGTCATTATTGCAATTACAAGCAGTTAGGCTTAATTATGTTAACATATCGAGACTAAGGGGTTGTGCCTGAAGGTTTACTGGAAAAGTACGGGTTTTGAAATCTGTAGGGGCGGGGGGGCAAACCCGTAGAGGGCAAGCACGATGAGGATTAAGAGTCCAATAGTGGACAGGATGTCAGTGCAGGGGTTTAAGAACAAGTTTGACATAGCCTGACAGATGAGGTGAATGGCTTTGGCAGTGATGTGCTGTAGTCAAGACAACATACGTATAACCAAGGAATGAGCAGAGTTCTTGCTATTTCTGTAATATTAAGAGAGAAACAATATGATATCACAATGGACTGAATATGGGGGCAAAATAACAAGAAAGCAAAAGTTAAACAACTGTTCCCCAGATGGATGATAACATTCTCAATTAAAGAGGAAAGTGAAGCTGAGGAGAGCTTTGGAGGAAAGGTTAGAACTATAGTCTTGAACAGACAGGCTAACAATGAAATATCAAAGGGTACTTGGAGATTTGGGTTGAGAGTTGGATGGAAGGAGAACATTTCTGGGGTAGATAGAGCTGGATAGTATTGGCATATAGGGGTTACTGAAAATCATGGGTAACCCAAGGAGGTTATCTGTGCAGAGAGAGAGAGGAGCAGGGGATGGAGAACTGGTCTCTGAGGGATCCTAACAGATAAGAGGAAAAACAAAAGAAAAAAAACTGTGAGAAAGGTGGAAAGAGAACCAGCTAGGGCAAAGTCACAGAGACCAAGGCATAAAGGCAATAAGCAGAACAGAGCAAACTATGGTGTTAGTTCAGCGTATTATGCTTCTGCAAGCAGTTGTGCAGGGGTAACTGCTTGTGCAACATAAAGATCCACCGGAGCGCTGCTAGTGCTATTTGAATTTGTGGAATGACACTGCTGGACAGCACCCAGTGGTTTTTATGGGGGCAATAACAGGAGCAGAGAGATAGACTGGCGGTTTTTTGTTTTTGATTTTGAAATAAAACAGTAGTATATTTGGAAAACAGCGGAGAAGGAAACAGAAGAGAGTAAAGTTGATTGTAGGGTAAAAAATTTGGTAGTATGGTAAAAAGGAGAGATGGCACAGGAAAGGAAAAGTTCAGCTGGACATGGTTGAAAGGTTAGATGAAGACCACAGCACATGCAATTCAAAGTTAGACAAAGGAAAGACAGGGGAATTGAGAGAAGTGTAGGAGAAGGAGCTAGAATGGAGGGAAAGCGTGAGAAGCAGAAATAAAGAAATGAGTAGCTGGTTTCAATTTTGCCACTTAAGAGGCAGCACAAGGAAGAAACAACCTGCATCGAAACTAGAAAAGACATGCTGCAGATTCCTAAAGTTGGTGTGGATCAGACAGGCTGTTTGGCTTACAAATGGCAATAAGAAAGAGAAAAAGGTTGACTTTATGATGGACAAAATCAGCCCACTCTTTGTTCTCTTCCAGATGTATACAGTTATGCAAGAACAAAGATGAAGATATGGGATGAAGTAGTGAGCCAGGGCTGGAGATGAGGGAGGCTATGGGCTGCTGGAAGAATGGGGAAAGTGTTTCAAGAGCTGAGAACAGGGATATATTTAACATGAAAACTACAGAATTTAAGGAGCTGTAAGAAATGACAAAAAACATAAAAAGGTACAATATTTTGGAAAAAGATGGAATAGAGGTCACAGAAAAGCTAGAGACAGATATGATTCCAAGAGTGATTTTACTTCATTCCTGAGTGCACAACCAAATTTTAATCCAAGATATCACATAAAATGTGCCCATGGTTTTACATGCAAGGTAAAGAAAAATGTTTTCAAGTTGTGAGAAACAAAGACCGCTCTTAAACATTTAAGCAGCTGTATGTCATTGAAGGATTGCGTTTCAGAACAGAAATAAGTGGTTATTGCTAGATGGCTCTTGCAAGTGGGCCAGTTCACATGTAGGCGCCCACTGGAAAACAGTAAGTTGAGACCGGAGCCAGTTGCAATACAGAGAGCAGAAGCAATCCCATGATTTTCAGTATGAGTATTGAAACATTTTCTCCTTATTAGTAAAAATGCAACTTACTCTTAAACAGAGATGTAATACTGTGTCTTCTTTGTAAATGCTTGACCAAGTGTTGACAACTTCAGGAAGAAAGGACTTGATGATATAAGTGTGCCCTGATTTGAGAATATCGTGCTCTGACCAGGTGCAGGCCACTTTGAGGGCACGCCGCAAGCCTCCTCCCATTTCCTCCTTGCTTAAGAATTCGATTTTGGCGCAAAGACCCAACTGAGACCAGGAAGACATACTGTTGTTCAAGATGTTGGGAGAGCTTTCCTCAAGACGATACACAGTGACTGGTTCACCTGCCACATGAAAATGTGTGTCATCGGTTAAGCCTGGCAGAATGTTGATTTAGGGTGCAATCCTATTGGCAATGATTAGGCCCTAGAATTCAGAACCTTATGGTCATCCAGTGCAGGAAGAAAGGACTAGCAGAGGAGGTTTCCACCTCCCCATCCTCCAGCTCTGCATCTTCACTAGGTGGGATCTTTTCACCAGTCTTGTTAAGCATCTCAGGGGACAAGGGGAGGTTGGAAAGGCATTGACATAACTTCTACTCTGGCCTCTCCAGTCTCCTCTCCTGCTTGTCCCCCCAAGTACCTCCTTTCTCATCCTCAGACAGTAGCCGGTATGGTTCTTTCCATGTTGCCTGAGAGGAGGACGGCTGCTGGAGCTTCGATTCCTAGCTCCATGGATGAAGCAACACCTCAGATCTTGGCATTTCAACCCCACAGACACCACTGAGGGACCACGAGAGCATTCTCCTAATCCTAATCTATTCTGATAAACATCTTTTTGGGCTGGCCAATAAAAAGAGGAAACTTAAACACCCCTTTTCCTCTTTAATAAAGTGTAAAAGAATTAATAAACAAGATTATTAATAATTTGGTACAACTGAGTGTTGGCTTGTGTTGCCTGGGGGATTTTCTTTCATCCATTCATTCTTCTTCAAAACTAGCAGCAAAATAGAGTGGAATCATCTGGGAATCTCTAAACTTCTGCTTCAAAGTTCACAAGAATTTCATCTGTACTGTAAACACAAAGTCTCTCTCTGAGTTTGAGGCCAGGGTCTATTGTTTACCTTCCAGCCTCAGAAGTCACATCCCTTGGCCAAACCTTCAGGGTGTTTTTGGTTGCTATGGCGGATGCAGGCAGGCTCTCTGCAGAGTCACCACTGTGCTTGTGCAGTAACTTCCACACAGACATTATAGTAAGCACGTGAAGGTGCAATTTGGAGAGACTAGAATTTATTTAGACCCCTTTCCCCTTGTTTATAAGCATAATTGGAAGATCGGTAGGCTGCTCAGCTTTGTCAACTTGGAAGAAAAACAAGCACCTCCCTCCCCAGCAGAAGTGTACATCCGAATACATGCCCAAGAGGTATCAAAACAGTTTACTGTAGCCGAGATGGTGTTAACACTAGATGCTTTTCTCCAAATTAATGCAGCTACTTTTAGAGTTTGTTTTCTTGGGAATGTCTCATGACTCTCAGGCACAAGCAAATAAATAGCTTGTAAGAGATTTATAAAGAAGCCAGCTACAGCATATATTTTCCTAATCTATTTCTGGTATTTCTCTCGTACCAGTGGCTTGTTTTTTAGATTTTGTGAAGAAGAGATCAATCTTGTTTAAGATTCACAGTAATACCATAGGCAACATTAAGTTTTCCAACTGCCTTCCTTCTCAGAAGTTTCACATGTATACACAAAAGAGAAGGTTTTCTCAGCTTTGAAAAGCCCTCCTGAAGAGATGTGCCTGATGCCAACATTGTAATAATTCTAGTGCTGGTTAGGCCATTTTTATTTTCCCCATGTAGAGAGGTCCGCCTGGCGCCGTCGTTATTTGTTTTTCGGTGCCAGGCAAAGACCTTTTTATTTAAGCGGCATTTTAAATGTTAATATTATTGAAATTTATCTGGCCAGGGCGGCTTATTTTATATTGTATGTTTGTATTTTAATCTAATGTTTATATTTTTAATTTTAAGATTATAATTATTTTAATTTATTGTTGCAAGCCGCCCCAAGGCTTCGGCGAATGGGGCGGCATAAAAATGTTTTTAATAAATAAATAAATTTGCATAAATTCCACAGTTTGCCTCATCAGTTTTATTTGATGCCTTTTATTATGGTGGCCCCATGTTAGTGTCATATTGTATTATCTATATTGTTGTGCATCACTCTGGAATATGATTTAATGGCAATATTTTAAATGTAAAAATCATCTTACCTCTTGGAGGCACTGGGGTGAATGGGATGCTCTGTGACAATCTCATCAAGTTATTTCTTTCAACAGCTGTTGAAAAACAGAAAGCAATTTGTTGCAAAAACAGTGCTTCAACTGTTCATTATTTATTTATTTAAAACTTTTATATGCCATCCCTTACGCATGGCATCTCATTATGTCTCATAGCTTTTTTACTGACCTGAGTAGTAGTATGTGGTATCCATGATGGGTTTAAATGGAGAAGCAATACCTTAAAAGAAAAAAAAAAGCCAGGGCACACATTTTACACACATCACTGTAATATTTAAATCTGTTTTTAAAATCAGGATAATATTGAAAGATGAAATGGTATTCTACAGTCCCTGTAACACAATTTTATAGGTTGTTTCAAAAGAGGATATTTTTTCTCATAAAAGTGCATTTTAGATACAATAACCCTTCTAACATAATGCATAAAACACTGAAGGAGACAAAAAAAATGAGTAAATTTGGTTTGGTTTGCCCCAAGTCAGTCATCTTATGATTGCAAACAAACTGAGGATTACAAGAACTAAAATAAATTAATACAATGAAGGGACTGTCCTTACAACCAAGGGCCTTTCACATCTTATGTTAAATTACTGGTACCACTGCAGCTTTCCATAATGTACTATTTTACCAAGAACTTACCATTCAGTGCATCCTCCTCAGAAGACCTGTAAGAAAGAAAAATTTCACTGTTGTTTGCACTTTTGGTATTTTATTACCCTCTGCCTCACTGCTCTAGTCTCTTTGCCCTACTAGTAATATGAACTGTTAAAGACCCCCTTTTCAAATATTATCTACAATCATCACAGGAAAAGGCAGAAAGTTTCTTATGAATATGCCTCCACTCTGCATGAGCAAAGCCAAAATTAGGTTTGGGTCAGTCACCTCCTATGTTTACATTTATATTTATATTTATATCTTGCCTTCTTTTAAGATACACTGTTCTGATTATCATGAATAATAAGCATATGCAGCGGTCATTTTGCTTATTCACATGTTCTAGAAACTTGCTGCATTTTCATACATCCCCCCTTTGTTGTTATTTTTCCTTTGTATAGCCTAGAATAACCCTGTGTAGAGTTCAAATGGAGAAGCCATTATCTATACCCTGCCTTTTTTCCTTCCAATGAACTCAAGGAAGCGTACATTATTCTGCTCCTCCTCTCAGTCTTTACAAGGCGGGAAGAAGTGTAGGGAAGGAAAAAGGATTTTTAAAAAAAAATGTAGGAAAAGGAGTGCAGAAAGAGCAAAGAAAAGGTAGGTAATGGAAGGAGAAAAAACTTGAGTGAGTGAAGTTGAACCAATCTGGCAAAGCGGTGAGGTGTGCTGTCGGAAAGAAACTGAAGAGGGCGAGAGCCCTCCCCTCTTAGCCTAGGCCCAGAAGCAGCAGGGGGGCTCCCACCCACTTCGCAATGCTGAGCTATGGAAGTTTCTCTCTGATCCAGGTCTTATGCTACGCAGGAAAGCCTACATGTGTGATGCACAGAGACCATGATGAAGAATGTAAAGATCCTAACAATTTTGTTCCCTCTCAGTGTATGTGGTTCACAGCATAATCACAGAGTCACTGTTGTGGGAGATAAGGCACAGGAAACCAGAAACATGGACAGCTTGAGTACCACAGACTACTTACATTTGATTGCTGAATGAAGGTCTCCCTTGTAACCAATCCTGCAAAGAAAAACAATCATGCATCTGTAGAATATATAGCACAATTGCTGGATTTAGCAACAGTGTGTCATACTTTTGTAAGGCCTATACAGTACTGACAGGGTTTACTCCTTCAATAGACTTTTTCAGCCATGTTTCACTAGCCAAAAAGAAAGCATCCAAGTTGCTCCCCCAAGAGTGGCTAGACTGAAGAGACTAGAATACAACTATATTCCACTTCAGCAGTAGTCTGACAGATTCCTGTCTTACCAAGAGCTCCCTCAGTGGCATAAATGGCTTACCTGAATTGTCTCCCAAGTGCAGTGCAAGCAAAGCAAGCACAGGTTTGGGACAAGCATAGCATGGGGCAGTGGTCCATGTGGTGGTGGTGTCAAGTGATGAAGCAAAAGTACAAACAGCTGCCAGAGAGATAAGGCTACCATTTTCTCCTCAAAGACCTATTACAATACTCACTTGCACTGATCTGCTGCCCCCACAAAAAGAAAGTGTTCTCTCATTAAGCTGGAGAGGACAAAAAGTCCAGCACATTTTTAAAGGCACTTCAAGAGGATAAATACCTGCTAGTTTGGAGACCAGCACCATATCAAGGCACAGTCTGCAGGAAAACTGCATTAAACATAGTAGTATCACTTTTTACTCACTGTGAGTAAGGCTGCTTTGGAATCTACCTGATGAGACTCTTCAATCGATGTTCTGCTCCTATTATGCACTTAAAAAAAAAATCAAGGTCAGCCAGCTAATTAAAGCTTTTTTAGTCATTTGATCATCAATCTTTTGAGTGATTACATTTAAACAAATGTGCTTATAATCAATGCTTCTAATACAATAATTCCAATATCCTTTAATATTTAATAAGTTAAACACTGGTATTTTGGAATTTGCCATTTTAAAAGGAGAAGTGGGGATTTACTTTCCCCATCCAAGGCTTTGGGCATGCTTAAAGGACTTCTTTGGATACCAGGCAAAAGCTGTTACTGTTTGTATTTTATTAGAATGAGACTCCAATAGAAAATTCCAATTCCCTGTACTTGAACTCTTCATAACATTGCTGAACACTTAACCCAAACAGCTCTCCTGAATTTGTACAGAAATTCACACTTTTTGAAGTTGTGATGCTACTGAGAAGCAACTGCTGGTACCCAGCCTTCGGCTTAACAGCCCACTGTGTGGACAGGTGTCCTGCTTTCTCTAGCTAACAATGAGAAGAGGGTAGGATCCATGTAAGGCCACAAAGACCAACGACTGAGTTTGCTCTTAACAACTGGACTGTTAACGGCTGGTGCTGGTCTCTTCTGTTGGGTGCTGGCTTCGGGTTTTTGGACCTTGCTGCTGGTTGGTTGCTTCTTGTGGTCAGACAAACTTTTAGGCTAGCCAGGGTTAATACCCGTGACATGGAGATGCCAGGGACTGGACCAAGGACCTTCTAAATGCCAGGCATGCACGCTAGTACTACACCTCCCTAACTGGTACAGAGTAAGAAGGGCTTCTTGATCTCCCACTCCACCCCCACGCTATTTTCATTGCATCGGTAAGAGAAGATTAATTAGCATCAGCCATCAGGGGTAAAAGCAGCTTGCTAGCTGGGAGGCAAATTTTCAGCAGGAAAATGGCACAATGGAAAGAAAGTGTTAGAACTCTCATCCCACACTCCCCCACTGTACTTTCCCTTCAACCTGTAGTCTCAATGCCTGTGAAGATGTCACTAACAGGACAGGATGGAGGAGAAAGCACTGAGATTCAGTAAATGCAATGAGAAGGAAGGGGAAAAGTCCTTTTGAAAGAAGCCAGTTTAAACTTTATTTGGTCAAAAAGACTCAGAGAAACCTTAACTTGAAATATTTCTGAGAAACTTTTGTTTTATATTGGTAGCAATTTATAAACTTCAGAGATTAAAAATTGAGGTGCTTAGAATACTTACTTTGCTCTGAACGTGCTGCTAATGAGCTTCTATGATAATCAGTAAAGCCACCACATGAATTAACATGCTTCAGGTTGCCTTCTGTATTACTACTGCCCTATATATTAAACAGATCAACAATGTTACTGTTAACTACTCTACTAAAATGTTTGTTCTGTGTCACTACTTTAAAAGAGACTTAGCTCACATTCTTTTCTTCCAAAATGCCATATGAAGTGTTACTACCTATAATAATGGATGTAACTGTGAAGGGCCAAAATAGAAAAGTCAACATTTTACCTGACCGTTGGTGATCTTCATGCATTCCAAAATGACTTTTTTGAAGTTTTCCTGTTGCATAAAGTTAATTATACAGGACTTTTTAAAATTTAGGTTTGTACTGAAATGGTTTTAAAGGATTTAAGCATTACAGCCACTTTTCAGGAAGAAAAAGAAAGAACAAACTTCAATGTTCTTGCAAGTGACATCTCTGGACTGAAATGTTTCAAAATGAAATGACATGTTCATTTTGAAATGTTTATAGCCCTAAACTGAAATGTTTATAGTCCTAATCTGGAGCTCTCTTTTTTTCTTCTGATAGGCATGTTAAATGATCATCTCAGCAAGCGTTCCTTCCCCTCCTCTATTATATCTAGGTAGTTCTGCACACACAAGGTTGTATAACACACAGCTTCATAATCCAGGCTATGACACCAGGAACTTCAGAAATATACTCAGATTGTTCTATCATTAATTTAAATTAGTTCGATCATTAAGTTAAAATGGCCATGGACTTGGTGCCTCCCCACTGTGCACTGTTCCCATGGAAAATAGAAACATGCAGGAAACATATAGGACTTGCCAAACATATAGGACCTGCCATTAATCATCATTTAATTTCTATACTGCCCAACAAGTGATGCTTTCTGGGAGGTTCACAACAGCAAATTCTCCATCCAGGATAGGTTTGCCTCGTCTGTCTGGCAAAAGATCTCTAATTAGCTATCTGATTCTTTAATCGGAGTCACATGGGGGGAAACCCAGGACCCTCTACAGGTAAAAAGATGCATTTTTGCACTGTGCTGCACCTCCTCCCTGAAGCCTCAGTGGGTCTCTGCAGCTGGGGCTTGTTTGGCCTGCAGTTCAGACTGTTTACCACATCACTTGTTTACTACATCACAGTCAAGCCAACTGAAATGCTTCTTCCACATGGTAACAAATGTGCCTATTCAACATAGAAGTGCAAGCAACAGCTTGCTAAAATTCTCTAGTGATTTTTCTCTTACCTCAATATTATCGCTTCTTTCTTTATTCTTAACCACTGGCTCTTTCAATCGTTGTAATTCCATGTTGTCTCTGTGACCTTTAGCAACATCATAATGCAGATGGGAGGGGGAAAGCACAGTTTTATAAGGAAGTATAAAACAGAAGCAATTCTTATATATATGGAAACATATTTGGATGGCCTACAAAATGTTCAGGTGAGAAAATATTTTACTACACTGGTTTGGGTAGATGACCAGGGAAGTAGCACTAGCAAGAGTACAAGGCGTTCAAGAAGTAACTGGGTTTTTGTTTTGTTGCCATTCTTGCCAGCTGGCTCTGAAAACTTTTCTGACAAGCCATGACTAAACCTTGCTACTGGGTTCACATGTCAGCACAAGCCACTCTGAAAATAATCCACCCTGAACAAGCCAACAAAGAGGGGTGTCGAATGCACTGTGGACGGCTATAGCATGTTAACCATGTCACTGACTTTAAAACTTTGCATAGGGCCCAGGACTGTCCCGAAAAGATTTTACCTGTAATATTGTCCAGGTGGAATGTAACACAAATATTTCTACAGTTACCATAACTGTTTATTTTGCAAGACAAAAAAATGACATGGCCACTTGGCAGCCCTGGAGCACACAAACAAAAAAATCCCCCTTCCCTGTAAACTGTTTACATTTGCAGGCATTACGTTAGTATACCTCTTTTCCCAGTGTTGTAACAAACAGAAATCTGCCACTGTTTTGTGCTGATTCACTTATAACACTGCTTGAATAAACAGAATCTGAAACTCTATCAAATAGAACTTATAAAATGCCAAATGTTTGATTTAAATTACTTTGTTTTATAAACAATTTCCCCGAAATATCAAAACTTGCCAAAACAGTGGTAGATAATAGACACAGTAGTATTTAGACTAACAGTACAGCTAACTTTAGTTACCCAGGCTTGATACCACAAACACATTGTTATTGGAAAGACTTAGTTTGTTTTTTGAAAGAATAGACAATATTTTTGTGCAGACTACTGTATCAGAAGATGATACTTTTCAGAATTTTTTTCTAGATTCCACTGATTTCAGGCACTGACCTGCAGAATTTATAGCTAATTTTTAAAAGATCTTCAAATAACTGTATGTCTGAAAAATATTGTCCACAATCAGACAATAAAAGAAACTGCACTTTTGGTTAGCAAGAACCATTTGGATAGTTTGAGGAAATTAAAGGCAAAGTACACCACAGCACCACAGGATCACCTACAACCAAAATCCACCAAAGGTACCATTCTTGATAAATCAAACCTTGTAATTTAGATTTGATCCATAATTTCTGATGCTGTGCAATGAAGTTGGAACTACCGTAGTTCTTTTCTGATGGTTCTGGAATGCTTCTAGGGAGTCCTTTAATACTCAGTGTCTCACTGAGAACATTATTTGGGTCACTTCTAATCCCACAAGTAGATGATAGTATTAATTTATTTTGGGCATCATTCTTCAACAACTCTGAAGAGGACTGGCGATTCCTTTCATCCAAGCGGCTCTCAATATGAGTATGACTTTCATCACCAACAAATCCATGGTTAATGTATCCTTCAGTTTCAACACAAAGGTAGGAGGCAGTGGCAAGACAAACAGAGCCAGAAGCAGGAATATCATAACAAGCAGCAACGTTTGGTGGTGTACACTTGTGTTTGTTATACTTACCCACAAAGGCACCAAATTCAACAGCATTCTCTCCCTCAGCAGCCTTCATGAATATAACTTCACCATCTTTTGTACTTTCCATCTGGTGCTTACAGTTTGGCTGAGAAGGCGTGCTAACAAAAAATTTAGCTGTTTGAGATGTTAGCTGTGGCATGCTGTTTAGAGAACTGCCTGTTTTTTTATTTTTATTACTGCATTTTGATATGTCTGTACCCTGTGCTCTTTGACGAAGTTCTGGGGGAGAAAGAACTCTTGGAACTAAGGCACTGCCTGAGGAACCTGCCTCTGGAAAGTTGAATTCATCCCCTTTGGGGAGACCACTCATCTTATGTCCAGAATCTCTTTCATCTTGCATAGAAATGTTGTACAGTACAGCATTATTACTCTCAAGGCCTCCCTGCGGAAAAGAACCACCAAACATGTTGCCAATACTGTGTTTTCTCCACATGGAAGATCTGACTGGGCCATCATCAATGAGGTTCTGTGCCAAATGCTTTGAAATGCTCAGTTCCCGTGTAATTTCATTGTGGACTTTGCTAGCTTCTGAAGCCTTCTGTGCAGTCAAAGTTTTCAAAGTATCCACTGTAAGAGCAGAGAGGTCCTGTAAGTGGCCAATTTGTGTATCCAGAGAGTGCAATGAACGTTTGATGTAGTTGACTCTGTCACCAACCTCCTTGATTTGGATGCACATTTGCTCAACACTGATGAGGAAGAAAGAAAGCAGGGTGGGGTGGGAGAAATAAAAGTTTGACATTGAATGTTTGATATTCATGAACTCTGAGTTATGAAAGGACTCCAAATACACCATGAGAAAGGCAGGCTGCTTACCTGCTGCTGTTCTTGTCTTACATTTATTTACACTTTACACAGAAACATCAAATCATTTGCTTTCAAGTTGTCTCTGACTTACGGTGACCCTATGAATGAAAGCCGTCCAAAATGACCTATGCATGACAGCCCGGCTTAGCTGTTCAGATCATCTAGACTTATTACATTTTATGGCCTTTTTACTCTTTGTGTGTGTGTGAAAAAGAGTGACAATTGGTGATAATATTCTTCACTATAATGTACCATCTGAAAAAGTGTACTGTAGTCCATTAATAAATAAGCCTTTGATTGTGTGGATCACAACAAATTATGGCAAGTTCTTAAAGAGATGAGAGTACCAGACCATCTTATTTGTCTCTTGAGAAACCTATATACGGGTCAAGAAGCAACAGTGAGAACAGGACACGGAACCCTTGATTGGTTCAAAATTGAGAAACAAGCAAGGCTGATACTGTCACCCCGCCTATTTAACTTATATGCAGAGCACATCATGAGAAAGGCAGGGCTAGATGAATCACCAGTTGGAATTAAGATTGCTGGGAGAAATATCAACAACCTCAGATATGCAGATGATACCACTCTCATGGCAGAAAGTGAAGAGGAACTAAAGAGCCTCTTGATGCGGGTGAAGGAGGAGAGTGCAAAAGCTGGCTTGAAACTCAACATCAAGAAAACTAAGATCATGGCATCTGGTCCTCTCACTTCCTGGCAAATAGATGGGGAGGAATGGAGGTAGTGACAGATTTTATTTTCCTGGGCTCCAAGATCACCACAAACAGTGACTGCAGCCAAGAAATTAAAAGATGCTTGCCCCTGGGGAGGAAAGCTATGGCAAATCTAGACAGCATACTAAAAAGCAGAGACATCACCCTGCCAACAAAAGTGTGTATAGTTGCAATGTATGGCTGTGAAATTCAGACCATAAGGAAGGCTGAGCGCCAAATAATTGAGGCCTTTGAATTGTGGTGCTGGAGGAGACTCCTGTGAGTCCCTTGGACTGCAAGGCAATCAAACCAGTCAGTCCTAGAGGGCAGATCAACCCTGATTGCTCTTCAGAAGGCCAGATGCTGAAGATGAAACTCAAATACTTTGGCCACCAAATGAGAAGGAAAGACTCACTGGAGAAGAGTCTAATGCCTGGAACAATAGATGGCAAAAGAAGAAGGGGACTGCAGAGGATGAGGTGGCTAGATGGAGTCACTGAAGCAGTTTGTGTGAGCTTAAGTGGACACCGGGGGATGGTGGAGGACAGGAAGGCCTGGAGGAATCTTGTCCATGGGGTTGCGATGGGTCGGACATGACTTTGTGACTAACAACAACAAGTCCATTACAACCTATGCCACAAAACTCTCATTCAATTCAGATAATTTTACTTGTTAATGACATTTATACCCCACCTTTCTACCAGGGAGCCTTAGGCAGTGAACATGATTCTCCCGTTCTCCATTATATATTCACAATAACCCTAGGCTGAGAACTTCAGATGGTTCACACAATAATTTTAATCCATGTTGTCTTAAATAAGCCGCTGTGTTTTGTGGCACATGTAGAGTACCCATAGGTACCTGCTCTATAAACCTGCAGGTTTGTTGTATCATCTACACTTGCAGAGGGCAGATTGTTAATTCTGGCTGGTTTGTTAACCACATGAACAATCCTCCCTTGCTGGGTTGGAACATGACAATCTACAAGTAAGGGTGCAATAAACCATGGTAGCTTATTTAAGCCAGCTTTGAGGGTAACAGTCACATAAACCTGTTGTTAGTTGAGTGTTTTCAAAGTTACCCAGTAAGATTCATGGCACAGTGAGACTAGAAGTCCAACATCACCACTCTAAAGACTAGAGCCCTCTGGCTGATCATAATCATCTGAATGCAGCCTCTACAATGCATTTGTTGCAAGCAAACTAAAATAGTGACCACTCTGAAAAGAGCTGATTTTAGTGGATCCTAACAACAAACTGTTGTTCAAACTGGTTGCAGTTCTGTCAGTCATCATTTGTTATTAACCATGCTGACATTTACATTGAGTTAAACATGTGCAAGAACTATTCATTAAGATTTTCAATCACTCCTGAATAACTTAAAAGAAATGGATGGATTTAAGAAGCTGCCTACATTAAATAGAAAGACAAAGTTTATTATAGTTTTTTACCGTTCAGAAGTTACTCTAATTCTCTCTTCACTTCCAGAATGGAATTTGTCATCTTTTTCATTAAAATACATCTCAACACATAGCTCTTCAAAATCATGCAGTTTCTTTTGATCCTCTTCTGTTAGAAACAGTTCTAAGAGAATGAAAGAAGCCTTGTTTTAGGAGTTTAACAAAACTCTGTCACATAGTACACAGGGTTGGGTAAGGATTGTCACTATAATGGTAAACTGCACCAATGTAGTAGTGATAATCATAGTTTTTATTTTATGGTCACGGACCAGAAAAATCAACAAAAAGATAGAATAGCAACAGAAAAATTAAAACACAGTTAAAACACATACAATTTATACAATATTTTCACCCAAGCGAGTGGTCATTTCTTTTCTAATCTGCATTGCAATCATAAAAAGTTGGCAACTTGTTTGGTAACATAAGAGGAAAAATCCCTTAAACAATTATATACCAGAGTGGAAGAATTATTCCCATAAGGATGTCTTAGTAAAGGTTTAATCAATTTATCTCTGTATTCCCTATAAAAGCTGCAACATAAGAGAACATATTCCACTGTTTCTATTGCTCCAGCACCACGAGAACATATCTGTTCATTGACTGGGGTCTTATTAGATCACCTTTTTTAAAAGTGCTGATGGTAGCAAATTAAAAAGGGATAGTTATTACGATAGTTAATATGTACAGATAGGGGGCTGGAGTAAATCCATCATTACAGCAATTATTGTAGTTAAGATGAAATAATGAGGGATAAATTCTGTTAGCAGCAGTTCTTAAATATTGAAGGTCTAGGTCTATTAATCTTTGAACAACAAAAAATTGGGATTTCTCCAATCCATAGCTGCCCAGCACCTCTGCAGAGAAATCAAGTCAATGTAATTTCTTGTCCATTTCTCTCACCCATCAGTTAACATACATATCTGAAAGCAGTAGAGACAAGTAGCTACCAGGAGCTGCTAGAAAATGTAAATGTTGCCACTATTTAAAGACTTCATTCCAGGCCTTGCACTCAACAGAGCGAATCCCTACTTCCAGCTAATGGCTGCATTCCATACATGGGGAGGAAGACCAAAACTTTACTAATTGGATCAAGTCATAGCTAAAAAGTTAATTAAGAGCATTACAAAAGTGTTTTTAAAAAGAAAAGACAAGATTTGTTGGCTGAGGCAAAAAAAAAAAAAAAATACAAATGGTACTTCTCATGGTACTAAAAAAACCCCTTTGTTTACAATTTATTTTCCTTTAATATTACCTCAGCCAGGCCATGCCATGCTTTCATAAGCAAGGAAGAAAATTCTTATGACATGTGGTTTGAAGGGAACTGGATGTGATTTTTAGTAAGGTCTACACCCAAAGCCATGAGATCAATAATGCATTTTTTAATGTAATCACACTCAGGGTAAGTCCTGTCATGTGGCAAAGTAAAGCAATCTCTGCTTAAGGGTAGCAGGGAAAACATGATACCCAAAATGCTTTCATCTGGCCTAGCACTTCACCCAGTCACAAGACACTGTCAAGTTTGGTGCCTCCATGCCAATAATAATTTTAGAATAATTTGTTATTAGTTTGATAAATTAAGATTAAGTTTTCTCTATTGTTGATGATACTGACAGGGCTATAGTGAATAATCCCAAACAGGTGAATAATCCCTGAAGTCCTGCTCTCCTGAATCAGAAGGAAGGTTCACACCTGAAAGAGAAGGGCAGCTTTCAAGGTGATCATGCAAAATTATTTGCCTTGTTTCTGGGTTAGGAGAAACGGGTGCTCAAGGAAGCTTAATGTGGCGGCGGCGACTTTTCCCCCTTTAACCTTTTAAGAATACTACTCATAGGGGAAGCAGATTCTTTCTTGTAATTAAAATGTTAAAGATGCTGCTTGCAGCAAGAAAGCTCAAAGATGTGCTTCCACCAACCCAGAAACAAGGCAAAATGCCAATGCCCACCCCCCAAGAAAACAGTGATCACATTACTCCCAATTCGCTATCTTCTAATGCAGTGACGAACTGGAGGGGTGAATTTCATGTAACCCTAACCCCAAACATAACCAGACTTCTTAAATATCACCTCTAAATTTTACATAAGGCAACGAATGGACAATAGTGCATATTTTTGTTGGTTCTTACTTGGCCCATCTGAAGTTTTGTCTTTCTTTCTTTGCTTGCATACACAGCAAAACAGGGAAGCCATATGACTAAGAAGGATAAGCGGAGGGGGCAGGATGGGTTTTTCATGATAAGCCATTACGAAATGATAACGTTGATACTTCCATACGATGTTGGAGATGGCTTTTACTTGTAAATATACATTACTAAAAGAAGAAAAGGACATGAAACATTTTAATATGAGAAGTATCTTAGGAGTAACAATGTTCCTGCATCCTGATCTATTCAATATTGGGGTAAAGTCCTTCAAAACAAACACCAAAAGAATTATTCCATTGTACTACAATCATTTTATTTGTTTGTTTGTTTGTTTAGCCAGCTTATATGCCACCCCCTTCGCATAAGCCTCAGGGCGGCTTACAATCATTAAAATCCCACATATAAATTAAAAAAATACATAGAATAAATAAAATACATAAAATAGTGGAAACAGCCTGGTCAGTTTAAAATCAATAAATAAACCTTAACAATTAAAATAGTGCTTAAATAAAAAGGTCTTGGCCTGGCACCGAAAAACAAATAACGACGGCACCAGGCAGACCTCTCTGGGGAGCGCATTCCATAGGTTGGGCACCACCGCAGAGAAAGCCCTCCTCCGAGTACTCACCCTCCTAATATCCTTCACGGAGGGTTCGCGGAGAAGGGCCTCTGCAGCCAATCTCAAGGGGCGGGAGGGCATATATGGACGCAGGCGCTTCTGTAGGTAACCAGGACCTAAGCCATTCAGGGCTTTGTAGGTGATAACCAGCACCTTGAATTGGGCCTGGACTTCAATGGGGAGCCAGTAGAGCTGACAGAGGACTGGGGTTATATGGGGTTATCATCTGACTACTTTTTAAACATCAAATTATTAGTAATGCTATTAAATGAAATATATACATACTTGAAAAAAGCGATGAGAAGATTGACCATAATAATATACTGTACAAAAAGGTAGACAGACTGAAGAAAAGGTGTCAACCACGATCCCGTCACACAGAGTTTTTGAGAATGAGGTTCAGAATTATTTGCACATACTACAAGGATAAAAGAAAATAAAAATTCCCAATTAAAAGTCTGAAGTTTTCAAATAGATACAAATATGAAAGATTTTAAAAATAAAATCAGTAATATATTTTCCATATGCAAATGGAAATACATGTGTTTTCACATACAAATAGGAGCTGCTACACAAGTGGTGTATCCTAAATTCACATTGCTTCCCCACACCCCTTTTTCTCTCTTGAACTGTATGTGTACAAATATCCAGACTCAGTAGCTGGATATGAATGAATGTTTATTCATTTATTTTCATTTATTTTAAATATTTATAGCCACATTTTAGGTCAAGTATTCCTAAGACAATGAATAATAAAAGAAGGAACACATTTTAAAACAAAAATCACATTATATTTATTAATCAAGTTTATACCCTGGCTTTCCACAGCTTAGCACCATATTGATAAAGAATAAGACATTGGTACCATACCATCAATTTCATAGGCATAAACTTCACCAAAGATCATCCAGTAAGGCTGAAACACAATATCTTTTGCTAGAACCCAGGATGGTTCTTCATTAGGATAAAGTATTGCCTTCCTGGGGACTCCAAAGCTGAGCAGGACAAGTGCCATGATCACTACAATGTAAAACATGTTGGCTACCTGTTAAAAACAGAGCTAGAGTCAAGGAAGTTGAAAGATCACTTGAAGACTAGCAGACCATTTCCTCTAACATCCTGCTCATTCTACTGGGTTTGCTCAAATCATGTATAAGGTTTTCTGACATTCAGTCGTTCAAGACACCAGAATGCAGAGTGTTTACTGTGTGATTCAGAAGCTGAGCACAATGAATATTGTTAGTACTTTTTCCTTGTCTGCTACAAAATGGCTTATTTTGATTTTATAGCAAAAGCAGAATTTGGTTAATAGGATATATCATTTTCAATTGTACTTCTAAACTGAAAGTTCTACTTGAGGGTTCCCACTTTGATGCTGAAACACCTCTCTCTAAATTGTGTGTGTACATGTATAACTAACCTGATTTGCACATCACAGTGGCAAATCATAGTTTATTTAACTTACAATTCACAGAGATACCTCCAAATCTGCTCATTTTCTCATTAAGCAGACCATTCATGCAATAGCAGACCTATGAAGACAATCTGGTTCCTGTGTGTTGTGCATGCCTTATGCATAACATCTGTTATGTTTCATGTGTATGCACAAATACATACGAACTGAACAACCCAAGACTGGAGCGTGTTGGTCATGTGGATTAAATTCACATGCACAAGACCTAAGCAAATTTTTCTGCTGAGAAAACCTAAGGAGAGGAATGTGTGCGCATAAATTTTACTCCCACTATTCATAGTCTTTTCTCATCCGCTAACACCACATACACTGAAGCTAAACCTCTGCTTCCTAAAGCTACTTCATGTGTGTCCTCAGTCAAGCCACAAATATTTGGAGTGAAATCTTTCTTTCTATACAGATATCTTACAGGGGGGAAAAGAAACAACAATGCAAATCTGGCCATCTTTATTTATGGCAGATCTGTTTCACATATAGTAAATCTAAGTCTTTTGCAAAGCTTGCAGTAAAACATGATAAACTGAAAATGTAATTCCATTTTTGCAAAATAAAGTCTTACCATTTTGCCAATCATCATGACATAAGGTCCAGCATGTTGGTTTACAGCCAAAAAATCCAGTAATCTCACATACCAAAAGATTATATTCAGGCAATAAATTAGTCTTCCAGCAACAAAAATATAATTTACTTTGTAAGTATTTTCATCGACATTCCCTTCTGCTCCAAATCTTAGTCCAAAACCAATGAAGAAAGTGATAATAGCTATTGTATCACTGACATTGAAGTAATCACTGAACCACACTTTAACCTTCTGACTAATCTTCCCAGCTTCTGACATAAAGATCTGCATTAAAAAGTAGAAAGTTGCAATTGTTAACTTCATCTTATATCAAGACCTAAAGGGGCAGGTCGCAGGGCAGTTAGTTCTGTATGTACCAATACAAACTATGTTTAGTGCAAATCAAAAGTCAGAGACAAAGCCTTGGTTTAAAGTGATTTTGCAAACTGCAGATTTACCTTCCTCATCATTTGAGTTGGCATATATGTAATGAAAAAACATGGCAATGGCTGAAAAGGGAAGCGGGAAAGAAGAATCTGAGCCAGAAAAGGGGTGAGGAAGCAACATATGGCAAGCTCCTGATTGACAAATCATAGTTTGCAGGGAACCTACAGTGTTACTGTAATATCCTACTGTAAATAGGCAGAGTTTAAATAATTGAACATTTGCCTTGAGTTTCCTTATCTTCCTCTGTTGCTTCTTTAACTAAGATGCTTGGGGTAAAGACTGTCAGACTTTGGTAAAAGTTTGTAAGGTACTATGATATATAGATGTAATTATATAAATAATAAAAAGCAGCAGCAGCACAGATAGAAACATGACAGAAAGTGTAAACCATTAGACTGAGGCTTCCAGCTGTGTATGGTAGGCATGCCATGAGTGGAGCCAGCTAGAGCTGGGGGTCAGACTAGATGGCCCAGGAGACCCCTTCTGACTTGCTCTGTTTCTATGTTTCTCCTAGTTATACTCCATATCAGAAACAGACTCGTCATTTAGGAGATATTGTGCCTAGAACCAGGGCTCTTTGAGGATTACAGCAGATGGATAATTCTCATTCATATATCAGCAAAGCTTGCTTCTGATATATACTAATATCATGTTGGAATTTGATTATCATATCAAAGTTGCATGTACTAAAGACAAGTACATAATTACAACCCAAGTGTATTAAACTAGACACAATTTCATAATATTCATGAATGGGCTCACTCAGATGAACACCGCAATGTACAGTGGAGCGAGTGCATGCTTTTGCGTCTAGTTCATTGGACATGCTTGTGTCATTTCTGCATCCAAAACAGTTGCATAATTGTGCAAAATCGGCATAAATATAAATATATGCATACATATAGGCAAACCATACAGCACGCACAGGCAAATCACATGATATAAGAGATATCAATAATACGGGTTGGACACATGCTTATGGCATTATGGGTTTACAAGACATATATAAGCCTTCTATTCAAATTTGGATGTCAGGCAGGCTTAAAGTCTGGATTGACACAACTGGTGACACAGTGAGAAAGCATAATCTTGCTCAGCAACTGTGTACAGCTTTCTGTGCTGTAAAGTTCATCATACCAAACTTATAGTTTTAAAAACCTCCTCCCACAAATGAAAAAAACACAAATGATGCAAATATAAACATACCTCACGAATCTTCTCAATAGCTAACGTAAAGATGTATGCAATGACAATCCATTCTTGAACTGAAGGTAGTGCTTCCATTTTCACAAGAACCACAAAGGTATAAAGCATCAGAAATCCTAGGTATGCCAACTACAAAGGGATGCAAAGTGTTAAATAAGCATTAAGAAAGCAAGTTTAAAAGTCATTTATTCTGAAAAAACAACTCACCGTGTTAAACCAGAATTTCACTATTGGTGCATGATAAAAGGCATAAAACTTTCGTGTAATGGGAAGTCGCTTGGGCTTTAGCATTGTCTCCATGTCATGTTTTCCTTCGCTCCTGTCCAAGACCCTTACTTCTTTAAATACTTCCTGATAGTAAAAGCATATATATTTTTAGATAATGTATGAAAAATACAATTGATGTTTGTTATTTAAAACACTGGGTTGGATCCAAAGAAGAAACAACTGTATTTTTAGAGCAGAACCACATCTAACCATTTTCTTTGATTTCAATGGATCTGACTCGAAGTGTGACTAATTCAGGATCCAAATATAGGTGTGTAGTTACCATTGGTATATCTTCTACTATGTTCTGGAAGTTGTTCTCACTATCTTCCATTGTCATCTGATGTGCATCTTGAGACTGAGGAATATGGGACATCTCTGCCTTGGTTTTATATTCCAGCATTAGTATGGCAGGGGGGAGTAATATACTCAGTATCACCTGTAAAGATGTGACCATTGAGTTTTTTAAAAGGATTTAGTAGCACACTTTTTAAAAAAACACAAAACACAGAACCACCCAGCACACTGAAGCCTGCCCTGAACCCCTCTGCATTTTCAGCAAAATCATGTCAGGTAGCAAGTAAAACATGTAGAAGAATTATTAGGTTTTTATTTTTATGTTTAGCTATTACAATACACACAGAATGTTCCATACTATTCTCAGGGAGAAAATATCTGCAATTTTGAAAACATTATTGGACAGGATGTAGTCAAATAGATTTCTTTCCTTGGGTCCTTTTTTTCAGGAGTACTGGCCACCATCTGCAGCCAACAAACAAGTTGAGTTATTCTTCCTATTCCTTTTTAAAAATCTAAAGCACACCCATCTGCGATTAGTAAAATGGGTTTTACTCTTAACTGGCTAGCAAAGCAAGCAAGAGATGATGCATTGGAACACAAGACAGACAGCAGCACATCAAGTTTTTAAAATGATGCTTAAGGATGTTCCATATTAGCATTGTCCATTTGCAGAATTTTCTTCATTATACTCTGACATCATGGGGTAAATTTTCAATGAGGTATTCAGAAAAAAAATGCACCTTTTGTTAATCCGGGCTATATGACTTGCATACGCCATTCTGAAAACTTACACCCATTCACACCCTGCTGATTTGTCTGAATTCTCTTAGTCCTCTCACTTGCTCTGCTTGTGCTACAATAATATTAAGTTTCTACATCACGTTTTACTTTACTACCTGGAAAAACTAAATGACATTTCAATTTACAAAAGAGTTTCAGTCTGTTAATGTTTCACCACTGAATTTTAGTAGTATATTAGTTCTCATGATGATCTAGATATCCACCTCCAATTAAGGGCTACTTGCCTGGTTTCTGCCTTCTACATTTCTGTACCTTTTTTAAAAAAGATAATAAAGCATCAAAAGAAGGATTATTGCTCATTTAAATATCACCTCCAGCTTTGATTTTACTTATCCCTAAATAAAATATACAGTGTAGAAGATATCACGTTTTATCTTCATTTAAGCATTTCTGTAGTAATAATAAAAACAATGAAATCCACTAAAGCTGAATCTGAAGGCCACTTACCTTGTACCATGAATTCTTCCTCATGTTCAGCCTCCCCATCCACATATCAGACAGCAGCATTTGTGTACAAGTGTGAGCTACAAAAGGGCGAAGACGTGAAGACACTGCTAGTTTAAGGCAGGTGGCATTGCTCCAGTTTTTTAGCTCGTAAGTTAGCAACTTCATAGCCATGGTTTCATCTTGTCGGAATGACTGTTCTAGTAGCTCAACTGCCAGTTGCCCAAACTCACTAGGGAGGAAAAAAAATCACAAGACTTACCCGTACTGAAGATGCATATACACACTGCAGATGCACATTTCTAGTGGTCTCCTTAGAGTGAATGGATGTTCCTACAAGTTATGTTGCCTGAGGAACACCAGTGAATGTTTCTAAGTAATTACATATTTGATGGGCCGGTAGGGACAGATGAGATATTTTCTAAACCTATATAGAAGTTGGGCTTCTGCTAAATCATGTTTCTACATTCCTCTTCCTGAGCAGAAAATCGTATCTAATCTAGCAGAATGCTGTTCTTGGCTTTGAAGTAATACCTGACCAAACCAAAAAAGAATTCAGGCTTTCACAAAATTTTGTCTTTTTAAGGAAGTTAACAGATGAGAATTAGCTGGCCACTGTGAACAAACAGTGTTTACTAAATAGCAGGTAAGTGAAATGACTCAAGACACCAATGTCTAGCCTCATGACCAATAAAAGCTCCACCTGATCTTTTGCAATTCCTATACTATGTTCCAAGTTCTTTTGTTCATTTGCAACCAACAAGCAGCAGATTAATTAGCTATCAGACTCTGCATTTCTAAATAAGTGAGCTACTTTGAACTCTTCAATGGAGAATGTACAAGAATCAAATGTACGGTTTTGAGATTTTCTTACAACTTGTACATTTTATCCAATAGCTTGTGGAATATTTTATAACATGGCATGTTTACTTGGAATACTCCTTCAGTTCTTCCGAGGTATCATCAACAAGGTCACTTTGTTTGGATTCGTAGGCCATTGAACGATATAGTTTGCAAGCCACTAAAGCCTTTGCCATGGATTCTTCGCCATGCTGCCAGAAGAAGAGGGCCATTTTTTGTCTCTTCATTAGCACTGCCCATAGCAACAGTTCATTAAGAGGATAAGGAAAGCGTCTTGTTTCTGGATCATCAATATCTACTATGTCATCTTTGGTTTTTTTCTTTTTTCCTTCTTCTGTAATGGTATCGGCCTTAAAAAGCAAAAATAAAAATAGTACTAATTCATGAACCTTACGAAGAAAGAACAGGTAGGATCATAAAGCACTATATCCAGTTAAATGAATGAATACAACAGTAGAACTGAATGTGGCAATCAACTTTCAAAATAAGAAACAAGAAGAAACTTTTTGTTAGGACCACATTTAAAAGTGTTCCGCAAATGTTAGAACGCTATTTGATAGTCATTGTTGTTGCACTCATGAAGACTGTGTATTTGAAGACCATTGTTTCACTGCCCTGTCAAGGAGGATTACAGGAAAAACTTTCTCAGTTAATGAAAGATTAAAATAACTGGTCCACATGCAAAGATGACTGCCCATTACAGGGTAAAGAACATTAGGTTTTATTGAAGGGCAGGGTAAATTCTTCAAGTATTTTAATTAAAATGTACCATAGGTAGTCACGGCAAAATGTTATCTTTAAGAGAAATACTGACACTATACCAATGGAACGATAATTCTGCTTAGGAGAAAGTCTGCCAACTTAATACAACAAAAGTCCTCACACATATTTTCCATACAGAAAGAACCTGTTTTATATATAAAAAAGAGGAAACTGCAAGGTTGCATAGCCACAAAAATCAGAGATAGGGGACTTTCAATTAAGTTAATTGAAGGAAGAAATTGACAACTCTCTAATGTTCATTTGAACATGTCACAGAAGAAACTGCTACTAATTGAACTGTCTTCATAGTTTATAGTACTCTAATTTCTTCTCCTTAAGATTCTTCTGTGAAGAAACAAACCATGATAAACAAATAATCACAATACATATTACAATGAAACAACAAATATCCTCTGCTCCATATATATCTCTTTCAGGTAATACAAACTGCCATCTGTCTTATACCTTTGGTTTGTAAGGCTGTGCAGTTTTGATGAAATGATTATGCCGCATTTTCTCTTTCTTATCCACCCTGTTACCAAAAGGTTCATGGCTTTTACGCATTTGAGGAGTGCTGCCTGAAGTGTTTCGCCCAGAGCGCTGAAAAATAAAGGTCATCAAAAATATGATTTATGCAACTGCAGTACATTGCCTGAATTATGCAAAACCATAGACCTAAAATAATTTCCTAACTGAACTACAAAACCAAAATGGTTTATAAATAGCTAATGTAGGATCACTAAGTACAACAGAATGAGTGAATGGGCTGTGAATGTCCCCAGTTTAACTCTTATGTCAATTATAAACTCACTGAGAATTTTATGTAAATTTTGTATTTCTCAGCCCAGCCCTGATCTGCAATGCTATGATACGATTGGTCTACCTTGAAAGATTATTTTCATGCCTTCTGAAATAACGTATGTGAAGTGCTTTCATTTAAGGCTCAATCCATCCAAAATATAAACACTTATGTGTTGGTGGACCATGTATTTATATTCCTAAGTACTGCAGTAACCACTAAGTAGTGGTCCAGTTAAAAGTATAATGTATACAAAGAAGTCCTAGGAGAAACAGAAGTTCATAGGGGAAACAGTCTTCTCAGAAATTAACTCCTGCTATTTTACACAAAATATATTGCTTCAATAGATGATAAGATTAGTTTGCATCATCTCAGTTCAAAGAAATTACACACCCGATTGCTGCCACTGAGACTGTTGTATATCACTCTGAAGCGTTTCCGTGTATAAGTGCACCTGTAGGTTCCTCCCATCAAATATTCAACAACAAGTCCCACATCAATCAAGGTGAGTTTATATCCTGGAGGAAGATTTCCCTGGGGACAAGACAAAACTCGTACAGCTGGGAAGAAGCAAAGATCGTCTTCATACTTGTGCAGCACTTTAGAAGAACAGGAAAGATCCTCATCATCATCTACTCCAAGTCAACTGAAACAACGGAGTATCCCACATGTCTAGTTCTTAGTTGTTTTGATGCCTTGGCAGTCCAGTGCCAAAAGAGGCTCCAAGACTCCTCTTTACCTTGGAGCCAAGAAAAGTGTGGGTTTCCCCATAGGTGTATTGTGCTTCTAAGGTGTCTGTAGTCTACACAAAGCTCAGTTTCCAGGCTCACTTTGAAATTTACATTTTTGGTCTTTCAGAAAACCATGCAGAGGCTTTCTAAAACATCATTCACACAAAATAAGAGCTGAGTCAGAAAGAATGTAAATTCTTTTGTTTGCTACTACTCTTATGTTTCTGGCACTCTACTACATAATCACAGCTAGGCTGAAAGTCCTGGGTTTTTTTCTGTTGTTCTATGTGGGCACCTTCTCCTCCCAGAAAAAAAAAAAATAGTGCCAGAGGCTACTGAGAATGTCAGTCTCCAATTCTATGGCTGTAGCCTAGGGGCTTTACTAGACCTTTCCCTAAGGAGGAGCACTGACTCACAGAAAAAGTAAATTGGGGTCAGCGGTGGGTGGAGCCAGAGTCAAAACAGGGAAAGTTTGCATGATTGTATTGCTTGCTCACTCTCTCTGAGGAACCACATCCCTTTTAATTTCTGTGCCACCCAGTCCTAACTGCTCTCCCTTCTATGCCTTCCCATCTCTATAAGCTCTATAAAATTAGGGCTGCATAAAATTAGACTGAAGAGCACATGTGGCCTGCAGACTCCCCACATGAGCTCTAAACTCTTCCTATCTTTATAAGGTGGTCTTCAAAGAGCACAAACACTTCTCCTAGCTCCTAGCTCCTAACATTGTTAGGAAGGCACAGAGAGGTCTGTCTCTACTGTCACATGAAGGTAAAATGCACAAGGAGGAGAGGCCAGGTCCAATAGGAGAGGAAGGACCTAGATGCAAAGATTTGACTGGCTAGCAAAGACACCTCAAATCTTTGTTCCACTGATCATCTTGAGGTCCTTGGTATTAGGATGGCATATGAATGTTATAAATAAATTAGATAAACCACAGCCCTGGTCTGCATAGTATTCTGACTGGAACATGAAGGAATGAGCATCTTGTTTGTAAACTGTGGTCTAAAACAAAAAAAGGGATCCATTTTGAAAAGAGGAGGAAAAAGTTTAATTACTTTGAAGCAAGTTCTCCATCATGCTCAATGTAATGAGTCCTTAAATGTTATTTATAAGATGATTATATAACATGAGGAAATTATATTTAGTTTCTTCTTTATATGTGTCTGAAGAAAGTATTTTATCAACTGAAATCCATACCTGTTTGGCATCCCGTACAAGGTGAAACAGTGCTGGATTTGTTGGGCCTTGTTTCTTGATATGGAAGAAAAGAACACAGATTTTAGATGCACGGAGGCATGCAATAAAACAGAGTATGGGGATGCTATAATCTTCCCCTTGAGTTATCAAAAAACCTGTTTGGATAATTTCTCCAAGGGAGCATTTGGGAGTTCCACTAAGGGTATGGAGGAACCCACATGCAGGGCTCAGCTCCAAAGTTCCACTTTAAGGTGGTTAGTCAGATATTTCCTCGCCTGTTTAGTGAACACCTGGCAGTGGTAGCAGAAATCAATTCCATATGTCTCCCACAGGCAAAAAAAGCACAGGGACGATCAGTAGGCGGTAGTGTGCTACCACAATCCACACAGTTACAGGATGGCATCTTGAGTGCCATTTTCTTGAACAGATGAGGGTAGGAGGGCTGGTAAAAGCAGGGAAAAAGTGGGGAAAGTAATACCTGTTTGTTTGTTTTTAGTAGACAAGAAGAAAAAACAAAGTAGAAAAACCTGAAAACAATAGATGGTCAGAAAAGGGTTGAAGAGACAACATTTGCAAAGTAAGTAGCAGAGAAAGCACTTCCCGATGCACTCACAAGGGCAGTCGAAGAATTGAGGTCTTGGTGGGAGCCCCTCCCCGCACGCTGGGCATGCCTGGGGGCCAGGCTCCTGCCAAATAATAATTAATCAGTTCTGGAATCTTCCTGAATGCACTCCATGCATGTGCATGGAGCCCATGTGTGTGATGCACAGAGACCAAGAACAGGAACGTATTTTTCCCCACTTAAGAAACAGTTTTCAACAAAAAAGCAATCTTGCTCCAAAATCATGTGTCATGTAGACTTTGCAATTTCAAGAGTAATTTCTATCATTATGTTCAAGATTAGCTCTTAAATGCAGGAAAACAATGCTTTTATGTTCAATGCATGCTCCAAGTGCCTGTGACAGCATAATAGAAGCTCAGAATTTATCTTTCAAGTTCTTTACTGTTACTTAAGTTATTGATATAAAGAGCTATCCTTTAAAACCTTTATCCCAAATAATTATTGCCCAAATCAAAACTGAATTTTCCTCTGAATGTAAAGGGTATTTTTTTGCTTCAGATTAAAGCTATAAATATAGCATCCTCTTTCACATTAAAAATGTTTAGAAGCAGTGCAATCTTGCACAACTGCCATCAACTTACAGTGTTGTAAAGTTCTTCCAGCCTGGGAATTGTAAGAAACTTGTGCATGCTTACTCCATTTTCAATAAGAAGTTTCACAAAGGCAACTCTGTCCATCACAAGGGCATCCAACATGGCCTGCTCCAAAGATCCAACCTGAAGAAACAGGACACTCCTTAAGTTAAAATGAAATACATGCAAATATGAATCTTTTTTAAATGCCAAAATACAAGTCTACTATTTCCAAACATGAAATATATTTTAACCTGGTCAAAATAGCAAAAATAGTCTTAAAAACTGATGTAAAATGAGAGCATGGCTAAAGCAGTTCTCCTGAAAAATCAAAATCAGCAGTGATTTTAAAATAAAATAAAACACTGATTTAATGTATTTATTGTAGGTGCTTAGATCTTTATTCAGTGCAGGGAGCTCCCACAGAAGCTTACAACTAAGTTGAAATAATAAATCAGAAGGCTTAAAGCAGAGGCAGAGAAACTCTTTCAATGCAAGGGTCAAACTCCATCTGTAGGTGTAGCCAAAATGTGTTTCTAACCGATTTTTCAAACTCAGAAATAAGCAAGACATGCCTCTTTATGTCTTACACCTTATCTGTAAGTAAGCTCGGCTAAATAACTCAGTGCCACTTTTAAATAACAATCTTCTGCTCATAAATACAAGCAGCAAATAAACTGACAAGGAAGCCAGACAAGCTCCTGCATGTCTACTCAGAGATAACGGGGGAAAGATTTCCCTTGCTGAGCCCAGCAGAGCTTTTTTGGATGGTTCAGCGCTTGTTACATTCTAGCCCCAAAGATTTGATGAAACCCTTGGAGGCATGCTGTGAGGAATTGGTGTAAGACTTTGAGGATAAACCACTCGGATCTGTAGTGACTTGGACTCATCAGTTATTCCAGTTCCAAGAGCAGAGGTATCTAGCATGCCATCTTGTTCCATTCTACTGGATGAATTTCAGCTTTTGTGACCTGATGATGTGGACAGGGTGCTTGGGTCTATCTAGCCTACGACCTGCTCACTTGATCCTTGCCCTTCTTGTGTCATCGAAAAATCTATAGAAAGGGTCCAAGACTCCTTAAGAAACCTACCCTGGACCCAGCCAATGTGAACAACTTCTGACCAACTGCCAACACTCCCTTTTTGGGCAAGGTGATCAAGCAGGTTGTTGCCAGGGAGCTCCAGGCTCTCCTGGAGGAAACTGACTATCTAGACCCTTTTCAATCAGGCTTAGTCCTGGTTTTAGAATGAAAACTGTGGAATGACCTTTGCTGGGGGAAAGACTGGGGGAGTGCAATCCTGTTGAGTCTTCCAGACATCTCAGTAGCTTTCGATACCATCGACCATGGTATTCTTCTGCAGAGGTTGGTCAGGTTGGGAGCTGGGAGCACTGCTTTGCAGTGGTTCCACTCCTACCTGGCTGACCATCTCCAGATGGTGGTGCAGGGGGACTTCTGCTCTGCCATGGTAGTTCCACAGGGCTCTATTTTGTCCCCCATGTTTTTAACAACTACATGAAACTGCTGGGAGAGATCATCTGCAGGTTTGAGCTGAAGTGTCATCAGTACGCTGATGACACTCAGCTCTACCTCTTGTTTTCATCATCTCCAGCTGAGGTGGTAACAGTGCTGAACCAGCATCTGAGCCTGGTAATGGGCTGGATGTGGGCTAATAAGCTGAAGCTCAGTCCAGCTAAGCTCAGTCCAGGAGATACCATTGGTCCATCTGTTCAACTGGGGAATTTTCAGCTTATCTGGACAGGGCTGCATTCTGCCTACATGATAAGGTTCGCAGTCTTGGAGAACTCCTGGATCACAAGTTGGCACTTATTGTCCAGGTGGACTTGGTTTCCAGGAGCACTTTTTATCAGTTTCAGCTGATTTATCAGGTATGTCCCTAGCTGGATGAGTGGAGTCTTGCCACGGTTATCCATGCACGAATGACCTCCCACTTAGATTACTGTAATGCACTCTATGTGGGGCTGCCTTTGAAAATGGTCCAGACCTTGTGACCTGTTCAAAATTGGGCAGCATGCTTACTGACAAGGATCAGCATTTGTAAGCATGTCATGCCAGTCCTACTCAGGGTACACTGACTGCTGGTTGCCATCCAGGTCCAACTGAAAGTGCTCATGATAACATATAAAGTCCTAAACAGTTTGGGGCTAGGTTATTTGAGGGAGTGCCTTTCTCCATTCGATCTTAATCTGAAGTCCTCTTCCACATTCCACGCATGTGTGTAAACATTTGGTATTTATTACTTCTACTTTTTCCTATTTTGGGTTTTTAATTTTGTTAATTTATTTACAGATTTCATTTGTTGTTGTTAGTAGTTGTAGTCTTTGTATCAAATGTCATATTGTGTTTGCAATGTTTTATGTTTTTGGATTTCGTTACATGTTGTAAGCCACCTAGAGGGCCTATGGTTAGCGGGGTGGTATATAAATTGAATAAATAAAATAAGTAATTATTAAAATGGCACAGGAGACAAACAAAGTGCTACAGAACTGCCATGGGGAAGAACAGTAGTCCCCCAGAATCACTTTCTGAAGATAACCATTAAGTCAGGAGAAAAACCAATGCAATGCCCATTATCCTTACCCCAGACACTCAGTACTGAATGCTGTCAAGAAATTCAGAAAAATTAATAGAGTCATTTCCCCATTCCCTGTAAATCAGTCAATCAAAGCAACAAAAACAGTGCCAGATCCAAGTAAGAGATCAAGAGTGAAGTGGATCCAGATAACTGTTAGCATTCAAGGGAGTCCAGAGATGTGCGGTAATGACCTGGCCATACACCTTGGCCAAAAGGTGCATTTTCAACTTGATTAGAAACACCACATAGGCTTTTAGTAGATCAGGAAATAGTCTCTCTGCAATGGACCACAAAAGATATCCTCTTAACAGTAACTTGGTGTGTAAGCCCTCACAAAAATTTAGGCTATCATTTAGCATTGTGCATGAGCAGGAATTTGTCCACATGATTCACCAGGTTCTCTTTCTCTTGTCCTTTCCCATGCTCAAGTGGAGGAATAAACCATGACATAGTTCCATTTTAGCAGATTCCTAGCTTTTTACTACATGAAAACCAGACATATTATGGTTTGAAATGAACTATACTGGATCACTAAAGAAGTCAACTTCAAATCTTCGGTGGTTTTTGCAGGTTTTTTTTAGCAACTGACTACAGTTTAAAGTACAATCCCTGGTTTGCACATAGGAACAAACCAAGAATCTGCTAAAGTGATGAGTTTCCTTGTCCTCTCTCTCCTGTGAGATAGGGGAGAGTACCTGAAACTTTGTATGGGCTTATTGTTGTTTGTGCATGTAACACTAAACTATGGTTTACTGTAGCATAATACAACCAGCTTCTTAATAAAATGTGAGTAGTTCAACTACTATGTATACATACCAGCCACTGTTGCCCATAAACAAAAACATGATTTTTGGCAATGTCAACTCTATCCCATGCAAGGGTAAGAACAAGTTGGTCAAACGCAGAAGCATTAGTGCCTAAAAAAAACCCAAACAAAACAGTTTTTGAATGTTAAGCTTCTCATCACAAAATCCCTATTTTCACAAATGAACGTATTTAATATTAGATGGTAATGAAAGACAACTGATTTTATGTTGTTTGCTATCAGCATCCATTGCATAGGGTAAAATAAATAAAATTATCTATTGTGGGAAAGGTTTCAAATTTGCAAAGGTTTAAGCCCAACTGTATGATATGTATTTGTGCATTTTTATAAAGAGCTAAATATTATGACTTAAAGCTAAGCTAAAAGGAAAGGCTTAAAAAAGCTTTATCCAATAGCAACCTCTCCAGAAATATATTGGAAGGCACTCTGAAAACAAAATAAAAGTGTTTGTCTGTTTGGAGTGAGAGCAATACTGAGTCAGGAAGCAATGCCCAAATTTCAAAGCTGTTTTGTGAAGTTCACACATAGTTACATTATATGTCTACCACATATGAATTCACATGGTCAACCAGATGAGAGCTGTGATCACTCTTTCTAGAAAGAATATGCAAAGGTTTTTAAAAGGTACTTTCAATGGAGTTACTAATCTGAGAATGAGAAGACAGAAACAGTCAATAAAAAAATATGAGCAGGGATATGGGTGTTTCCAATGGAATTGGGATTAATGTCCCCACCCCAAAAGAATATGGTGCAGCCCTCAGTACAGTATGCTTTCAAGGTAAACAGCTTACCTTTTAATAGTGCTGTGAGGATTGCAACATCTATATCTTGATGTTCATCAGATCCAATATGGAACACAGTGATCTATGTTGAAAATTATATTAAGAAAAAGGTTTTTCCATCTGTTTTAACATTACTAACAGAGGGTATTTTGCTTTGGACATAACGCATAGCAAAACTTTTAAGATGCATTAATACTAAGCTACACTGTATACAGAAGTCCAAATTCACCTAACTGCAAGACAAATTTGCAACAATAGTGCAAATGTATTCCACATCTAATTATATATTGCACATCCAGCTCCAAGAACATAGTGCAGGAACACTTGACTGAGCGCCTCGTCCAAACACAATCTATCCAGACACTACAGTCAACATCCAGGGACTTCTTCCAAGTGAAAACTCAGGGAAGCTCAGAGGGCACTGACTTTGTCATCCTTTCAGCACCAGATTAAAATGGCCTTGTATGCCAAGGCATTTGAAGACATATATGGATATTCAAAGGCTTCAGGGATTACCATTCCAAGATGTTTACAGGTCTGGCTTCCATATTTTATTTTAGCTGTTTTTTATTCACTTTTTACTCAATTTATTCTTTTAGGTGCCAGGCAAAACCCTTTTTATTTTCCCAATGTTTAAGGACCTGTTTTAATTGGGGTTTTATTATTCGTTGAATTTTAGAATGATATATATATATATATATATATATATATATATATATATATATATAGTATTGTTAAACCATCCCAAGACTTCGGTAATGGGACAGTCTAGAAAAGTTTTTAATTCATATATATATATATATATATATATATATATATATATATATATAAATTAAAATTAAAATTTGGTTTAAATTTTTGCTTTTTTGAATTTCTGAATGGCATTTTACTCTATTGTTTTATGAACTGCTACAAACTGCCAAGAGAGTTCTAGTTATTGGGTGGTATAAGGATTTAATAAACAATAGCAATAATAATTCAAATACCAAAATTTTAAAGGCAAATTCTAATCAAGGTGTATAAAGGAAATAAGTCTGTCCAATACCAATAGAAATAATTTTAAAATTACAGAGATAGCTAAGCAATTATATTTCCAAGATATACTAGCTGAAATTTAAAAAGTGGGGGGGAGAAAGAAAACACACCTTTTAAAACAAAGAATGTTAAAAGGGAACAGGAGAGAGGATAAGTATATTTGAGTCATAAACTTAGTTCACACATGTACTTGCAATGTTGTAATTTATATTTTTTGTCAGTCTTTCTCAACTGTGCAGGTGTGCTCTTGTGATTGTTCAATATAAGTCTTGTCTGGACAATTTCCTTGTCAGTTTCAGATGCCAAAGGGAATGGTGAAGTGCAGTAGGAAATAGACTGACATGGTGAAACTACATATCGGCCAATTCGTGCACAGTTGCCCAGGACTGAGTACCTAGCTGTCAGTGGGAAGAAAAGAAAAAAGCAGAAAAAGAAGGTGTGCTAAAAGACAAGATCCCCACTTCGTTGATGTGATCCTCTTAGCATTAAGTGATGAAAACTTAAAAGCCAAAGGATTACAATACTAAGTAGAAGGTCTTGTCCTTCTGCTGACTTTGGGTGCACCTCCTTTTGTCACTTTTCCCTTTCCAATTAACAGCTGGCAGCCAGTCCCAATTTCATCTTGCCAATTTCCATTTTTATTATCTACTGCTCCTTATGGCTCCCTTTAAAAAATAAAATGGATAGAAATTGATCAAATGAGACTTCCCATATTGAACAGCCAGAAGTACACATTTGTGAAAGACTAGTCTAAATAAATGAATAAATAATAAAAATAAACTAACACAGCTTTGAATTGCTTGGTCTGAACTATTTTATTTTATTTTATTTTATTTTATTTTATTTTATTTTATTTTATGGTGGAAAACCCTAACCCCTAGAATAAGCCAGAAGCTGCCAGGGTGGTTGGATAGCCCAAAATAAGTCATCCTGTGGGAAACAGTCTGGCTTTGGACAACCCAATACCCAGCATGGTTAGTTACCCATGATGACTTGTTTTGTCATAAAACTATCAGTGCTTAGATTGTGAAAACTAGATTAAGGTCACAGTTTGGTGCTATTGTGAACAAACTTGGATGGATCTTTGAGCTCGTGTGTGACTTTGTCTCTTATACTAACCACTCGACAGGGCTCTATAACCCTTCCATAACCCAAGGTCACTGGGTTTGCATTGTACACATGTAATATGCAACATGATTTCATGTTGTGGCTATACAACTTGACACCTATAAGCACTGCAGATTGATGTACGGTGACCAGCTGCAGCATGTCATTTGAACCCAGTCCCAGGGTTTGCGTTTATCAGGAATAAACACCGATAAGCAATGAAAATCCAGACTACCATTTGCTGATTTGTCAAGACTTAATCCAAACGTACACGATGCAGCCATCTTACTGGTCTAGGTCTAAGGCGTGTTTTAATGGAAGATTACTCAGGAAACCTAAAACAAGCTACTCTCTTCTCACTCTACAACGTTCAAAGATTTACTTACAAGTTCTTTTTTTTTCATGCATTCCAACAGTGTCTGGAACAAATGAACTGCTTCGCTCTGACCAAAATTAAATGTCTTTTTGATAGTTGAAATTATTTCAGGTTCTGCTCCTTCAGGAATATTTCTGAGATTAAAAACAAAGGAAAAAACAGAAAGCCTGTCATCAGTAGCACAAGTAAAGCACAAGAGACAGCACTTCCTCTTTTGTTGAACGCAGCAGTCAGTCTTCCTATCCAAAATGTCTCTCAAGAAAGTCCTCTTCAGTTCATACAACCTGTTAAGTATTTCTCACATCAAGGTGAAGAACTATATAACATGGCTTTGCATGCAAAAGCTACTATAATTTCAATCACCAGTTGAAAAAATCTCGGAAAGCAAGGCCTGGAATGACTCTTGCTCAAGCTGCTATTAATTTGAGCAAATAATACTGGGCTTCATGGACTGGTGCTCCGATTCCATGAAAGGAAGCTCAATATGTTTACACTGATGCTTTAAAAAAGGCTTACCCTCCCTCTTCCGTTTGCTTATAAACGTAAGCCAGAATGTCTGCAGCTCTGCCAGTCCCCTCACAGACCACCACTGGCACAGGAGGACTTTCCTGAAGGTATTCCAGAACTGTAAGGATAACGTTGGGACCACCTTCAAATATAAGCGCCACCACAGGGACACCCTGACCAATTCCTACATAAAGCAAGTTACAAAAATGCAGTTCTTTACTCATTAGGTTAGTCTTTTAAAAGAATAAACAAAATGCATTCCATTTTATATCCAGTTATCGGTGAATGTCTTATACTCAACAGGAGTTTAAAAACCAGAATTAACATCAGGACTTTATATACTCTGAACATAATTGTACTTTTTCCAATGTTAAACTATTTTGCAACCTGCATAAATTAAGCATGATTTCTCCTATTTTGCATTTTTACTGTTTTGCATATTTGATTCTAATTTTGCTGGTCATGGGGGTAGGGGGAGTGAACAACACAGAGCCCGGAAACCCCTCTCTTTAATCATTTAGAAATCTCCTGCAGCAATATTCTGGTTTCAAGTTCATCGGACATTGCCCATACCACATCAAACCTATATTCATCATATTCCCAGGGCGAAGGTTTTAAAGGCACATGTTGCAGTAACTCAGCCTTGTTCTGTTCAGCTCCTAGAAGGAAGACTGCCCAGAAACTCTTCGTATGCATTCTCAAGATCCATTTAAGAAAAAGGCAGGACATAAATGATATCAAGCCTAAGTAACCGAACAACTTAGAAATTTATTGTTAGTGACCACAGATGTTTTCAGAAAGCTGAAATTTTGTGCCTAGTGGCCGTTTCTGTACTGTTTCCACTTTCCTAAAAAAGCATTGCTATCTGGCTAGTACATGAACTTTACCATCAGTTGATAAGGCTCTGTTCCACAGCCCTTCTTCCTGAGAAATAGGCTTCCACCAGGACCTTTCACAATGTAACTCCAGAGGTTCAGAATGCACTCCAAACATGATTGCCAAAATATACACAAAGACATGTGTCGTGCATGAAGCCCCGACAGAAACAGTGACTCATGAGGAGGACTTGCACTTGACACCCAGTGCCCAAGAGTCGACCCCACAACCCAGCGCAGGGACAGCTAAGCCAGCTGCTGCATCTTCCTCTGACCCCCAGCACGTTGAGCGAACACCTGGACCTTTATCAGAGACAGGGAGTCATGAGAAAGAGGAAGCTGCAAGTTCTACTCAGAAGGAGGCAGAGCAAACTGCCTCTTCCCCCTCTGACACTGATCTTCCTGACCGGAAACAGAAGACAGAGTAGGTGTTGTGGATTTCTCAAAAGCGGAAAACAGACGGATTTTACGTAGATATGAGCAGCGGCAAAATTTATTACGAAAGAGGGAGGAAAGGCGTGACTTGGGAGAGTGATCCCACATGGGCTTGGAATGCCCTTTGGAATGGATTTGGAATGCCCTTTGGTGTAAGTCAAGGAATACTGACATGAAATATCAAAATATAGGTTTTTTTGTGGTTCAAGGTCAATTTGTTTAACTCAAATTATACATTCAAATCTTCACTGAATGTGTTAATTTTTCCCAATACCCAGAGAGGTACATACTAAACAGAAAGCTAATATTTATAACACAATACTAGACTTAACATATTCCTTTTCATGCACAAACAAGTTAAAATGCTGAACACCACATTTTTTAAATACAGTTAATCATACACAAGGTCTAAAATGTGGTTTAAGCATCTTGAAGACCTAATTAAACTGCAGCCTACTAAGTCAGCATAAATAAAAATGGAACACAGTAAAACTGTAAACATGCAATAACTTTACACAGTAAAGACAGATCATGGCTTAACAAATACAGACTACGTAAGCAGTATAACAGTCTTCTTTGCCAAATGGCAGTCTAAACAGACTCATAGTTAAAAAAAAAAAAAAAACAAGTAGATGCATGAATACCGTATTTTTCGCTCTGTAAGACACACCTAGTTTTTAGAGGAGGGATCCATGGAAAGCTTCCTGATAATCACAGGCACATTCCCATCACTTCCCCATGGGCTTCATTAAAAGACGGGTTGCCATTTGAAAACACACACCGACCTGTGATTAACAGCTCTCACCTGCGCCGGAGGAGGGGAGCGGAGCAGGATACGCCGAGTGCGTGCCGGCCAGGTGTGGTGCAGCCGGGCCGGCAGCGTGCTGGCGGTGGTCTTCCGGGTGGCGCGGTGGCGGCAGGTCTTCCCGGGCAGTGGGGGTGAGCAGTCCGTCTCTCTGTGAGGCCGGCAGGTTAAAGCCCGTGGCTCCTCCTCCTCTGCACCGCTCCCCCTGAGCGGCACAGCTCTCACCTGCACCGGGAGGGGGGGCGGAGCAGGGTGCACCGAGCACGTGCCGGCCAGGCAGTGCCATGTGGTGCAGCCGGGCCAGCAGCATGCTGGCGGTGGTCTTCTGGGCGGTGCAGCAGTAGCAGGTCTTCCTGGGCGGTGGGGGTGAGCAGTCCATCTCTCCGTGCGGCTGGCGGGTTAAAGCCCGCGGCTCCTCCTCCTCCGCGGCAGGTCTTCCCTGGCGGTGGGGGTGAGCAGTCCGTCTCTCCGTGCGGCCGGTGGGTTAAAGCGGGGAGGGGGAGTGGAGCAGCGCGTGCCGAGCGCGTGCCGGCCAGGTGGTGCCACGTGGTACAGGCGGGCCGGCAGCGTTCCGGGCGTCGGGCACACACACATTCACTCTATAAGATGCACAGACATTTCCCTTACTTTTGGGGGGGGGGGGAAGTGCGTCTTATAGAGCAAAAAATACGGTATATACCACCCAGTCACAAACTCAAACAAATGGCACTTTTAGCAGTGATCTTATATGACTGAATAAGTAGATTAGTAGAGAAAGGCCTTGATTTCTTTACATAATTCACATGCAATTTCAAGTATTAAATGTACAAAATTATATCTGCTTCTAAAAATACAGGACACCTGACATTACATGGTGCAAAGAGAACTGGAAATGCAAGTGGCTTGCACTTCTTCTTCCTTGTGCAGCATTGTAATAGATGGTTGAACCCATTCACGGAGTTCAAACTCAACAGAAAACGTGTCAGTTTATAATGAGATGTTGGTGAGTGGTTCAATGGACTGTGGAGGTGTTATTGTGGATGGACTGAGCTCCCCCTAAAGGATGAGTTCCATTTAGTTAGAAATATTATTATTATTATATTAGTTAGAAATAATATTAAATCCATTCTGTGTCATGATATCCATGCCCTCTGACCTTTCATCAACTAGACTCATTTTACTTTGAACAGAATACTACATAATTTGCAAATCATGGGCTAAACATACTTGCATGGATTCTTTGCAAGTTGATCATTTTTTCCAGTTCTCGTCGTAACTTTACTTCTGCTCCATATTTTCCAACTGTTCCATCATCCACCAGTATGAAATGGGAATGAAGATTATTCAGGACATTTAATTTACTTAAAGGATTTAGCAGGGTTTGATATGGAGCAACAATCTAAACATAAAGCAAAACAATACTGTTCAGATGGATGTCAATCGGATTGACTTCTTTTTTAAAAATTGCCTTGCATTTGTCTACTGCCAATGAGTTGTTTATCAGCTGTGGACTTGCAATTCATTCCTGTAGATCAGAAACTGTTACAAGGAAAAAGCTAAACATGAACTTTATTCAAAGGTGTGATACTATGTTATATAAAGATAGCATATGAACACAGCTGGGAAAAAAGGAAGAATATGAACAATATTTAGTTTTCTATTTTAAAATATTCCATTGGCATATTGATTCAATGTCATTCAGGTATCCAATTTGGGGATGGGAAATTGACAGATATGGAAGCACATAGCGTGGATCTTACTAAATGAAAAGTCCTCCCATTCACAATAGGATTTCTTGAACAGAAACATTTTGATCAAAGCCATAATATAATTATGAAGGACTTTTCATAACCAATTACAAGCATTACTGGACAAACTTACATCTCTTCCAACGAGGTCATTTCTATTTTCAATCACTCCCCAAGGAGCTATACCAATAGTGCAAATCTTTCGAGATGATTGAGAAGAATGTTCCTTGAGGGCATCACCAACATGCTTTGCAACTCCTATTCAGGAACAAAAAATATTGTTGTACTACTATAATCACATCTTATGTGTAATACATATCTACAGAATTCAAAGGCCCAGTTCAATATCCCATTGCAAACCCATGCTCGGCCAATAAGAACAATTAAAAATCAAACATCATGTTTCCACTGTGCACCTAAATGCCATCAAGGGTGGGGTTCGCCTTTGGGAGGAAATTCTAGAAAGAAGGCCTGAATTAGTGGACTAAAGTCTAAAATAGCTAAATCAGTCAGGGTAAAGGCCAAATGTTTCACTTACACCACTTTGCTATCCTAAAAACTAAGGTTATGAAATTGCTTTCTGAGCGATGTATTCCAAATTGGCCTTCATTACCATTCAAAAGTCATTTAACTCCACCGCTTTCTGCCTCGTCCGCATTCTCTCTGCGCCATGCACCTGCCTTCTAAGGGTCTTTAAAAAAATCTCAAGTGTCAATTCAAGGCATAATGGTAAGAGCATTATTGCTCCCACTCCTATGGTGCTTCTTTTCAAAACAATTACTTCATTTGCATATTTTCTTTTATACTTGGTACATCTAGATTGCATAAATAAATGAGCTTATACTTTCTACTGGCATTATTTTTCTCTTCAGCCCTTTGCAAGTTCGTGCAGATTAACCTATGAATCACCTGAATGATTTCCTGGTGTATTACCTACTCTACTTCAGTGCTTCCATGACATCTGTAACATAACAAGAAAAGTGCAAGACGAGACTACACACATCAGATAAACAAATCTATGAACTTAAGCAGGACTGGGAGGAAAGAGCCAGCGTGGTGTAGTGGTCAAGAGCATGGGCCTGGGACTCAGAGGATCTGGGTTCTAGTCCCCGCTCAGCTATGGAGCCAACTGGGCGACTTTGGGCCAGTCACAGACTCTCAGCCCAACCTACCTCACAGGGCTGTTGTTGTGGGGATAAGATGGAGGAGGAGAATGATGTAAGCTGCCTTGAGCCCTTTGTAGGAAAAAGGCAGGATATAAATCATTAAATAAATAAATACAGATAAAGGCAATTTAAAAATTGTAACTGTATTGCCTTACTTCCAAATCATCAGGGGAAAATGGTGGTGATGAATTTTCAATCAATCCAAAGTACCATTTTGACACTGGTGGAAGATGGTGAGGTGAGGAAGACAACAGTGGTAAGATGGCAAGGAGTGGCACAGGCTTTTTTGCCACACTTGCAGTAAGCCATCTGACACAAACAAGGCTCACAACCCACAACGGCTAGTTCTGCCATGCAAATCCAGCCAAACCATTAGTCCACCCAGCTCAGTATCATCTGTACAAATTGTCTGACAGATTATAAATTCTATCCAGAAATACCTTCCTGAACCATTCTGCCCATCTTCTTCAACCAGCTAGATATCTCAGTAGCATAATCTCTAGCCAGATTCAATGCCCTCCTTACTGAAGGGAGGTATACCCCTTGAAAAAAATACCCCTTGAACAGAGACTGTGTCCATGCGGGAGAGAAACAATTGAATTGATGGAGCATGTTATTCTTCACTGCCCTCTCTGTACAGCTGCTTGCCAGGAACTGTTATCCCTACTCCTTTCTAAATATCCTGGTTACGGCGAGATTCTTTTTATCTTAAGTTACTTTGATCTGATCAATCTGATTTCATCTCCTTGACTACAGCCAAATACTGTTTGGTAAATTTGTACAATGTGCGGTAGAATTAACCCTAAATTGTTGTTATGTTCTACCAGAATGCTTTTATTTTCTTATCTTAATTATTGTAATTTTATCAGTACTGTATTTTTCTTATTTTTAACTAATTGTAATTTTGTGTTTTATTTATTGGCTGGTTAATGACCGAATAAAGGATTGATTGGCTGACTGATTGATTGATTGATTGATATACAAATTGTCTGCAGTTCTCCAGGGTTTCAAAGAAACCTTTCCATGATGATGATGATGATGATGATGATGATGATGATGATGATATTCCTACACTGCTCAATAGCTGATGCTCTCTGGGAGGTTCTCAACAACAGATAAAATACAATAAGAATACACTGAAATACAGTACAATAAAAATCATAAAAATACAACATTTTAAAATCAAATTTAAAATGCTCTAATAATTTACTCAAATTACTTAAATTTGCTGGGAACTTAACCTGTTACTTTTTGAACAGAAAGTAGGTACTCGCCACTGAGCTATGGACTTTCTCTGGTTTTATCCTGAATGTTGCATTAATAGCATCAATTTATATATGATAAAGTTTCTGGAATCATGGAAGTGTTTTCTCCACCCCATCATGATATTGGAAGATTTATTTACTTATTTAAAAAAATTATATGCCGTCCTATTCACAAAAAGCCTCAGGACTGCTTACAGCATAAAATAAAATATAAATAAATTCCCAACCCACATTGGCTGCAGTTAAAAACATAGAAAGGACGATATTAAAACTTATTAAAATATTGCTGGAATAAAAAGGTCTTAACCTGGTGCTGAAAAACAAATAACAACAGTGCCAGGCAGACCTCTCTGGGGAGCGCATTCCATAGATGGGGCGCCATCGCAGAGAAGGCCCTCCTCCAGGTACTTTGCCTCCTAATACCTTTCACTGAGGGTTCCCAGAGGAGAGCCTCTGCTGCAGATATCAAGATACCTACTATCTCCATGTGCTTGGGGAATGCCATCATACAGACATCCAGTCATCATATTGAGAGAGAATGCAGATGTCTCAAGTGCATAGGAATTGAAAAGTATATAAGAGTGAACATTTCACCTGTATTCACTCCTCCAGTTATAATCCAGGCTCCTGTTGTCACTGCAGCTTTAATAAGGCCTTTTCCAAGTAACTGTTTGATGCGTGGATGAAGTTCAAATTTCTGCATCCCGCCATGAACAGAGACAACAAGTTTTGGCAGTTCCATCTGCCATTCTTTAAGCATAAGCTGTAGGATGGCTTCAGGTTTGGTGTCATATGATAATCGCACATACTGGCAGGAAAATAAGTATTAACCATTTTTAATCATGATTCAGGAATACATAAAACAGACTTGCATAAAACACAAGGTCGCATAGGGCTGGTTCCCAGCTCCCCCACTCCTTCTTGATTGGGACAAAAGCTTTCCAACTAAAAGTTTTTATTATGTTGAAACCAACCAGTTAGGCTGGCTTTGTTATACAAAACAACAGTACTACAGAAAGCAATAACACAAGATACTAGCAAAGTTAGCATACTGGTCATTAGCAAAATCCTGGCTTAATGACAGAAATTTGATTCCAAACTGAGTATCTCTCCTCCCTTCCAACCCCACCTCCAAGGCTGATCCTGCTTACATGCCAATCTTGCCCGGCTTGCTTCTGGGTGCATTATACTTGGCAATTCAGCAATGGATTCTGGCCCCTCTTCTGAACCACAGTCTGATTCAAAAAGCCTAGAAGTCTCTATTATAGGAGTGAGCTCAAGCCTTACTGAGAATTATGAAGTTCACAGGTCTGCTCTAAATACATAAACATTTCTACTGGGATAAATTCTAGTCATAGAATTTTAAATATTTGCCAAACAGTGATTTCCAAAGGTTGAATTTAAATGTTACACAGTTCATTTAATTCATAAATATTGCAGACACTAAAAATTCCAGAGTACACTTAGCACCATCACTCCACTCCACCAAAATATCTTGGGGAAAACAACTGCATTTAGTGAGGTTGCTGGAACATATTTACAAAATATACGCACAGCAGGAAGAGCTGTATACAAGCTCAATTCACAGGTCACAGTCATACTATGACAATCTACTCTGGGCTTACTTGGTCCCTTCTCTACCTGTACTTTCCTGTTTTGAGACAGCTGTATTTTGCTGGGAGGTCCTAAATAGAGGCAAACTGTGCAGTGCCTGATCCTGCTTAATCTTGCAAGGTAAGCAGGGCCAGGCCTGGTGGAAATCTGGATGGGTGACCTGAGTCAGCACTGAGCAGGCAGTTGGACTCAATGGTCTCCTAGTCTTCAACTGTATGTTTCTATAACACAATTATATGGTTACTAAAAGCCCTGTTGCACTGAAAGCTGTTTTCTTCATTTTAGCAAACTAAGGTTAATGGTAATCATAATTTGCTTGATTTGGACATTACAGCAAACTAAGACTACTGGAAACCAGCAAAGGAGAAAGGAAAGGGCAAAGAGTACTTTGCAATGATCAAGTAATGTTTTAGCTTTGATGTCTCAGCTGGACTACTGTGAGCCCATTCCTTCTTTCTACAATGAAAAGGGAAACAAAATTATTTGACAAAAAGACTTAGCACAGCAAAGTAACACTGTGCTGCAAAGGGGGAATAAAAATGAGCTAGTTCCAAAGTATAAACTGAAAAAGTGTCAAATGTGAATGAGGTTTGATCCAAGTTAGTGACTAGTGAGAGTCAGTGAGGCATAGTGGTTAAGTGTGGGTGGCTGGAACTCAGGCGATCTGGGTTCTAGGCTCAGACAAAGAATTAACTGAGTGACATTGGGCTAGTCAGACTCTCAGCCCAACCTACCTCAACAGGGCTGTTGTTGTGAGGATAGGATTGAGAGGAGAAGGAGAATTATGTAAGCCACCTTGAGTTCCTTGAAAGGAAAAAAGGCTGAATTTAAGTGTAATAAATAAAAAGCAACTACATCACAAACCCACATTACCTGATTCTGAGTAACCTCCTGATGACTATTTTCAAGGGGTAACAATATAGAGTACAGAGGCAGATACATTAAACAAAACTGTTTTTTTTCTAATTATCTCTATTACCCATGTAAAAATGTGGGGGGGGGGGAGAAACCTGATACAATGGTAGTATAGCCAGTAAGCATATTTCAAAAGATGATGCATCAGTAATAATCAAATCCCACTAATGACCAAAAGTGACTAATATCGAAATGCAAAAGAGGTTTCAATAAAAAAATGAACAATGTTTGCAACTTGGAGCATCCACATTATATTTAAAATTTAAAGTGCAACTCAGTCATGTAGGAATTGTCTTCACACCTTTATGTTCTCATGCTACCACCTTCATGTTCAAGTATAAGTAATATCTTCACTTGGAGCATATCATTTAAATATTATTATTATTATTATTTTATTTATTATTTATTAAAAGCCTTTGTATGTCATCCTATTATATAAAAATCTCAGGACGGCTTACAATATTTAAAAGAACAACTTAAACAACTAGTATTACAGAAGTACTAATTAATTCTCCGATTAGGTGACAAATGAGGCCCTGCATACATACCTTAGCTCGGTAGGAGTGAGAACCTCCTTGGAAGTTGATGACACCATAAGCATCTGTTGAACTCTGCTCAGTATGTTTTTCTACTGACCATTCTTCTATCTCCTGATTAAAATTTTCACCCAGTTTTACATCTGAATATTTCATGGCAAGACTTGCAGTAAAGCAAGCATGCTGCCGTACCAAGCGACCACAACAACATCTGCAGATAACAATGACAATTTGGGAAAGTGAGGAGACACAGAAATAATTGCATATTCTGGATACCTGTTTGCTTCTGGCTAAACCTTTGAACCAGTCATTCTTTTTTTTTTAATATATATGGCAATTACAATTCCATAATTCTGAGTTTTTAAATGTTAATCTTATACTATCACATAGATATACAGAGCATGTATAACACTCATGCAGAAGAGAGACAATGCCCAAGGACTAGAGAATGTCATGACAGTGGTAGGCTGAGGATCATAAGCTCAGTAAAGGTCTATTTGTCTCCAGTTTCCCTGGAGATATTATTCAGTTCATACAAAGCATCCAATCTTTTCATTATATCTTCTCTGCAGTTCAGTTGTCTTTTGCTTCCAGTCATTTTCAGATAAATTACAGAATAACAATCTTTATGTTATACCTATGCTGATTAAAAATGAGAGATGTGATTCTTTCATTTAATAGAAATGTGCTTACCTGACAAGTTGCTGACATATCTGACATCCTGGAAGGCATCTGCGATTGAGAAAACAAGAAAGTAACTTGGCATTTTGCCTACCTTATTATCAAATGCAAGTTAAGATCATTCTTAAAATATGTGTCACTGTTTTCTGTAGTTCACACCATGTTGTTTATTGCCCTTTCACACACTCAGGACATGCTTGTAAAGAAGAAAGCACGGTAACCGTTTATTTGTGCAATTGTGTTTGCATAAGATGATCCAGAAAGTGGTAAAATGGCTGCTCATACTTTCATGTACTGTATACAACATTGCTGTATCTTCAAGTGAACTATATTAGAAAACGATTAAAACAAAGAGGACAAATGTGATGCCATCATGGGAGATGATCTGCAAATCCGCAAACAGTTTCTGCAAACAGGATTGTTTCACATATTACACGGAAGCAAACCTAAATTTGCAATAAATTATAGCCTCCTTATAAATGTATCTGCAGGAGACACATCTTCAGACATTCATTTCCTTAATCCATATTTAACATTTTAGGTATAAACAAATACCTTCGCTATACACCTTAAAAATCTAACACATGACGAGGGCCTTATCTGAAAAAGAAGGAAGGACCAGGAGGCCGTGTCAAGCAGCATTGGGATACCACAGGTTAAACTACCGTATTTTTCGCTCTATAAGACGCGCCTGACCATAAGATGCACCTAGTTTTTAGAGGAGGAAAACAAGAAAAAAAATATTCTGAATCAAATGGGCACATAATCACAGGCACATTCCCCATCACTTCCCCATGGGCTGCACATCTGATAAACTTACTGCACACATATATTCACACTATAAGACGCACAGACATTTCCCCTTACTTTTGAGGGGGGGGAAGTGCATCTTATAGAGCAAAAAATACGGTACTTATTAAAGATAAGTTGTATCTGATTCCACTTGTGTCATCCTTCTTGCTGTACTTTCCACCTAAGGAGCAAAAAGGCATACTGCTCTCATTGGTTCACCTCTAAACTGTCTTTGTTTCTGAGAAGCAAAACTCTGTATTGCAATCACAGCCTGACATTACTTTTACCCATGCCCAATATCCTGAGGCAGGTCATGTCATTTTATCATTTTTTTAGATAAAATAAATATGTAGACTAGTATTTCAGATAAGGTCTTGAACTGGAGTTAGTTAGCTAAGACCCCTGAGTCTGTGCTGCATCTTCTCCTGGGAGTGCAAGGAGAGAGAGACTCGGGCAGTTATGGTAAGGGCATAATTTCTAATTTACCTGTGAGGATCCTTTGAACTTGGTATAATATACACACATTCCCGTTTGGTGAAAGTATTTTCTATCCAGGATTTCTGGGACTGTAAAATAAGAAAGCAATGTCCATTACTATGAAAATAACACATTCTACCTATATATCTCTTGTATCAATCATCCATACTTAACCATAACTAGTTAATATCTTGTTTCATCCTTAACTGAGCCACAAGAAATTTTCAACTATATATACTTGTTTTGCATCCTATAGCTCTGGAGTAGTTGAAGTAATTTTTATATAACATTTCCAAACCAGCAGTTTAGTAATACATGCAAAGCGTTAAAAAGCATCCAAACACTTTCAAGAGATTAATGTTGCTCTCCTAAAATGTTACAGTGCTGTTATTTGTTTGATAAAACAAGTTTTTTCAGTGTAATGGGTATTATGTAATGGCAGGGATTTTGTTTTGGAAGAAAGAAGATGCAATTGCATAGTGTTTCATTTAGTAAGCTTATTTGAAAAAGTTCAGATTAAACTTTTCAGTAGTAATAAATAACATGTACATTGGGAGAACATACACAGGGCAGTACATATTCAGCTGCTAAACAGCTTACAAGCTAGCCTAATGTTGTGCTCGCTCACTCTCTCTCTCTCTCTCTCGCTCTCTCTCTCTCTCTCACACACACACACACACAACACAAGACTACGCTAGCAGATATAACAATTAACTTGCTTTTAAACCATCTAGGACATGAGTGGAGAAAATATGGCCCTCCAGCTGATGTTGCACTGCAATTGCCATTGGTACCAAAGGCATAGCCCAAAGTGAGGGTTGATAAAAGCTACAGTCCAACAATTGGAATGCTGCATGTTTTCTGCCCCTGCTCTATGAAATGCATTTCTCATTACTTCTGTGAATGTTCCATAACATTTAACCACTTTTCACAATAGCCTATTCATAAACAAATGCTAAGCATATGCCAATATCACAATCAGACACAGAAGGCCTATTATAGCACGTGTATAACCCCATCATAAACTCTAAAAAGTTGATTAACCATGAATGTCAGTTAACTCTAAGTAAGAAGAACCCACCATAATAAAAATAAATCAGCAGCCCATGGGTTGAGCAGGACTAAGGACAAGCAGCACATACTTGCAGCTGCTACAGATTTATAGAAGGAAACACATGAGTTATCAAGAACAAGACAGGTTATATGGACCTTGTATTTGATATAACTAGATAAAAAAGAGAAGGTCCACACACCTAGAAAAACTTGTGGACACCAATCTATATTTTTAATCACCTAAGTTTAGAGTGACACATTTTCAAAATCTGCATCTTTGAATCTTCTTAACATTTGGGAGGTAACAACAGAACTGAAAATAAAGCCTAGCATGGAGGAAGAGCATATAATGAACATATGAACACACGCTATGGTGTTGTATCAAAAGAACAATGGGAGGAGGAAATAGTTACTAGTGCTGTTCTGCAAGTACTTGATCAAGAATTTGTTCAGTGCTACAACAGATAGGTTCAAGAACCATTCTCATGATTCTCTTTGTATAAGTTCTTATGTAAGCAAAAAGAAGTAATTCAAGAAGTGTTGTTGTTGTTTTGTACAATACAAGGCATAAGCAGCTCTTAGTGGAGTGGAAGATAACTCTGGCCCCAGCCCATGGCATAGCTGGTTTCAAGCCAGTTCGGTAGCAATACAAAAGCAATAAAAGACAAGTGAGCACCCGCATATTAAATAGACTTCAGCATCATCAATATATCTAATGTACAAGAGAAGTAACTCAGCTTATGAACTAAAGGTATATATCTACCAGCTCTTTAAACAGTTTATTTAGTCTGAGATGCCTGATAAATTATATGTCTACTATTTAAATACATTATTAAGCATTAATTGCAAAACAAGTTACCATATTAGGCAATATACCAAGTTTTCTAAACTTTGGACTCAAGGAAAATTAACAAAGATCCGTAAATCTCTGTATAGGGGCTAATAATTACATACCTTACTTTTTAACATATCTCAATTGCTTATATTGAAGTACACAAAAATATTTAAAATCATTAAAATTGCAAGATTTTTTAAAAATACCTGCTCTACACCGAAGGACCATCTTATTTTTTCTTTGCAGAAATTCATGCTGAAGAACTACTACCAGACTCCTTTGTGGATCAGTCTTATACCACTAGGTTTACTCTAATTTAAGGTTTTGGAGATAACAGGTTACAACACCACACTGCTGCTAAAATGCAGGATGAGATCAGACCTTAAAATAATTTAATTTATAGGGACCGTCCTATTATTGCATTTGAATGGAATGATTTTTTTTTGGGTGGGGGGAGCTTCAACTCAGCAAGCAGCATATTCACTAGCTATAATGTTTGAAATTGAGCATATTCACTAGCTATAAAAGAACATGGAATCTTCAGAATCAATGGAAATGCACATGCACGTTCTGCCATATTTAACCAAGGCATTATGTTTTGGTGCACTATTTCTGAATATTGAACACAAATAGAAAATGAATGATCTAGGCTGTGACTCTGTTAATGAGGCTTCAGTTTGCTGCCATGAACAGATACTGAATATTCACCATGAGTGGCCACCCACAATCCCACTGAATGTAACTAGATGTGTGATCCAAAAGCACTGAGACATGAATGCTACTAAATGCCTACAGTAGTGTACCCAGTCTGGTAACCTCCAGATGCAACAGATGACAAATTTAGAGGGATGATAGAAGCTGTGGTTGTACACATTTGGTAGGTATCATATTGGAGAAAGCTTGTCACTGTAAGTATCAAATCCTACCCATACTGAGTTAAAATTGTGTCATGTCACAGAGTGTAAAACTCTATTCTCAGAATACTGAGGGTTGGGGGTCTTATTCACAAGACTAATGTTTCACAAGCCAATTTTTTTTAAAAAAGTTGACTATGCAAAGGATTTCATTGCTCAGAAACATATTAATTACTTCATGCATATATTCAGAGAACCAATTGGTAATTATTACAAGTAATTAAATAAAAAGTTGCCTTGTGTTGGGTAAACATACAACCCTGGTTATAAGTATTGTATATATGCTAGCACATACTGCCTAATGACAACTCATATTTACGCCATGTGTTAGGAAAGTTGAAGTTGCCTCTGTATATTACTGTATTAGTATGCACTTGCAAGAATGCAATGCTTAATTCAGTGGCAAAGCATGAAGAGGCCTTCAGTAATCAGATTATGAATAAATTAGTAGAAGAACAAAAAAAACCACTAGGTTAAATGTTCTCAGTCTGTCTGTCTTAAATTGTTACTTAGAAATAAATATCATCAAAATATATGGCAAGATGGAGAATGGGCTCCACCTTACCATTTTTTACTATGGGAATTAGATAATCAATAAATATGGAAGACACTACATGTAACTTTCCTTGACCCTGCAACATAGAATCTGCTGTATCGTATGTGCAGTATAATGTCATTCCCACTGAATACAATTTTTCTTTGAATACTGCAATTACAACATTGCACAAAACCTCACCAAGCCTCTAGTGCAACTAAGTGAGTTGTGACCTTAAAGAGAGTTTGAAAACCAAAAGGGAAAAGGATTCAGGGATTTAATGTAAGAAGAATCTTTCATAATTTCATGAGAAGCTGCTTTGCTGCTCTAAGTAGGTTCAAACAATCATGAATTTCAGATGTACCATAATCTGGCTTACATTTAGATTCATTAAAGTCTGACACAGAGATATGTGAACATGTGGCCTCTTCCACTTAGTGCATAACCATGATCAGCTCCTAAGCAACCCAATGGTTAACCCAACAACAAACTATGTATTAACTACTGGGTTGTTTAGATCCTAACTAACCCAGCAGTTCAGCCTCTCATGCCACAAAGTAAAACTTATGAAGAAACAAATCATGGGCGCTAAAGACAAGGCATGTGTGCTGTGTGTTTCTGATAAATCCTCAGACTGTCTTGTTATTAAACTGATGGATTGTCATTACAAGTGAAAAACTCCAACATTTGATTATTCTAGATTCACGCCAACTTGCAACTATATAAATGCAAAGATATCTGATATGTTAGCAATATTTTCAATATTTTCATATGTTTCCAATATATCTTTTATAAACACAGACATGTGATATGCACCCAAACTTTATTCAAACTTTTTTTCAAACTTAAAGCAAAAAAATTACATCCTGCTAATAAGTACAACCAAAACAAAAGTTTAAAATGAAAAGTACTCCAATAGTGCAGTATTTCAGTACAGTACAGTATTTCATGGATTTTCTTAATTTGAAGTTTACTATGCCAAGGAGTATGTATCAGCTTGACCTGCCATATTTTAAAAACAAACCACAAGCACTATCTTGAAGTATCTCCACAGCTCAGGCAGTTACTAAGAATATACTTACAAGTTCATGTATTCCCACAAGTTTTTCAGTTTTATTAACCAAACACAAGGTGATCATGGGACTATACTGTGACCCATGCCTAGCTGATTGTAACACTTCACTGTGCAACAGGCTCCTAAAACAATAGCTGGAAGGCAAAAATTCCAAACATAAGTCTCTTTATCTTCTTATCATCACTTACAGCCAATGAATCTCATTTCAGAAACTGTGCAACTGGGATGGATATTACAGCACACTTGTGTTTACACATACAAAGTAGTTTCCCAACGACAGCATTTTAACCTGTCCAAACACATATATGCAACAGAGATTCCACAATGCTTTTATATTATTATACAGTAAGGAATTTCTTTTCAACCAAATCTGACTAATGCCTAGTCAAACTGGACTTCTTCACTGAAGCAAGTACTAGAAAGCCATTCTCTAAGGACACCCCAGAAAAGCATTCTATTAACATCAAATATTTTTCTCCTTCTTGATTTAAAGGGCTCCTTTCCTAGGAAAACTACTCTTCTGAAACTGTCATACAACATCCTGGTAGCAGCAATATTTTTTTTAAATAACTGCTATATCAATAACATATCTCAATTAACAATATGATAAGGGGATAAATACATATAAAAATGTATTCCCATTACTTGCTCCTAATTCCATAACCATGGTTTGCTATTAACCAAAGTTCTGAAACAAGTTTGAAACCTTGGTTAATAGAGAACCATAGTTAGCATTATGCCTGGCTAGCAACCAGCTTGGTGAAAGTCAAGGCAAGGTTGACAGGGAAAAGGGAATTTACACCATATATGGAAGATAAGGGAAGGAGAAAAATACAATCTTAGGCTTGCAACCTTGCTTAAGGAAATAGAAACATCATGCTCTGCCCTTCATATTTATATAGCTTTTTCAGTGTGAAATACAAACAGCTTAATACCTATAAATGAGTGGCTAAAGAAACTCAAGAGCTAGTATTCATAATAAAATGTATTACAATAATATATTATACAATACTTTTCAAACCATACAACCCAACACCGACAGTCTTATGTTCTCAAGGTTCTCTTTAAGGTGCTAATGGAAATTATTTGATTATAAAGATAAGGCCATATACCAGCTGCATTAATTTTGACTGTGGGACTTCCTCATCAGTGGTTTTTATATCCCATGTCAAAGTCAACAGTAATAAAGCCCTCATGGGAAGCTACTCTGGCACAGAGAACAGTTGACTTAAGAAGCTCCAGTGTCGGTTTTCTACTTTAAGACCATCTGTAAAATCAAATTCATGTAAAATCCATATCTAAGGGGTCACATCCACTAAGATAAATAAAGTTGCACAGGTACAAACTACTCTAGCACTACACCAATAACATTATGTGCATGCCAATTCCTCTATGTAATCCGAGAGCCAGGTAACACTAGTGGTGTTGTGCTAGAGCAGGGGTCCTCAAACTTTTTAACCAGGGGGACAGTTGAAAGGTGCTGGTGCTGGGCGCGGGTTGGAAAGGTGGTGCCGGTGGAGCGCGTGGGCCGGCGTGGGGGCAGGGGCAGTGTGTACAGGGTGCGCGTGCTGAGGCAGGGGCAGGGCATGCAGCAAGGGGAGGCGGGGGGAGGCAGGGGCGGGCACGCACTGTGAGGCGGGCGCACGAGGCAGCGGCTCGCTAGCTTGGAGATCGTTTTCTCCGAGTGAGCGAACTGCTGCCTCCCTGTGTGCAGGGAGAGGTAGGTGGCGGCGGGCACATGCGTGAGCACGGCGGGTCTAGATGGACATGGCGGGCCGCATGTGGCCCCCGGGCCGTAGTTTGAGGACCCATGTGCTAGAGTATTTTATACTAGCACAATGTAATTTGACCTAGAAGTTGTGCCCTGCTGGATACTGATTTGTTTACATGTCCTTTAATGCAGGAGAACATATTTAGGAAGTTATCTCAAAGAAAGCTACATATAAAAGCTTTCCATTGGCTGTTCAAGCTTTTAGAAATGCTTAAATTAAGAATTTCCAATTTTGTTTAAAAACAAAGAACCCTAACAACTTACACAGAAAGAACAAAAGGATTTCAAATCAGTCATGCTTTCAAAACAGTTTTATTTTGGAATACAGAAAATAATGGAAGGATAAAGGTAAAGTTATATATTTTCTTACAGTTGTTTAAACATCTTGGCTCCAAGAAACCCCAACAGACGTCTTGCTCTTTTGCTCTCATTGCAATTTTGAAGTTACCTATTTCTATAATTACCGAGTTTTAAGCAGGACAAAGAAGTACTATCTAGCCAACTCATGCAGCAAGCTATATTTAAATCTCTTTTCCAAAAAGTTGCCAGATACCACCAAAAATATGTGGTGTGTTTGTGCATATATGAACACTTCAGCAAAGCTTAAGATAGGAAATTTGAATCCATACTTCTTTTGAGAACCAATCCCAATCCCATCTTGCACTCTTTAGTTTGGATTCCTTTCAGCTTGCTATATTACCAAAATAAGAAAAAAATCTAAATTTCCTTTTGATTAAAGTACATGTCTTGAGCCTTTGATCAGACCAATAAAGGCAGTACCTAAATTTGTGAAACATGAAAAATTAAAATACAGGCTTTTCATATCCCAAAGGTGTCCTCTGCTTAAAACTCTATAATTCAAAAGCTAAATACAGAAGCCACTCCTTATCAAGCTTGCCACTTAAGAACTATATAATTATTCCCAAGAAGCCCCTTGTCTCTTATATTAAAATAACTATAAACACTTAAAATAGCCTTTTGAAATATAATACTGAAGATTTCTACGAGCAGATCTTTGAATTTTGCTATAAATTAATAGGCTGGGGGAGGGAGAAATAAACTGCTTTGCTACATTTCATATTCTGGTGACAGCAGACAGCATCACAAGTAGTATACATTCTACTGTCAAAGCAAATACTCTGCTTCAGAAGTAAAATGATATAGTCTCCAACAACAGAGTTCTTCTTAAACCACTAAACTAAGATATCAGAATACAGTCTAGGTACTTAAAGTGCAAGAAGCGACACCACTCTATACAACCAGTGCAGAACATACATTTAAAGGGCAAACTTTACTGTTCAATGATTTGTAGAAAAAACAATTAAGAACACAAGCTCTCCAAAGTCCAGGAATCACAAATCAACTTTGCTAAGTGCTAGAAACTTCAATCGTTTAACAAACATTTTGCAGTGCATTAGAACAGCAACCCTCAGGGCTACATTGCAGAACTCCTATGAAAGCACAATGAAAAAGGTAATCAGTATTTACCTCTCATCATTTGTTTAAATCCAGACTTGACCCACTGTAATTTACTTGCCAGTGAAAGAATTCCCAGTGGTGCCACTTTTAGGCATGTGTTTTCTTCTTTTTCCTTCGTTCCCTTTTTTTTTTTGGGGGGGGGGGCGCAACTGCTGTGGGAGCTGTAAAAAATCCCCATACAAAGTATTATATTCCCATTTACAAAAATATAAAGCCTTTTCCAAGGCATAAGCAGTGTTTTGAAATCTCCTGACTCACCAAATGAGCCTTGATTGGTTTAAAAGGTTGAGTCATTCCTTTGCTTCCCCTTCTCTTCTGAATTTTTTTTGGGCGGGGGGGAGAATTAAAACAAATATACATCTGATTATTAAAAAACCCATGCTTCACTGTGTAAAGCAGTAACATTCTTTTTAATATATTCCTTTTCAATTGAAATGAGTCAGTCTCATGCAAAACTGTCTGCTTATTTGCTGAAAACATAAAGCAGCTCAGGCAGTTTTCTGTCTGTAGATTGCCTCCTAACACTCATTCTATGTCATTTGTGCCAAGAGAAGACTATTATCCAGCTAAACAGAGAGCAGTAGAAATTTCTAATAGTTCTGCACATTTCCCAGATTACCAGAGAGTCATACCCACTTCTTGGCAGACACCCAACTTGGAAGGAAGTATTAGAAGTTTCAAATAGTTCTACACATTTCCCAGATTACTGCAGTGTCATACCCACATCTGGGCAGGTATCCAACTTGGAAGGAACCAGGGGTCACAAAGGTAAATGATATTTATTTTCCCTCTCCCTTAAGAAGTTGAACTGTTGCCTGCAAAACTCTTACCTACAATGCAATAGACTATCATTTGCCATGCATACAAGCATTTCAGTATTTAAACTTGTGATTCAAGAATCAGGCTTGGATCACAGTGACCTGGGTTCAGATTCCTAACTCACTGAGTGACCAGGGCCCATTAATCATCTTGCAACCTAACTTACTTGGAAGAAAAAAAATGCAAGCAACTAAATGTTTTTTCCCCATTTTGATATAGTAAATTACTATCTTACATCTTGGAAGATTCTCACCAGTTCGCATCCAGGAAAAGGAATTTCCTAGAAAGGAAGACCAGAAGGGTTTTTGATTGCAGCACAGGTAGGTTTTAATTGTGCTTTTACTGCATGAAATTCAGTATTGTATAACTCTTATGTTATCTGTAACTTATTGTTTGCTGCCTTAAGAGAATAAGAAGAAAAATGCTGGATCAGACCAAGGGTCTCTAGTCAAGCATTCTTTTCGCAGTGGCTGCCCAGCTGGACATGAATTGAACAGCACGCTCCTGCCTGTGCTCCCAGCAACTGGTGCACAACAACTTTTAGCATACTATCTTTGATA